AAGATTGCCGTTTCAAACCAGGAAATGGACTCGTCAGACCAGCCAAGAATTATTTGAGCACGTTAAGTCCTTTTACCCCCAAGAGAAACCAAAGAAAAATAAACACACTAATGAATGTTGGGAATCCCGGTCTCCTCGGGAGGCCCAGGCGAGATGCTGATGACGATAACAGAACGTTTATTCTACGGCACCTCCCACGTTGTCGGTAATGTTTTAAGTAGGTGATAGGTGCTTGCTCCAACCATCGCTGCAGTCCGATGCACATAGACATCATCTGTGGCTTTCAAAGGCGTGGGTTGGCTCTCTAAAGATGGCTTAGTGAAGTAATTAGAGGCCAGCTGAGCTACCCAGCAACCACGATGAATTCATTACCTACTACCTACCTATCTCTTCATGGTGCTGATGTCTGCTGACCACAATTTCATGCGCCGTAGCCTGCGACCATCCTGCGGCCAGCGGGACCTTAATTCAGGACGTGTAGCCGCGATCCGGTCGGCCTCGCTACTCTAGCGAGGTTCATCCCTCATTTAGGGGTTTCACGACTCAACTCCCCGGAGAATTTGGTGAACAAATCACAAAAATCTCCGACCGCCAGTTGGGTCAAGCTAGTAAGGTATATGTTCAACTTTCCAAGCTGCTTCTATCGCCTTCTTCCGTTCCACCAACCACGCAAGCTCGTCGTCACAAGCTTGAGAGAGAGGAACATCGCACGTGGTTTGGACCCCGTCGGCGTGTTGGTTCCAGAGAGGAGTCGCACAGAACAAGCGGCATGCTTGTTTGAATGTCAACCCCACTGTCCGACCAGAGCTAGGATACCTAGTAATAATTAATCACCTACACACACTGGCCATCATCATCGCCAATCGGTTAGCTTCCTCATTTTTCACTACTCGCACCGGCTTGGAATGGCCCCTGGCGAATATAATATACAACACAAAACCTACTATACAACAACACATTGCGGATGCGCACGATGCCAAGATGCTGATTAAAGTCAAGCCACGTATTCGGTGCAGAATTGCGTCCAGTTTTCGATACCCAATTGTCCCTTAGCAAGTTAACAATCGTGATCGTAGGAGTTTTGTAGTACGAGATTCATCGTCCGAAGCTACCACGCAATTTGACGTTGGTCGCCTCTGGTTGGTCACGGCGAGATGCAGATGGCCAAAAAAGGAAATCCTCCAATTTACCATAATACCAACTACCGGTCACGCTAAATTGGTCTAACATACTGACTCGTACACAACTTGTCTGAAAACAAATACAGAATGGTTATCGGTCGTATTGACTATTCCAGAAACAAATTCATCTACTATAGCTCGGGGTGCGCTCACCGGTTTGGCCGTCGATACAACACCAAACAGTCATGCACCTCTTCCCCGTAGCCAATCGTGGAACATCCAGACATGTTCCGTCGAGTTGACGACCGAACTTTTGATGGAATTGAACGCGATCATCTCCATGTCGGACCTGCCGCACCAACTGATCCGTAGCAGCAAACGTATCTTCCGTGGTTTGCGTGCCGCGAACCTATAACAGGCCTACAACTTCCTTAAGCGCTTCGATCCTAACACCTCCGATACCAGACAGGCCAAACAGGTGTGAGGGAAGGAAGAAAATAATACGACGTGCGTACGCAATAGTGTCGACAACTATTGAGAGGGATGCGCGCCCACCGGTCTGGTTCGATGTTGGCTAACCATGGTATCGGTTGTCAGAGGAATCGATGCCCCATGCTCACCAAGGTTTCGTCAGTACATGGTTAGGGAAGAAGACATCGTGAAGCGCCCAATGGATCCGTCCCTGAGTGTCGTGTTGAAGTCAATCCATGCCAGCTTGATGGCTGTAAACGATTTCCCCGGCTTGATCTTCAGATCCAAGACGAACGCTTCTGCTCACAGGCTAATAAGTATCCTCTTTATGGAGACGCCCTCCATGCAGGTAAGCAAAGCGGAACCAGACGAAGAACCCCCAGGGTTATTTGACTACCACGTAATACCGCTGGGCGTGAGCTGGTCCCGTCCTGCCTAGCCTTGCCAAGCCGTCCAGATCCAAAGAGACGTTTCAGTACCTGTTTGGTGGCCGCTTATAATAAATTGCAACGCGACCTACCGCTCTTTCGCATGACCACGATGTTCTGCTAGCTGCAGGTCCGTCCGATATGGTATTAGAGTGCCTGTCAGACTTTTGTTTCTTCCCCCCCTTGATTCTCCTTATTTTATTTTTGTTTTTTATTGAGGGGCTACTGGCTGGATCCCCTGCCCTTCCCCCACTACCGGCGTCTCTCTTTTGCCATGAACGAACCTCATCTGGCCTGTCGGCCCCCACATTGGATGATCCCACGTCACACAGCCTGGTCGATAAACCTCTGGGGACAACCAACCGGTGCAAGTGCCGCCGTGGTGGTAAGTCTGACGTCCACCTAGTGTATTACCTACCAGGAAGACCCTGTTTGTGCCCGACGGACTGATATCAAAACGACCCATACGCACGTTGTTTTTCTGCTTGACAGGCAGGGCTCGCTAGTTTATCCCCACTTCATGTCATGGCTCTGGTGCGAGACTTAATCAAAAGAATGCTCCTCAAGATGCCTGCTAATGCCTGTATGCCTGTCCTGCTAGTCATGCAGCTTGCGGTTTCCGGCCAGAAGGTGCTATATGGGTCCCTGGACTTTAAACGGGAGCCCTAAACAAGGACCCGAAGTTGAAGCTAGACAGGGTCCGTCTGTTCGAGCACCAAGTATGGTTCGGTAAAATTAGACAACCGGAACGTCGACGATGGACGCAAGCAATGCATTTTTGCCCCAAGCCCTGAACGGCCAGCTACTCCGAACCGGATCACAAGATATTAAGTATTGGCGGTTTTATTGGGCAGGTACCAGCCTCGTTCGAAGAGGCTTTGACCACGCTAGAACACGCTATACAGCACGCTACGACGTTGCTGAGCAGCAATCCAACCGGGAGATTTAGAATCAGCCTCAATTTAAGGTGACGCGGCAGCCCGTTTGCTGCTGTATGATGTCGATGGCTCACGTTTTGTCTCCATCGTACTATAGATCTGACCGTTATTATTCGATTGTTCGGGACCCGTGGACGTCTTCCCGTCTTCTCCCCTTTTTCCCCCTCCCTTGTCTTCGGTTCCTGAAATTTTGGCGGGGCTAGCAACTGTTCACGATGGCCCAGATTTAGTGCGACTAGACAAAATGTGATCTATCACTTTTTCTTTTTTTTTTTCTGTTTCTCTTCACCCCCTCCCTACACCTACTCCTCAGGGCCGGCCCTCGGTTAACTTCGCAATACCGTGGTTTTATGTCTACATTTTCCTATCTGTCCTGGCTTCTTCGAGTTTTGCGAGGGATTACACTAGCCCAGTTAGCAAATCAAAGGCATCTCGGAGACGCAGACCGACGCTTTCCTCCGTGCGCAATTCTCACAAGTACATGCCTATACATGTACATATACCACGCGCATCATACCTAAACATGTGAGCTGCTACGGCACCAGCGCATTAAGGCGCAACAAAATGTGGCTCCCACGGTCTACGCATCCCGTCTATCAGATCAGCCATGCTAGTCATTACATGCGAAGAAGTAGGGTAACAAGAAAGAAACGCTTAGGACGTTTTCTTCCCTTTGTGCGCATCTTGCATTGCAGCAGTTCCCGGCTCAACCGAACTGTACTAAGTTGACCTATCTTTTCTTCTTTTTTTTTCCTCTAAATTTCTCGAAGGGTGGACAAGAGGGGGGCGTGGCTTCGACGTTGTAACCTCGCTTCTCCAGTGCCGGGATACCTAACATTCTCTAACCTCCAACCCCGTCTCTTAGGCTGGCCAATTCCCTCCCTACGACTTATTTACTTATTTAATTCTGGGAATCTGGGATGGGCCAGGTGACGTTAAATGATACATTGATGATATATGACGCAAGGGACGGGCTGGCTCGGAGAGGGTAAATCAGAGCGAGAAGGCGATGGGATAAAAGAGAAATCAATTGCAAATGGTAAATTCCATCCTCATCCATCACCTACTTCATCCCCCCCCTTTTCCTACATTCTCTATTTTTGTTATGGCGGTGAAGATAAAAGAAAGTAGAAGAGGAGAGGGAGTGAAAAAAAATGAAGTTGGAACTTTTTACGCCTCTCAAATTTTTTTTTTCTTCGTTTTGCATTATCGTGAAAAAATGATGTGTCAAAACCTGCCGCGGAAAAAAAAAAAGAGAGACGGGATACGCCGCAGACTAGGAACCATCTTGCATCGGCGATCCGGCATCGGTTATGTGTGTGCAAATCTAAGGATTTTTTTTCCCTTTGGGTGAGATTTCGGAAAGCAGCTAAGTATCCCGTACATCACCATACATACACAATCAATCATCTGTCGTGCTGTTATGCTGCTGTGCTGCCCATGCTGACAATATGGCGGCATTCACGCATATACACGCATATACATACATAACATACATATATACGTACATACTACATGTAACATATCTACATTTACACCTACACACCACCCATTTCCACGTGGGTTCGGCTCGCTAGCCCTCCTTTCCCTCTCATCTAATAATGCAGGCGGTACGGTACGCACAATGCATTGCACGGTGTATTATATATTAGTTCTTGGGTTTGGGTAACAGTACATGACACAACATAAGAACGAGTACGAGTCCCGCCCGTTCTCTACGCACGTCATGGACGCTTATCTCAGAACCCATTTCCTTTCTTGACCTCTCGCCGTATGCAAATGCCTGTCTTACTCGTTCGATCCCTGGTCCCATTACAAGGTTATAATAAGAATAATATTTTTTTCCTGCTCACCGCTGTTGCTGTTGCTGTTGCTGCGGCTGCTAGGGGCGGGCCGGGAAGATACTAAAGGGTGGAACGCGAAAAATAAGATAAGTACTATTGACTTTGCTGTTCCCGGTAGGATATACGGTAATCTAATTAATTCACCGGCTCCTTATCCGGATCCCGTGCCGCTCATGCAGACCGTCATCTCGTCTAGCGTCATGGCTGCTGATGGCTATGGTCGACAACATTTTCCTTGGAAATATCTGATTCAGGGGCCGTTATTCCCGGCGCATCTGCGGCCGGAGGCACAGCAGCCGTGTTGAACGTTGCAGCAGGAGGTGGAAGAGGCTGCTCATCAATGACTGTTGTTGCCTCGGCGTCGTCACCGGGATCGACCTTCTTTGATGAGGTGTGGTGATGGTGGTGTGAAGAACCGATGGTTTTCATCTCAAGATGATCCGTTTCATTGTTAGCCGTGGTGTCCTTCTCAAGACAATCCGCTTCGGAATTTTGGCGTTCCTTCTCCTGGAATGAGAAGGCGTCCGACAGGTTTACTGCAAGAAACGTCTTGGGTAATTTGACCCTATTGGTTATCATGCGTCAGCGACCTTATCGAGAAAATGGAGACGACTTATCATGTTTTTGGAATTACGTCGAAGCTACGTCGTGAATTGGGGACTTACTGATGAAATTTATCCCTGAGCGTCTCAATGACCTTTTTCCAGTCTGCGTGAGGCGTCAGGCTCCTGCGCGGTGCACATCCTATGCAGTGTTTACTATCCAGTTGGATATCAAGTGGATCGAATATATGGCAACCGGGGCTGATCGTGATGCGGATACTGTAGTTGAACGTAGGTTGATCCGCAAGAGGCGCATCTAATGGCACCTTAGTCTCAGACTCGTATAATTCGAAGCAGATCTGCGAAAGATAATCAAGTTCGGGGATCGTCCTGCGGTTAATTTTGGTTTCAATACCACCCTCGAGGATGCAGTTCAGTAACGTGTAGATATGCGATTCCTTGGTGAAATAAAAGAATGATTTAGCATCATCTGATGCCTGCATCTCCTCAAGGTCCTGGACAATTTCCTTCAACAAGGGAAGCGACGTCAGGAGCCCAATTTCAAGCTGCAATATCACGTCAATATTCCAAATCTTTCAAGGGGTATGAGATAAGACTTACCTTTTCGCTGTCCGAGATGCCATACTCCTGTGGGCAAATGAAGTCGAACAAGACCTTGGCCAACTGGTAGAGTTCCCGAAGAGGTTCGAAGCACTCGTCCGTTTTCGCTTTCGTTTGGTTGTTGCCTTTGGGTAAGTGGAAATATTCAGCAGGCCTATCGACTTCGTGAGGATGCTTCATCCACGATCTTCTGCGGAAAATGCGCTTAACAGTCTTCTGCGCCTCCGACCTCTCGCCCCTTTCGGCCTTCTCCGGTCGGTCCGATTTCTCAACTTTATCCGCTGGTGGTGAGCCTAGAACTTGGCTCATGTCAGACTTATCATCGGCTGTTTTCGCGCCGTCTTCGGACTCCTTCGGTGATGTCTTTCCTTCGCGATTTATCGTAATACCAAATTCCTCTTCCAGCATGTGTTTCGGTGGAGTGAACACCCACTCAAGGAACTGACGGTTGTGCAGGGCGTCGAACTTCATTGTGTCATACAATTCGGAGATCTTACTAGGATCAACCTTCTCATGATCACAGAACTCCGCGAACAGTTTCTCCCAACGCTCTCGGAATAACTCCGCATCCTCGCCGCAGCACCAGCGAGCCTGGATACTGTTCATAGCATTGGCCTGTGACAGCGAAGAAGCGATAGACGTACTGGAACCTTCATGGGATTTGTCTTGGTTAGGAGAATTGATTGCGTTGAGCGAATTTACCGCACCGCTTTGTAGTTTGCTGTAATTGTGTTGCATGACGCGGCGATGGAAATTCATCAGTTGCACAACTCGCGTCTGTACTTCGGCGGGTTCGGGCATGCTCTCAGGCCAAGCGAATTGTGACGGCCTCTCATTTCCCTTGCGCAATAAACCTTTCAGCTTCTTCTTGACTTTGTCCATTTCGTCTTTCGCCGCGTTGGAGTCGTCGAGTAAATCTTTTCGTATCGTGATGAAATCTTCGGGAAGGTCATTTTTCTCTATAAATGACGCTGCCCAGATCTGTGCACTTGCAGTGACTCGTCGCTCTGAACTACTGAAAACATGAACTTGATCTAAAATATCACGATTGAGTAAAAGGTAGTCGTTGCGCATGTTCTGTGCCAATTCCTGGGCTTGGTAACGAGCCGAGTGAGTTGGTTCTCCTCCCCACTTGACGATAAGCTGCAATTTGTCCAAGACGAAACTATTGTCAGCTGCTGTAAACTTCGACATTGTTACTCCTGACATGGAATCTTGTCGTCGCGGTGGATGTCTGGCTTGTACTTCAGAGTCCGACACAACCGCTTCCGTTACTTCAGGCCCACGCTGGTTGTCTTCGACCTCCGACTGTTCCTCTGTTGGTGGTTGGGTCGTATCTTGTTTTTCCTCGGACAGGGGAACTGTGGTATTTGACTCTAGCTTAACTCCTTCAGTAACTTTCGGAGTAGATTCAGTCATCTCTGCGCCTTTCTTCTTGCGGAACATCGGCTTGATTTGAACCTTAGTACCAGCCCAACCTCCTTTCTTAACCAATACATTGCGAAGAGACTTGAGCTTATTTCTGTCTTCTTCTCCAGCTTTCAAGGCCAAGTCAACCGCATCAAGAACACTAGCCAAGGCTGCCTCCCCAATAAGGAGAACTTCCTCTTGGTGGCCCTTCAAGAGATCAATGAACGGCTGTGTATGAAATGTGAATTTATACTTTTGTTTCGGAGTGCGATCAGCATGGCGAATAACGGAAACCATGCCCTTAAGCTTCCATGAATGTTTAGGTGGAGGCGGAGGCGGCGTTGGATGCTCCAAATGGTGATCGGTTTTATCCTCCGCTACGGCTGAAGGGGTAGTCGGAAGAGTTGACGGGGCTGTCGCTGGCAGACTACTTCCAGCAGAGCCGCTAGTATGATATGCCCCAGGGCTAATAATGCCATTTTGCAATCTCGTTGCGATAGCTGCTACCCCTGAGTCAGACTTCGGCGGAGAGGTTGGTCCCGCGTTCTGCTCCTCCTTGACTTCCTTGGTTTCTTCGGGTGAGAGTGAGCCTGTAGTTGTCGGAGGCCTAGTATGAATGGAATGTCTTCCGGCAGCTTGCAATTCCCTCTCCTTACTATTCAATAGAGCTTTGGTTAGTGGGTCGCCAATATCAGAAATGGTAGGAGATGGGAAAGGCGGCGTTGGACCACCGCGCCGAATTTTCTCCTTAACGAAAATATCCTTCAAAATGCTTGCGCAATGATCATAATAGGTTTCGTTATCCTTTACAAAGCTCCAGCCATTGACATCTATAACATAACTCTTACCGCCAGCCCGAAGTAAGTCGAAACCACAAACACGTTGACCAAACGTATTGGCAATCTTGCTTGCGATCTCCTTCTCTTCCGGGCATAACGCGGTAACATAACGTATTTCTTTGCCATGGGTGTTACGACGGACGATGCCGTCCACAACAGGTGATTTTCTCGTCTCAGCATGGCAATACTGCGGCCCTACCGTATAAGCTTTCACATCCTCGGCATTATCCACTTGCATGAATTTTTCATAGATGAAACTACCCTCGGGTTCGGTGATAGCGCGGGGTACAATGAGGTCCTTGATGAATTCAGAACTCTTGTTTCCAATTTTTCTGAAAAGCTTTCGGGCACCTCCGCCAGTTGATTTCGGGAAATAGATGATGATGTTATGGTCTTCGCCGCTAGTCGGTTTTTCGACGAATGGCTTTTTTAATAAGGTACCGTCCACGCTGAGAATGTCACCATCGTCAAGTAACTCTACTTTGCGGGGTACGCGGTAACTTTCTGGTCCACTGGGTTCTAGGCTGATAGATGTAACATCTTTTATATGTTTCGCAACCTCCGGGGTTAGTATACTCGGACCGCCGTCACGATTAACCTCTACTCGTTTCGGAGTCGGCACTTCTATTTTATCGAGTATTTGCAAACAGAGCCGTCTATCCCATAATACCTTCTGCATTGGTACATCGTTGACGCAGAACGGTTTTCGAGTTTTGACATAAGCAATTGCCTTTTCCAAGGGAAAACCATCTGAATAGAAGGATATCAAATAGTCACATATCGGCCAATTCTCCACCTCTATTACATTGTTAGTTTTGTGTGTCGTATGATCATAGATTGCATTAGCAGGCTAACCTTCATCCAAAATTGTCTTATCGCCAAATACTATCACGTCGAATTCGCGATTCGCAATTAACCTATTGAGAATATTCCTACTCGGCTTGCTCCTCGCCTTAGCATCTAACGCGCAAACCCCGATTATACCCCATGGTGCGGGTTTGGCTTCTTCCTTTTCTCTTGAGTGAGGACCTCTGTCGCTGCTAGGACTGTGGCTACTAGCTGCTGTGCTACCACTCAACCGACGCTTCGCCCTGCTTCGAGATCTAGTCACTTGGGGTCGAGGCGCCGGATTGGACGTAGGCGCTGTATTTCGCTTGACAAGATCCATGGGATTTCCATTATGAGCATCTCGAGGAGTCAATTGAGGGCCACCAGCAGGAGTTTGAGAGTTCGAGTTAGACGAAGTCGTAATTGTCACATTGGTCAAGCCAGATTCAGATTGACCGGGCGATGGGCCTAGACCTTTACCGGAAGCCATGATACCGGAAGCGGAACGTTGTACAGCACCACTATCGGAACCGGCTGTGGAAGGGGTAGAGCTTGGATTGCCACGAGAAGATGCAAGGGAGAATACTGAAGAAACAGAAACACGCTTCCCTGCGTCGTTGTCTGACGAGGACGAAGGAGGGTTCACCGCAGGTTCTGGCAGATGATAAGGAGAACCCGTTTCCGTTAAAGAAGGCCCAGGTATTAGCTTGGGAGTGTTATCGATGTCGTCGATAGCCAAGTCGTTAGCACCAGGATCAGCAGAAGCGGCAGCGGCAGCAGCAGCGCGGCGAAAATCTTCGCTCCAGATTTCGGACCCAGATGACTCGCGTCGACGGAATGGAGACGTAGGAAAATGGGGCAACTTCAATGGTCTGGCCAAGGGCATTGACAATTTTGCAGGCTCGACGGATACATCAGTAGTACCAATGGGTTCGGCATGTCGACTTTTCCCACTGGCTATAGAGCTGGCGATGCTACTGGCTACGGATGATGAAGAGCGAGTGCGGGTCTGTGACACAGTCCAAGATGAAGAAGTGGGAAGTTTCTTAAAAGAACTGCTGCGACCCGTTTTGTTACTTCCATTAGCCGCCTCCATTCTTTTTTTGGGTTTTGGTTCTGGATTTTCTTATCGCAATTGCCCTAAAACCTTTAGACTTTTTTTTTTTCTTGTATAGTGTACTCCGTAGTGAGGCCCGTTTTATTACTGTATTTCGTCATTAAATAGGTTCCAAGTACTTCATTGAGCGGGTTAGATAACCATCCTTGTTTTCCCTTTTTGTCCTGTGGTGGCTCTAGATGTTTTAGCTACGTCAATATTCCGAGCACTCGTCGTACGTATGTACCCGCCCAAACGTACATATATGTAATATATAATAGGTAATATGTAAGGAAGTAGGTACTCTTTTTTGGTTACTCACCCACTTTACATACCACGTAATGGGGGAAGAGACGAAACTCAACCTTATGTATAAACGGTTGTAACCAGTGGCAAATAACGAAAATCGAGAATTGGTTTAGATGTCGTATTTTATTGTGGCGCAAACAATTCTAACACCTTCTCTCGATCGAAAAAAACAATAATAGTGAGGAGGCTACATACGAAGTTAATCATTTGATACCTCGCTATAGAAAATGTTCGCAAATAAGAAAAAAAAGGTTGAGAAGAAAAGTTGGCGCATTAATTTTGCTTCATTTATCGGATCTCGTCGCATAAAATGTATCAATCCAGGCCCCGGTTTATTTTATTACTATTCTTTTTTTTTCTTGCCCACCGTCATAAGTAGAAAGTGGGTCGCGGATACGGGGAGGACCCGGTGTCTTGAAGGGGGTCAGACATACATCATGAGCTTCATTGGCGGCTCAAGACGGATTTCGACAGTTGCATCTGCGGCCCGCGGCCATAGACATACGTGGCGGGCAAACGGACCAGTAAGGAATCTAGACCTCTTTGGATAGACGTCAAGATCTTACTAGCAGGTTGGGAATTCCAAACTAGGTAAAAGAAAGGAAATTGATAATAATATAAAAGGCCACTAGGTAGAGTATCCGGGGAATCGTGGGTAGAGAATTGAAGCTATTGGCACCGGGAAATAAAGTGATAAATTTCGATGGCTTTCTAAGTTGTGCTATGGTGTGCTATGGGAAGGATAACATTGATATTGGCAATTCCAATAGCAAATGCCCTGGTACCCCATGATGGCATTTCTGAGCAGCTGGGCACATGCAAATGCCATGACGTCCAGTAGGACGCTAAAACTTCAGGGGGTGACCAGCCAATAACGTAGAATAATTGGGAGGTTTGGGTGGTGCTCACTGCACTGGAACTGCGGAGCCGTGACCCTAGCTGTTTAACAGGTCAGGCACCTAAGACAGTGTAGTGTTTTCGGCAAAGGATGAGGCGGTGAAAGCTGGAAAACCAACAGCTTGGCTAAGGCGATGGTCGCCTACAGCTGTGATTGATTTCCTTATGGAGGTCCTTTAGGTCGCATCAATAGCACTTAAAATATTTATTAAATCACGACTTTGAAGCATCACCTGATTGATGACTGAAATAATGGGGTAATTTGTTGGAAATTTCCCGAGAAAAGATCTGGGCAATTCTTTATTTATATGTGGAGACAGAAGCTAAAAGGCACTGATAACGATAAGAGATCTTAGTTAAACTTATGTACAGTACAATGTAGTACCTGAGTATCTAGGTACTTACAGATACATACCAAGCCATTTTCCTAGCAAACTAACTGCTGGAAAGATTAATGGGATTTGAAAAGGGATTGCGGGTTTGTAGAACGGATTGGGCAGTCAATTAATTGATATTGAGATGCTCTTTTAAATTGAATTGAATCTATTAGGGTCGGAGTGTTCTGTTTGAGGTACCTGTGCTGCATGGTCGGAGTAAGAGATTGCGGGGCCGAAGTACAGGGTGCCTTGTACTGGAAAAAAAAAAGTTGACCAGCTCCATCCAAAGGAAAAAAAAAGATTCATCAACATGCAGCTTCAAAGCCAATAATGCTTCGCGGGTCCCGCATGCGAATAACAAGACGATAACGATTGAAGCGCGGCGAAAAAGGCAGTCGCAGTTTATTTTACAAGGCACCTCGTCGCAATGCCTCATTCCGAACATGAAGGGCCTTTGGTCAAGCGACAGAAGACTGATTCTGTCGCGAGACCTAAATCTTCCACGTCTCAACAGTCCAGAATATTTGCTCCATATCGAGTGCGTATAGAAAATCTGATATTCTCGCAGTTAATAATACTAAATTGTAATCTGAATGATTAGACAATAGGTCTTGTCTCCCCTACCAACGTACCTTTTACCTCCGTCCCTCTAGGAAACACCACGTTCCAAGTCACGACATCTATAGGCCGTTCCCTCCAAACCTACGATCTCAAGCGCGGTCTCAACCTCGTATTTATAACTCGACCTCAAACCCCAAGCGCGATTACTGCGACATGTGCCTGGAAGCAGAAAGTATTTGCTGCGTGGGGCGATCCCCGTGATGGCTCTTCTCAAGGTGTCTGGATTTTTCAGAGGGGCAAGAAGGTCGGCGAACTACAGCTTCCACCTGATCTACACCAGCCGATAAAACAGATCCTCGTCTTCGGTTCCTGGATCGTCGCATGCGGGTTAACGAGAATAGAAGTATGGGCTTCGGCGACACTGGAACACTACACCACGCTTTTCACGATGGCTTCTAAGAAGGGCGATAATGAACTTACCGGTGGAATATGTACCATGCCGACATACTTGAACAAAATATTTGCCGGCCGTCAAAATGGATGGGTCGAAATATGGAACATATCTACGGGAAAACTGATCTACACCATTTTACCACCATCTCCAAATTGCGGCGCTGTTACTTGCATGCAGCCAAGTCCAGCGCTTTCTTTAATGGCTATTTCGTATGCGGGAGGTCCATTGGTTATTCAAAATGTACTTGCAGACAAGAAAATTCTCGAAGTAAATGCAGGTACCGAAGACGCGCCCGTCACGAGTATTTCGTTCCGAACGGATGGTCTAGGTGCTGGTCAGGATGGACGTAAAGAGGGAGTTATGGCGACGGCGACGAACTCGAGTGGTGATATTACATTCTGGGACCTTAATAAAGGCGGCAGGATTATGGGTGTTCTTAGGAGCGCTCATAACCCCCCGACACAAGAGGGTGACTTAGCTCGCGGGGGGGTTAGTAAGGCCGAATTTCTCGCCGGTCAGCCAGTCATTGTCACAAGTGGCAGAGATAATTCCTTGAAGACCTGGATATTCGACGAGACACCCTTTTCGCCGATACCACGAATTCTACACACGAGGAGTGGTCATGCAGGACCAGTTACGTGCTTACAATTCCTACCGTCCGATTTTGAAGGTGCTGAAGCAGGTAATAAGTGGCTTCTTAGTGGTGGCAAAGACAGAAGTCTCTGGGGTTGGAGTCTTCGCCGCGATGGCCAGAGTACGGAATTGAGCCAAGGTAACATCCGCAAGAAAGCTAAGAAGTACGGAATTCTTGACAGCAACACTCCAAGCCGTGGCCCTACTACTACACTTGACGATTTAAAAGCGCCCGAAATTACCTGCATCGCATGCTCATTGAACAGGGACGGTGGAATGGGCGCTTTACCTGGCAAACAGGTATTATGGCAAAAATCCCAAAATCAAAAGAAGCCTGTAGACGCCGAAGTCAGCAGTATGACAGGTTGGGAAAGTGTTGTTACAGCGCATAAGGACGACTCGTACGTTCGAACATGGTTCTGGGGTCGGAAAAGAGCTGGAAGGTGGGCATTCCAAACTGGTGATGGAACGAATGTATCAACCGTGACCATGAGCCCGTGTGGAACGTTCGCTGTGATCGGATCGGATGGCGGATCTATTGATATGTTCAACCTCCAGTCAGGATTGCATCGCCAACGATTTCCATCAAAACTTACACCGGCGCAAGCAAGGCAACTCAAATTGCAGCAATTAAGGCAGGCAGATACCGTGGTGCAATTACAGGCTCGCTCATCTACAGGTTTCGCTCGAGGCACCGGCAAGCATACACAAGCGGTCACGGGAATTGTTGTCGACTCCATGAACAAAAACGTGATTAGTTGCTCTCTAGACGGAAAAGTGAAATTCTGGGAATTTCTTACGGGTAATTTACTAGAAGAAATCAACTGGGCTCCAATGACAGGGATTACCGCCTGTCGTTACCACCCCGCCAATGACCTAATAGCCTTTTCTTGCGACGACGGTTCTATCCGAGTCGTAGACATTGAGACGAAGCAAACCATTCGTGAATTTTGGGGATGCCAGGGCAAAATCAACGATTTCATATTTTCTAACGACGGTCGTTGGATAGTGGCTGCCTCTCAGGATGCCATAATACGAGTATGGGATTTACCGACGGGTCACCTAATTGATGCGATACGGTTAGAGAAGCCCTGTACTGCCTTGGCCTTCTCGGCAACGGGTGAGTATCTGGCTGCAGCTCCCGAAGGAGAGTTAGGTGTCAACATTTGGAATAATAAGACACTATTTACTCACGTGCCCACTCGACAATTATCTGAAGATTCAATTAGGGAGATATCAGGACCCACGGCATCAGGAGAGGGTGGTCAAGGCTTGCTTGAGGCCGCTTTCGACGATACGGCATCTCGGGAAGAGGAAGAAGTCGCCCCATCTAACTTGGATCAATTAAGTACGGATATGATGACATTGAGCTTGGTTCCACGGAGCAGATGGCAAACCCTTCTCCACTTGGACTTGATTAAGCAAAGAAACAAACCGAAAGAAGCGCCTAAGGCCCCTGAGAAAGCACCTTTCTTCTTACCATCGACAACAAACGCAGGAGCCTCGAGTTTAGAGATAGCCCAACCGAAGACGGATCAAGATCAGAACCAATCAAGAATCACTCGATTTGATCGGAACAGGGCGGAACAAGCTTTCACCAGTAAATTGCAAACTGGCGCTGCTACTGGAAACTGTATGTGCCATTCTCACTTATGTATTTAGTTTGGATGCTAATCTTTTTCTAGTTGATGAATTCATCGAGCACCTCAAATCTCTACCTCCAGCTACAGCGGATTTAGAGTTACGTTCTCTGACTACCAACGATGATGACGAGAGGAACGAGCTACTTCAATTCATTCGTGCTATGACTAGCCGCCTTGTATCACGCCGTGACTATGAGCTTACTCAAGCTTGGATGGCAGTCTTCCTTCGGTTACATTTCGATCTGATCTTGGAGAATGATACCCTTATGAGCGCGCTAGCAGAATGGAAGAAGCACCAAGCGGAAGAGTGTAATAGGTTAGATAACCTCGTTAGCTATTGTGGCGGAGTAGTTAGTTTCCTGAGAAGCCCACGGACATAGTCCGAACTACATCAGATACTTAAGTGCAACTTTAATTCAACACATTCAACAGCAAGCAAACTCATGTTTGGATTTATCTAGCGTCACATGAAGATTTTTACTTTCTATTCTATCCATACACGACCAAGCGCTACAGCGTTTAATATTAGATAAGTATCATAAGGTTAAAGTGATTTGTGAAGCACTTACCCCTCAAGCAACTCATGATCTAACACCAAACACATAAGGTTACCCTAGCTAGACAGAACAGTGTAAATGTAAAGCGCGACCAGTCTGGTTTGCCTGGCCGCCCCATAAGTGCCATAGCTACCTACCTATTTTGATACTCCCAACACTGTCTCTAAACTCCCTAATTTCTGTTCAATGAATTTAACTTCGTCCTGTGAACTCTATCTGCAATAATCAGCTCAAAGCCTGAGCGCAAATATCAGCAAAGTTTCCTGAGCATTTCTCCTTCTATATAAGGCCGCCTCACATCCCATCCTCTCATCCTCCCATCACTCTCACTTTCTCTGTATCTAAACATAGGAGTTTTGAAGCAGAAATCAGCATTCCCGAATATTTCCAATCCTATACTTATTTTAATATACTTCGATTATTCCAAGCAATCCGAATACAAGACTATAAGATCGGAAAATCGCATCCTGTTTACCTTCCTGACAGTATCAACAAACGTCAGGAAACAAGATTGGTATCAACAGACCAATACCAATACCATCACCACAACCACACCACACCACACCAAACAACAATCACCACAATGAACTCCGAGCAAAGCACCTCGTACAAGTGGGGCATGCCGTGTCCATATGGTCAGGCGATGTCAGGCCAAGCACATGCCCCCGTCAATGCCCCCACCCAAGAGACTAGAGTCCAAGAGACGGAGCAGAGGATACCAGACTTGGGCAACCAAACTCAGCCGCCTCAAAGGCCAGAACACCCAGCGATGCCGGACTATATCAGACGGCCCTGGGATACACCGTCTAGCCCCGGCCCTGCTCGTCACAACTTGGACGCCACTACCACTGCATCTGGAGGAGCGCTGCAAGGGGGACTACGCTCCCCAGAATTAGACCTGCAAGAAAGCGCTGATGCGACTGATCGCGAGATCACCAGCACTGCCGTCAACACTGAAACAGACACCAACGAAAGTAAGTGATGACAAAAACCACTAAGTATATCCCGTCGCTAACTCAAAGCCCTAGGTTTCAGGACGGCACCCGAAGACCACAACCGACAGCCAGGCTCGCCGGTGTATGTCCCTGAGTCCCCAAATTGGGAAAACTGGGACTTGCCAATTACTCCGAGCAACCGGGCAAATGACCAGCGGGCCTCACTTGCATCTAACGTCGACCAACTTGACTCGGACGACGAAATTGGTGCAGTAAGGGTACCGAAGTTGGGCTCCGAATTGTCCGACCCCTTCGTTGACGCGCCCTCGGGCGGTGAAAAGGCGCCCGGGGTATGGAATGGGATGGTGTCAAGACTGTCCGCGCTGAAGAGGTCGATGCGATTCAATGGGACCCTGAAGTACGTAGCTCCCCGCTCCCCGCTAGGCCGCGGAAGATCCGCCCCGAGGAGCAATCGTCGGGAATCGGGGTCTAGCAGGCCAGCCTCGGTGAACTCGGCGCCGCGATGGGAACACGTGCCTTCAAAACCACCGACGAGTGCTGGAAGCCCCTCCTCAGCGCGCCGGAGGCACAGTCAGCAATCGCAGAGCTGTGGTAGTGGTAATGCTGGCGCTTCTAGGCTCTTGTCGCCGCCGCCTCCGCCAGCAGAGTACAAAGTGCAGCCACGGATCCTCGTGGGTGGGGATTGCACTATAAATGTGAACACTGCGGATGAGGTGCGACAGATCACCCAGGACTTGCCGGTTATACACATAAAGGGTAATTTATGTGTAAACGTGGCGCCGGGTTGGGGAGAGCAGGACAACGGGGGCTGGGATGATAACGGCAATAGCCACTGGGAAGAGGGAGAGTGGGGAGCAGAGTACCATGGGTACAACGAGGAGGACGTTCCGTACGATGTGTGGTAGTGCCACTCTCGACGGATTGGAGATGGGGGATGGCTGTCGGCCCCAAATACGAGTAAACTTGAAGCCTTTCGATGGTTATGACTCTACACATTAGTTTATCCGGATCCCGCGACATTACAAAACACAAAGGACGCCGAAGTACACCGATACGTCCGTATTGTGCAACGAGGTTGCCGGTGGTGGCGGTGGCTTCGTCCACCGCGACGGCATGTGGGGGTCGATCCGGATATTTGAGGGTCGAAATTAAGCCGGGGAGTCAGATCGTTGCTGAAAGGGCTAGTTTCTAGTTAGGGCCGTGGTGGATGGGAGAATAGTTGTCCGTGGAGGTTTCGTGAATTTCTGCCGTTTGATACAATGATGAGATGTCATTGATTTCTTATGTTACGAAGATACCCAGTCAGGTTATTTAGAGAATTATTCACCATTCAATATACGTTTCCGAGTTTCGGCATGCTGGAACTAGACTCGATCGTGAGCTCTCTTGCCATTGGGAAATTATGCCGTCGTGTAATGTTAACTAGCATCCGTGTAGACCCATCGCCGTCAATTAGACTCATGTTGTAATTCCCCGTATCAGCACATGTGGACTCGGTTCGTCACAATGCCGATGTCGTGTAAGGAGCAAGTAAGGGATATGATTGCCTTTTTCTTGGTCAGGAGTCCATAGCTTATTCATCTCGTCGTATATCGTTAGCGATTAAGCTGTCTAGAAGGAACATAACTCAGCTAGACCTTGTCGTTTGTTGGTTCATAGGTTCGTTAGTACGACATTTGCGCTAGTATGTCACAAGGGTTAACGACTTCTACATTTGCATATCCATAATAATAACGAGGTCCGAAGCCAAATCCGACTCCGTAGCGTCCCGATCCCGAAGTAGTGATCCGGGGTTGCTTGGCCAATAACGTGTTAGCGCGAGAGGACCCCTTATGTGGGATGTGGGATAGCTACCCAAATTATCAAATTATTTGAATCCTTTTTTTCTTTCGCCTTCGCGGCGCATTTGATTAGGAAGCAAAAATTCCACAACCGGGGGTAATATTTAAGTACAGTTGGCCCGAGAGCTTGGTTGCCGGGTATATTTAAGGGTGCGGTTGTCCAACACTTTGTTTTGTTTGCGCTGGGGTGCATTTGAAGGATACTCTGGGGAAAGAAGGAAAGCAATTGAAAAAAATTCAATCACTTCAACAGTGAATTGCAATGGCGGTATTCACAGAGCAAATCCCTGAAATAACCGAGATGTCACTCGGGAAAACAGGACTTGAGGAAGAAACGGATGCGACGCCTAAATCCTCGAGTCTTAAAGACAACGCGCCAAATTCCAATGGCGATGAAGAGCATGGATTATCGAGGTTAGAAAAAATTAAGACGAAGTTCGGAGACAGACCAGAATGCTTCAAGAATACTATCCAGGAAGCTTCCTTTGTCTTCCAAGCTACCGTCGCAACCGCCACAACATCTTTCCTCTCCGGTGTCGCTTTAATCATCACGGTTCCCGTATCGCGAGACTTGGGAATGACCCAGGGTGAGATAGCATGGATCAGTGCTTCGACATCGTACGTTTTAAATCTCTAATTTTGCGAAATTATTATGCCGCGCGGCCACTAATGCGACTACAGGCTTGTTGCTGGCGCCTTCCAGCTTGCTTTTGGACAGCTCGCTGATCTGATGGGCCGAAAACCGATGTTCATCACTGGGATGGCGTCATTCAGTGCATTTGTACTACTGGTGGCTTTCGCACAGAACCCGTTCTGGATGTTGATCGTCTGTGGCATCCTTGGCGCTTGTTCCGCTATGGTTGTCCCTCCGGCGATAGGCATCCTAGGTGCTGCGTATGCGACACCCTCTAAGCGGAAGAACATGGCGTTTTCGGCGTTCAGCGCGGGAAATCCATTGGGTTTCGTCTTCGGCACTATCGTATGCGGTATTGCGACACAGTTATCCAGTTGGCGTGCAGCGTTCATCGTGTTGTGTATCATCTGGGCCATCCTCTCCGTTCATGCTGTCTGGGCCGTGCCGAATGTGGAAAATTTCGATCGTGCGCCATTCAAGGAACGGCTGGCCTCGCTGAAGCATTTCGACTATGTCGGTACGATCCTGACGATATTCGGCACCGGAATGTTCACCGCGGGTTTAACGTAAGTTCTTCCCATAATTTCTTCAAATTTCCAATTCTAACAGAATTTCAGTCTTGGTCCCGAAGATGGTTGGGCCAAAGCGCATGTAATTGCGCTGTTAGTCGTCGGTATCGCGTTACTGATCATTTTTGCTTTATGGGAGAGAATATTCCCTACACCTTTGATGCCTCCGCATATCTGGAAAGACCGGAACTTCAGCCTTGTAAGTCCTAATTTTAAAACAGTTTATTTCGCGATGCTAACTGTTGCAGATTATCGGAGTTGTACTTCTCGGTACGATGAGTTTTACAGCGAGTGCTTTTTGGGTTGCATTTTTTCTGCAAGATCTTCGGAAAGAATCAACCCTCATGGTTGCAGTATATCTCCTCCCAATGGCTATTGCAGGACTCTTCTGGAACGTCGTTGCCGGCCGAATATTGCACCGTGTCAACAATACTGCCATCATGGTTTTCGGCGCTACATGTTACGTAGGATCTGCGTTACTGTTCTCTTTCATGAAAGAAGACAGTATTTACTGGGCTTTCATATTCCCTGCGCTGATTCTAAACGTCGCCGGAGCTGATCTTCAATTCAACGTTGCCAATGTGAGTTGCCACCCGCACCTTATATCTAGAAATTGCCTAACAACTATTAGATGTATGTGATGCAGTCGCTTCCTAAGCACCAACAGTCTCTCGCTGGCGGTATCTTCAATGTTGTTATCCGCTTGTCCAACACCGCGGTAATGGGAATTTCAACGGCGGTATACAGTTCTATCGAACTAACACCACAGGGAATGGCCGATCCGATGCTCAAATTCACCAGAACTTTCCAACTATGCTTGGCGTTCGCTGGCGCAAGTTTGCTGCTTGCTCCTTTTATTCGACTAGGAACCCAAGGAAATCACCCGAAAGATGCGCAAGAGCCAGGTCAGACGGAACAGAGTCAGTCCGAAAAGACGACGGTTGTAAACGTTGGCGCCGACGAAGTTGAACCGGAAGAGAAGAAGCGCGAAATATAGACAACCAATTAGAATTAGACTCGATCCGTCATTACGGGCTTAGATATTCAGTACTGTAAAGCCGTTAGGCATAATAATTCGGAAATGATTCAGTCTTGGTATTCTTTCCATTTGACCATTCTATCCTTCAAGTTTAAAATTTCGCCGTCGACGACAAATGTACCATCACCGCGATGGTGGAACATCTTCCCGCCCTCTCCGGGCTTTTTATTCGGGTTGATCCACGCCTTGACAGGCTTAAGAACCCACATCGAGTATTTACTAACCATCTTATTATCATGAACTTTGCACTCGATGTTTGCGATGATGTTGTTACCGCCCACAAGTGGCGCTTTGATTTTAGCAGCGGGTAGGGCTTCCAGCCCGAAGCGGGACCACTTGCCGTCGGCCTCCTCCACATCGGGGTCGGCTTTGGAACAGTTCCCGATATCTACCACGGTAGCAGCCATTTCGAAGGAAGGAATCGCTAGCACGCATGATCCCTGTTTCTTAAGCAACGAGAACGAAGCGTCCCACGGCCCGAGGCAAATGCCGATCAGGGGCGGTTGTTCATGTTGCATGACCATATGGAAACCGATTGTCATGACATTGTGATTTTGATCTTCTAGCGATCCGGTTGTGATTAAAAGCACAGGGCCAGGTTCGATTAAGCGATATACCTTGGATGCCGGATATTCCTCAAAGCCATGGTAGGGATTACTGCTTTGTGGTGGAGAAGACGGTTCCTCGTTCACCTCCTCGTCGGGTTTTTGGTGTTTAGAGGACGAGGCCTCGCCTTGTTCCTGTCTCGTTTCGTTTTTACGTTTTCGCGGCATTGCATAGGCGTCGTCTCTAGAACGTAAACAGGATGTGTTGAAGTTGAAACTTCTGTGAAGAGGTTTGTGACGTAGGACTTGATAGGAGTAGAGGAGTAGAGCTTAACTCCGCAACTGTATCGCCGAAACATAGGTGGTCCGTTCATCTACGCCCTACGAAAGTCAGGATCGGCAATTTGCCCGAAGTCGGACGGACACAGCGGGAAAGCTATAACAATAATTGCAACTTATCACAAGTATAGGCTATAGAAAAAAATAGCGTTATACGAAGAAGGATCGGGGTTCCGCAGGTGATAGAACCATAATATTATCTATGTAAGATCGGACTTTCATTCCGCACTCTAAGGAAACTAGCGCTTATTTTCGGTATAGAGTCCAAGAAGGGGGTTGCACAAATTCCGCACTTGTATCTATATGCAAGTTGTATAACCGACCACGGCGAGTGACTCAGTATAATGCGAAGCACCCTAGGTACCTATACTAAGTAATGCATACACATATGTACTAAGATTTATGCTAGTAGTACATTAGATGCCATATAGGCGAATCCCCTGTGGGCCAGCACTACTATCGTTCTAACGACTTCAAAGTCAAAACACTCCCAATCCCCTTCGTTTTGAATACGTTTACTCATTGTTAATTTATTTTAATACTGTCTTAATAATATTGTTTGAAAAAATTTCGCAATGGTTTCCAAACCCTCTAAACATGGCTGGAAAATAGAGGTTAGTTTTATGTTGTGTCATGTCTTATATTGCGCTTTATTGGGACCTATTTCATGTCAACTGTTCAGTTTAGCTGTCCTGAAAATTATTGCTGATGTTTTGTGCCTTGAATAGCTCGTTCCTTGGGATTTTTCGAGCCCCGAACACGTACAAAGGCTCTACGAGCAGCGCATCGCCTGTGGATGGAGGGCCGAGGAAGTACCCTCGGTGAGTGTATACTTGAGACCTTGCTCTTACTATCTGGCTTTTCAGAGAAGAAACCAACTAGGTACTTCTAAGTGTATACGTTGTCAATACTACCACCTAATGTGGAGTAATAATGTTCAAGACTTATCATGAGTAGCCATTCCTAACTCTAAATATTGTAGTGGATAGAGGAGGCAAAGAAAGGTGGAAAGATATTCTACTGGGCTGTGAGTTCCGGGACCTGACCTTTATTCGTCTTCATAGCTGATAGACTAGCTCTTTTCGGATGCTCTTCCGGAGCGGGAGAAGCTCATTGAGACGCATATCGAAACCTATCCTAAGGTACGCCATAGTCACTTGACCATATAATTGGGCGCGCTAAGAATTCGCGGATAAGGAATCGACTCCATTGAGGGACACGGCAGCAGAAGTTCGGCTCGTTCCGCGGCAACCAACCCATGTGGAGTTCATCCCCATTGGTCATGTAGCCGTCGACATTCACGAACCCGAGGAAGACGTCAAATTGGGCCTCCCAGCTACTGGAACAGTCTGGATCCATCAACTGTATATATCGCGTGCACTGCATGGTGGTGGTTACGGCGCTGGAACCATGTCAAAAATCGAGATGCTTGCCGCGCAGGAACCCATGAATGCGAAAAGAGTGGCCTTGGACACCTTAACCAAAGAATTACAAACTGACCCTAAGACACGGGATATCTTATATGGAGAGGGTGGAAATCCCGCACCACTAGTAAGTTGAGACGACTGTTCTCATCCTTTCTAGAAGGAGTATCAATGTTGAGCCCCATTGGTATAGGTATCCAACGAAATTTGGTACGTTGGCCAAGGTTATGAGGTGTTCAACCGAGCAGAAGGGGCGTATGAATGGAGTCCTAAACCAGGGATCACCATGCCTAGTGAGTATATTTCGAATCTGCTTATCGGCGCTTTTGTTTTCTCGTTTAGAGCATGTGTTACCACCCTCCTTCAACCTGAATCGAGTGGGATGCGCTCATGGGTCAAGCTCGACAACTCATATTTGCCCCTTAGTCATGGCGTTCTTGGCGACCACTAATAATCAATGCTATAGTGAACGTTGTGTATATGCGAAAGCCGTTGGTTTGAGAAAATGGTCTGGTGTTCCGGTTGGTCCTATAAGTCCTGGGTAGAAAGCTGTTCCTTATTCCTAGCCTCAAACTAGCCTCACAACGGATCGATTGGATTCGGGCGGGGGTTCATTAGAATGAAGCGATTCCGGAATGCGTGCTATTTTGAACTCCGTACTCGCATCGCATCTACATGAAGGAGGAGCAACGGGAGTGGAGAGGACGGAATGACGAAGGATCAATAGGAGGTCCACAAGAAGCAACATGAATGTCGTCGGTAATGGGTTTAGATGAGAGATTTGTATGCTGCCCAACAGCCATGAGGACTTAGACGCGGGCCAGGGTAGTAATGCATTTGCGTCGGGAAGAATCGTTCAATTTGTTGCTCCTTCCGAATAAGTAGCTAGACGCTTCGTGATAGTCGAATGGTCAGATAAGATAGGATGGTTGAGAAAAGTCATGCAAGAACAAGTCATCTAGCGCAACTTCAAAAAGGGAGACGAGGTGAGGCGACCTCTTAAATAACGTGGCTCGGGGATAGTTGGGGAAAGGGGATAAGCCGTGGGGGGTGAATGATTTTTCGGTGGTGGTTTCGGCTAAAATGGGAATCTGGGGGTGACCCGTGCGTCGGAGTGGGTGCACGGGCCCCATACATAAGGTTTCCTTTAGTTCAAACGAGTTCAAATGTTCGAGTGGACCCACCGAAGCTGCAGAAGCAAAGTTACTAGAGGTACCTACGTAGCTCGACAGGCACTAGACGTGTTAAACTGACCGGGGTGTTGGAGACGCGAAAATGGTATGTCAGTCGCGAGGCGGCTTCTATCCCAAGTCCCTCAAACATCCCCCACCAGTCGAACCTTTTCTCGTTCCACCCATTGGATCCATCGTCAACCATCCTCCGTCCGAATGCCTTGGATTACCTCTCATGCTTCGCCAGTAAAAATTGCGACCCAACCCTCGTCGTCGCATTGGGCAGTATGGTGGCTTAACACATAATATAATCTGGCTTTATCTTTCTCGTGTCTGTCGTCCACCCGTTTCGATCGACTACCATCCGCGGTCGAACACGTCGAGATTGGACCACGCCAGCACAACAGCCATTGAAACGCGTAAATGCTATAGTCTAAGCTTACGAAAAGTAAACAAAGCCTGCTTATGTGCCTCTCTTTTCGGAACATCACCAAGTCCAACTCCGTTCAGATGCCGCCCGCTAGTCAATTTTTGAAGCACTCGAAGACGAAAATGCAGGCTTGGGTCACTAATAGTAGTAACCAGGCAGTTCCTACTGCGTCTGGCCCGGGTCCGGGACATGATAATCAAAACTATCATACTCATCTTATTCAACCTCGTCAAGTCAATCTGTCCCAACATGCTCCCCTGGTCGCACAGCCCGCACAGACGACTCAAGCACCGCCTACCTCGCCCCCACGATCACGCGAACCTATCATCAAAGCAAATTCCAATAGAGCTGCTGCTGTTATGGCTGCACGATTACCCGTCCCGGCGAGCCGCACTGGCCACGCTCGAGATACGTCACTTAATATGTCACGATCGAAAACCGTCGCCTCCGAACCCATACAATCCTCGCGACGGGTGGCACCGTTTTGGGAAGGGTCGACGGTAGACGGCTCCATGTTTAGTGAAAGTGGTAGCAATGCTGACGCGAACTCTGCGGCTACGTCCATGTATCGGATGCCATTTCGGCAGCCTCCATACCAACACAGAGGGGCTACTCCACGTCCTCGCCCTTATGCGAAAGAGGAATCCAATATACCGGATCAACATGCTCCATTCATTATAGGACCTAACGGTATAATAGATGTTGTTGGTGGTGGCCCCCTTACTAGAAGTGCTTCGACGCCAGATGCTAGGAGTCATCAAGGTCGTTTGAAGGTGGTTTCCTCCCCTGAACCTGAGCCTGATCAAGACTCGGATAGCCCATACCAAACAAGCCCAGAGAAGACTCCGTCTGCCAAGCGGCTTCCTCACCCTAAAGTATTACCTGTGCGACCTAGTCGCCGCGGTTCCTACTCTGAAAGAATTGCATATCCTCAAGGAGAAAATAACATGTCCTCGCCTCCACGTCAGCCATATCAAAGCTCTAACAATGACCTGGACGATGTGCGGTCAGAACGCTCCCTACGTTTACGTATGAAGACGCTTTCCGATCCCAACCGCAATACCGTTTTTGCGGATACAGACACCCCTGTGTTAAGTAACCACGGCGAGTCAGATGTTGAAAGTGTTGCCCCAGAGCCCGCACCAAAGCCAATCACAAAGCCTAAACCTCAGATCAGTCGGCAGCTCTGGCCTAAGACTAGTAGTCATGGCCGACCGGCTCTTCACGAGAGTGCGATGCCACGCCAAATGCTGGAGAAGCGCCTGTCCAATCCAAAGAAACGTGCACTCGAACTAGACTATGACGACGGTGCCTTGGCAGCGATGGACTATTCGGAACTGAAGAATGAGGCTTTTGACTTCGACCCAGCGCAGGCGGAGGTCCAATCGGCGGTAGGACCACCTCGGGGCGGCTTGCCGGAAAGGTTGCATCATTTCTTAGACCAGGACCAACCAATTCAGATGGAATTCTTCTCTAAAATGCCTGTCAAGGATTGGGAGGCTTCCGGTGACTGGTTTTTGGAGAAATTTGGGGAAATCATGGATAGATTCAGAGATGCCCGTCGGACAAAGAGGACAATGATGGAAGGCTTTGAAAATGAAATTGCTGAGCGAGGCGAGGCTGTGAGGAACAAGATACAAGGAATAGACGTGACGCTCTCTGACCTCAAAAGTGAAGGTGAGGGTATGATGGTGGGGAAAGAGTTTGATTAGAAGGAGCAAGAAGATGAGCAGTACCACGAATCTTATCCGACCGAGGAGCTATAACCGGCGCTTTTACATGGAGTAGAATGGGCAAATGACTTCTTGGAAGGAAATACGAGTGGTTAGATAATTGGGGTTGCTACCATTGCTACTCATAGGCTGCCACCACATCACAGCGTTCGCTCGCCCGAGAAAGTCTTCATGCAAGATGATGAACGACAGACATCGCCGAGACTGTTCTACATTATGGGAGACTACCTGGTAAGATACCCACTTGCTTTCACACATATCAGATGATGACTGTCTGCTTGACCTTTCTATCTTTGCCGACAATCAATCTCAACTGACATCTTGGCTTGTTGGAGAACAGCCCGCTCCTCACCTTGTCGGAAAAAAGCTCATATGCGGGATAATACGCATCGACGAATTTCACGACCTGATCGTCTGTCATGCCCGTTCCTCTCTGCGCCCGCAGCGCCGCTTCTTGCTCTAATCTCCAGTCGTACACCCACTCGGTATCTTCAGCATCGATATGGATGAATGCATCGAACATATCTGTGATAGCGTCGTAGTCTTGGAGACGCTCGTTGATAAAGTTCATATGTTCTAGAGGGTATCTCTTCAGCGTTCTGCTTGGTGCATTCCATTTAAACGTCACCTCCATTGGGCTCAGACGTCGAAAGCCAACGCACCAGCCCTCGAAGATGACTACCTGAACCTTGGGTTGGCCTGGGCCATTAACCACTTCCCAATGGGATTCGGAGACTCTGTCACCTTGGCCTGAATATGCCGATTTGTCATATTGAGGAATCTTGACTGGCTGCCCCTCGCACAATTTTGTGAAGAAGTCTCGAGCTAGGTTCATATCATGAGTGCCTACATAGACGTAGTATTAGGAACCAATGAATAGAGATATCCTTCCGAACTAAACAAGTCGTACCTGGCTCGCCTCGGACCTGAACTAATAAGTTGTCCGGGTGTGACTCGGCGAGCGCCGTTTGATCTTCATGCCGCAAGTAGAAATCATCGATACTACAAACCAGCGTTTGTAGGCCCTCATCGACCCGGAGCTTTGAGGCAAGGGCCTTTACTAGGGTTGTCTTCCCAGCCCCTTGTACACCATTGAGTCCGATGATGAAAGGCCTGGTCGGGTTTGAAGCGCTGTAGTTTTTATACCGTTCAAGTATGAAGGGTATACATATAGGGCTTTTGTCGTCAATTATCTCCGTATTCGTCGACATTTTCGGTAAGAAACTCTCTTTAATTATCTCGGCTTGAGAAACACTGGAACCTCGTGATTGTACCGGGCTGGGTGTTGTCTGCAGGTACCTTAGCACGTTTCGGTTATTCGGTCTGTTACCCCAAAATGCGTGACATAGGTACCTAGCATACGGAAGAATTCTAGCTTCAATGGTACATTAGGGGCCTATACTATGTCATTTCAACACTGGTTTTCTGGGCTAATGTAGTGGGGATGGGGAAATGCGGGGAGCTCAATGGTAGGTATTGATCTACAGGCAGACTTGAATGCTATAATTCGAGTTGCTTGTGAAATTGGCTATACTTAGATCAATGGAGCATTGGAACATAATCTCCAATCAAATGAAATACTTAGTCTTGAATGGATATTTTCCCAAGCTGTTTTTCAGCCTCAACTTATGAGTTATTATACGTTGAAGAGAGAAGCTGAATGTACCTAAGATTTAGAAGTTCTACCTCGTTAAGACGGCAATAGTAAACTTCGGCTCTTGTCATATTACCTAAAGTGGTTAATTGCCTGATATTAAGTTTAACACTGCATAAGCCATTGCTTAACTTTTAATAGATTTCTTACATCTTGATAACAAGAAGAATTGACTTTTAGAGAGAGAAAGCATAGAACAGAATGAAGGACTTTGAATACACGTGATGAATAATCGTATTGTACACATGACCTCATTTCTATCCGTCAGCAATTCAAGAGGTGCTCGACATGTGAACGTCCTGTGAGTCAGGCTATACTTATTTAGGTATAGTACACTCATCATTGTCGGGTCCACTTTCATACCATAACATCTGGGGCCCCTCGGCATTCCTGCCAGCTCTGTCGAAGCTGCCTCGGCTGAATAGCCGGAGTTTCAAAGCGGCACATTGGCAAAGCTGCTCTTTATTATGAGCGTCTGAACCTTCGGACCTTCCAATAAAGCTCTGTAATAATCATCTTTTTTTTATGTCATTACCTCTAGAAATGCCAACCTTATAATACACCTAGCCACGAATTGAGATCTATAACCATCTACCTTTCTACCTACCTCCATACCTAAATCATTCTCTAAACACCCCAGATCTAAGAGCTCCATTTAAACACGATGGCTGGTGAATTGCGCTATGACGACCAAGTCGTTGTCGTCACTGGCGCGGGTGGTGGTCTAGGAAAGGCATATGCTACCTTTTTCGCTTCGAGGGGAGCTAAGGTTGTTGTCAACGACCTCGGAGGTTCATTCAAGGGAGAGGGTAACTCAACAAAGGTAAGCAATAGCACCCCACCCCATACTAATCATTAAATGCATCATTTGCTAACGTTTTTGCGACAATTCCCAGGCTGCCGATGTAGTCGTCAACGAAATCAAAGCCGCCGGTGGCCAGGCCGTGGCCAACTACGACAGCGTCGAGAATGGCGAGAAAATCATCGAGACGGCCATTAAGAACTACGGCCGAATCGACATCCTACTTAACAATGCCGGTATCCTACGAGATATCAGCTTTAAGAACATGACAGATCAGGATTGGGATTTGATCATCAAAGTCCACGTTAAGGGTTCATATAAATGCGCGCGCGCAGCGTGGCCGTATTTCCGAAAACAGAAGTATGGACGTGTTATCAACACTGCATCTGCCGCTGGTTTGTTCGGCAGCTTTGGCCAGGCGAATTACTCGGCGGCGAAGCTGGCGATGGTCGGTTTCACTGAGACGCTTGCGAAGGAGGGTATTAAGTATAACGTTCTCGCCAATGTTATCGCCCCGATAGCAGCTAGTCGTATGACTGAGACTGTCATGCCTCCCGAGGCCTTGGAAGCCTTAAAACCCGAATGGGTTGTTCCCCTTGTTGCTGTTTTGGTTCACAAGAGCAACACAAAGGAGACCGGCAGCATCTTCGAGGTCGGTGGTGGTCACACTGCTAAGCTAAGGTGGGAGAGATCTGGCGGTCTTCTGCTTAAGGCGGACGACAGCTACACACCCGGCGCTATTCTCAAGAAGTGGGACAAGGTTCTCGACTTCTCCAATCCCCAGTACCCCACTGGCGCCAATGACTTCTTAGGTCTTCTAGAAGAATCACAGAAGTTGGGCCCGAATGAGCAGGGCGAGAAGTTGGACTTCACCGGCCGTGTAGCCCTAGTTACAGGTGGTGGTGCCGGTATTGGGCGGGCTTACTGTCTTGCCTTCGCCAAGTACGGTGCCTCAGTCGTTGTCAACGATCTAGTAGACCCCGACACCGTAGTTGGAGAGATCAAGAAATCGGGCGGTAAGGCAGTTGGCGTGAAAGCGTCTTCTGAAGATGGCGACAAGGTCGTAAAGGCCGCCATCGACGCCTTTGGCCGAATTGATATCATTATCAACAACGCTGGTATCCTACGGGATAAGGCATTCAACAACATGGACGACAGCCTTTGGGACCCCGTTCTCAATGTTCATCTCCGAAGCACATACAAGGTCACCAAGGCTGCTTGGCCCTACTTCCTCAAGCAAAAGTACGGTCGTATCGTGAACACCACGTCAACAAGTGGTATCTACGGTAACTTCGGCCAAGCCAACTACGCCGCAGCGGTAAGTTATAAAAATCAGAAAATACGATACAAATCAATTCAAGCTAATGCATAAACAGAAAGCTGGTATCCTTGGTTTCTCGCGCACCATCGCTCTCGAGGGTGCCAAGTACAACATCTACTGTAACACTATCGCACCTAATGCCGGTACAGCCATGACACGCACAATATTACCCGAGGAATTAGTACAGGCCTTCAAGCCCGACTACATTGCTCCTCTTGTTCTTGCTCTTTCCAGCGACAAGGTTCCTAAGAACCCCACAGGCTACCTATACGAAGTCGGCAGCGGTTGGGCCGGCCGAACGAGGTGGCAACGAACCGGGGGTGTTGGTTTCCCTGTGGACGTTAAGCTGACCCCTGAAGAGGTTGCAAAGAACTTCGCTAAGATTGTCGACTTCGATGACGGCCGAGCGGATCACCCCGAGAAGACTCAAGACTCGTTAGAAAAGGTCATGGCCAACATGGAGAACAAGCGAGGGGCCTCCAAGGTATGATGAGCCCCTCTTTTCTTGATGGCCCTTGTTTAGACTATCGTGTATATATATAATGTTCTAGTCTAGCATATGAATGAATTATTGAAGTTAACATATTCTTTTCACCCAGGGTGCCCAAGGCAACCAATATCTAGAGGCGCAAAAGAAGGCATTGGCCGCCCAATCTCCGGGGACAGAATTCACGTACACGGAGCGGGACAGCATCCTCTATAACCTGGGTATCGGCACTAAGAAGACCGAGCTGCCGTACGTATTCGAGGGCCATGAGGACTTCCAGGTATTACCGACATTCGGTGTGGTTCCGCAATTCGACGCAAACATGCCCTTCAGCTTCGATGAAGTGGTGCCCAACTTCTCACCCATGATGTTGTTACACGGCGAGCAATACTTAGAAGTGAAGAAGTACCCGATCCCGACAGCAGCGAAGACCAAGAACTTCGCCAAGCTTATCGAAGTCGTAGATAAGGGCAGCGCGGCAATTCTTAAGAGTGGCGTGACGACTGTCAACGCGGAAACTGATGAGGAGCTCTTCTACAACGAGGCTACTGTGTTCCTACGAGGCTGCGGAGGTTTTGGTGGCCAGAAGAAGCCAGCGGATCGGGGTGCGGCAACGGCAGTAAATGCCCCACCGAAGAGACATCCTGATGTTGTGGTGGAGACGAAGACGACGGAGGAGCAGGCTGCGATTTACCGACTTAGCGGTGATTACAAGTATGTCTCACCCCCTTCTCAATTCTCTTTCAATACTTTAGCAAGCTAACCTATGATCCAGCCCGCTTCACATCGACCCCAACTTTGCCAAGATGGGCGGCTTCAAAGTACCGATCTTACACGGGCTGTGCTTTATGGGTATTGCGAGTAAGGCTGTGTACGAGAAGTTCGGTCCCTTCCGCAATGTTAAGGTGCGCTTTGCTGGCACAGTACTACCAGGCCAGACGCTAGTCACTGAGATGTGGAAGGATAAGGCGAACAAGGTTATCTTCCAGACTAAGGTTAAGGAGACGGGTAAGTTGGCGATCTCGGGCGCTGCGGCTGAGCTTGTGGAGGGTGGTAATGGGGGGAAATTGTAGGGATATGTCGTAGGTTGAGGGTTGGTTTGGCATGATATGATATGTTATGGAAAGCTTATGTTTAGTTGTTGTGGTTGACCGTGTAAACTTTACATGCAGATTTGGGACGTATATTAGAATCCTACATGTACCTATGTATTTTGAAATTATAGACCACTCTACTGTTCTATCAACTTAGCAGATAACTGGCATATGACCTAATTCCTCCTATGGAATTTGAAGGATCCCCAACAGTCAATGATGCACTTATAATGAATAGAACTGAAGGCAGCTTCTAGCTTCGCAGATTACTGAATTAGACTAACCTTTCGACACATAATCCGTGGTTTTTGACGTATTGCTATGGGCGTCGGGGTTACGAACAGAGCGTTGGGTGCTCTTTGTCGTTGTGGCCAATGTCCATATTGAAAACGCTAAACTGTTCACTATTTGGGCCACTGGAAATTGGTGGAGCTAGCTGTCTAGGTATTACAATAGGCCTATGTGCTTAGGTGAGCTAGGTAACTCGGCCGCTGTATTTACGGGGAAGTGCGCGCCGAAGCTCGCTATACTTTGGTTGGATTCAGCTCGGTTTCTAGGCGGAATAGATAGGTACCTAGGTAGCATGTCGTAACGGACACACTGGAACCTATCGAAAATAAGTCAAATTAATAGTTTTACATTACAATGTACACCCGAATGCTCACTAATGCAATAATATAGCACAAGGACACGTCCCCAGTTTTGGGGCAATGTGCAGTGGAATGAAAACAACAAATGCACTCATCAATTTTGAAACTTTGGAGGGTTAAGTCAGAGGCCACGATTAAGCCGCAACTAGAACTTTTGAGTCGCTGCAGGGATCGTGTTAGGCGGCGAGCGGGCGATTATACCTACAGGGCACTAAATACAGGGTCTTGCTTACTGCTATACACCTTACCACGCCATAAAGACGCCTATAGGTGTGGAAAAACCCGCCTCGCTTCTGGCAAGTATAACATATGATTTTATATCCGATTCGTGTTTTTTTTTTTTTACGGTACAATATCCGGGTTGGAATGAGCTCTCACGGACCAGACGATTACGGTGTTACTGACTTATAGGATTGTGTCTAATTGTTGTATACACTACATTACAAAGAGCCGTGGCTTATGGTGCATTTTAGCATATATAATGCTGCCCGTGGGTATAACAAATATCCTGTCCTGTTTTCCTTGTGCCTAGTTTCCTTAACGCCTATTCTTAGTGCAATGCTCGCTTTTGAAGGTTGACTCCAAGTAACGCTCAACAACCGGATATGCTCTTTTATAATTCTCGCAAGTCAAGAGTGACACGTCCCCTGTTTTTTTTCTTCGTTCCGTCATACAAACAAGAACTCTATAATAAAGTCACAAAATTCTTCAACACTCGGGAGCTTACCGCCTCGAAGAAGTTGCGATATCCATGGGTGAATTAGTTGTCGTCGACCTAAGCCGCCGACACCGTCTTCGAGGTATGCCTTTTCTGCGTCGGACAACTCGCGTCTTTCGGATTCTCTCCACCTCCGTTCTGCCTCCGCCTTGGCATTTCGGAGTATCTCTTCGGTGTTCTCTGCTTCCCATAGGTTGCACTTATTACATTCCTTGCATCGTCGCCCGTCGCCTTCGGGCCTGAAATGCTGGCAGAAATGTTGATACCCTTCGGTTGGGGTGCCAATATCTTTACGACAGACATAACACATTTTGTAGCCACAAGGGCAGGTTAGTTTATTGCATCCTGCGTTCTTGACGAACGACATATTACATCGTGGACAGACACGCTTGATCGCCATTGACATTGCTTGCTCCACTTGCGTGCGCAGAGCTACAAGTGACGATTCATGACAAACGTGAATGTCCACCCATGCTTTCGAACAAGATAAACATGACGAGCGTGCGCAGTCTGGATTCTGACAAATGAACTTCAATCCACGACGGCGACGTTGGTACCGGTTGAGCGCTGCTCCCAAATGCCAGGATACGTAATACCTGAATGGTCCATTTAAGCAGAGGATAATTCCGACGAGCATTAGTACTAAGACTAAAAGGTATAATGGTGACAGAACCATGCAAGCCAGGATAATGATAATATTTGGAAGATTGCTAGCACGCAGCTTGGGCCTACGCAGGTTGGTTGGCACATACAAGTCATCGACCTCGGCGTAGCTGCAGAACGGACACCGTATAAGGGGTAAGCCGCTGGAAAGCAGGCCGTGCTCTGCTAGGCGTTGGTCAAGCTTCTGCAAAATCTCCTTTCCGTTCTTCTCGTCTTGTATGGCCCGATGTATGTGCTCAGAAGATATGCAGCCGTCACACTCCGTTGATGCTACGGCGGGACATCTGAGGGAACCAGTTTCCTTCTCAATGTTGCGTTGCCAACCTTGACCGAATATAGCTTCAGTGATAGAATGCTGAACGCAACGGAAGCAGACCGGGTGCCCTTCGGTGCCACAAGTGGTGAGCTCTTCAAAAATCACGTCGGTGTAACAACAACTACACTCATAAGTAGCTTCGCAAGCTTCGGCTTCCTCCGTAAGTAAAGACACAGCCAAATTGCGGTCACTTTCCTCCGTTGCAGCCCTTTTTCGTTGATTTAGGGGCATAATTATTTCCTCAAACAATTCTCTATCCAACTCGGCGTTCCCAGTTGCCTTTATAGTAGGTATTCTGGATCCATCATCCGAAGACTTCCACGTGATAAGGGGATGCGATTCGGCTTCGGTAGAAGTAACAGCTCTACGACGGAAGAGCAGGGCGGATATTGTAAATTTCCACGATTTGGAAGATAAATCCACAAGGGTCTGTCGTGCATCAAGATAGGAAAAGTTGGACTCGGACAGGACGGCATCGATAGAGGATTTAGAAAGACCCTTGAATTCTTGCATCGCTAGAGCTCGCACCGCACCCTTATATTCTGCCGTCCTGAATGCCTCAGTTCGCGATACTAGAATATTCGAGCTGGAGCTGTTATTATCGCTAGCTTTCCGCCGCCCCTTCACGTAGAAGCCTGGGTTTTTTAGCAACTTGTCTGTGATAATGAATAATCGTGATTCTTCCGAGAAGGATGAAAGCATTTCCCTGAAGACTTCTACCTGGACGTCGGGGAACAGCGCAGCGAGCATTTCGAGATTATTATTCAAATCGAGAACATCCTGCGGCGATGGGATAACTGGCTGGAGGTGCGATTCGTCGGATAGGTATTCGGGGGAGGAATCATAGTTTCGGGATCGCGATGGGGAGACTTCGGGAGAATGTCCAATCGATTTGGATTTGTTCGACTTGAAGGAAGCCCTCCGTCCTGTTGGGGCACCTAAGAAGCTTGAAAGAAACATTTTATGCTGGGTTAAGTGAAGTCGAACGAGTAGACCATTGTTGAAGTTACTCGAGCGTTGAGTCCGTCTAAAGTAGAAAGATGACCAGCTGCAGGGACCCCTACTATAGTTTGGGAAGCTTATATTCGCCGATGCATAATCCCCGTACGCAATAAGGGATAACCCACAGAATCTGGGGATCGACGGAAAAAGTATGTAGAAGCGTATATGAATACGACAGAAACATAAATTGGAGGCAAGAAATTTGAATTTAACTTCAACGAGACGAAAGAATGAATCGAAATGAAGTTAAAGATTAAAAGATTAAAGAAGTCGCGTTGGGTAAAATGCAGGTGCAAGTTACGTGTGAACTAGATTCCTTGGTTTGGTCAACAAAATACCCCATCTGATGGGTCTAAACTAGCCATGATTAGTCACCTGCATCTACGCTAAGCCGTTTTAAAATAAGAGGTCGTTCCCCTAAAATGATTTACCACAGCACATTGTATTAGGCATTATCACTAATCAGTAATTATCATGGTAGAGAGCAAGAGTCAGGCTTCTTCGATAACATCAACCATGATATATCAGATGATGACGACTCAAGACTCAATAGACAGATTCCATCATGATTCCAAGAGATAAATGCCTGACAGAGTCACAAGATTTAATCTACAAGTTTCTACTAATTAGCTAAAGACTTTCTCAGTAGATACTCGAGAAAAGGACTGGCCCAACAGCGTCGCCACTAGAAAAAGAAAAAAACAGAAATCCTTCAGCACTTTGGCACGTTTACCTAGGTAGTTAAGGGAAGCGAACCACCCATCATGTCGTATTATATGCCATGACCGAGAGAGATAAAAAGAAAGCGAAAACTCCTAAGAAGCGTACTTGCGAAGCTACCTCTTGTTTGCACATATCGGACAAAAGCGTCAGCAACTCCGACGGATATGGTGAGGCCAGCCGCGTGTTACTATTATCACCATCCCTGACAGAAACAAAATACTCACCGCCCTACCTACAATAAGATGGCCTAGATGACTTTCTGGTAGCACATATTGGACATGACCATATTTGTGCGCGATGATAAGGTATGCAGTTATGACAACCCAAATGACAGCCAAACGACATGAATACCCCACTATCGGTCAATGAGATATATTGTTCTAGAGCAATAAGCACATTTAAATATCGATGTTGGAGATGGATCGGTGCTTCATCCGGATCTAGCGGCGGCACAGTAGACGCAGCTTGTACGGTGACGCCTGCCCAGCTATTGTTGCAAGATGGCTAATAGCGGCACAGGCGTCCCCAGTAACTAAACCCGTTTTCGTGCGTCACAAAGACCGACCCTTCCGTCTGAGCCCTGGGATGGTTGTAGATGCGGCGTGAATTTATAAAAAGCTGATAGGATAATATCCTTAATCCCAGTGAGATACCAGGGTTCTTTCCAACATCACATCCCTTACTCAATGTCTGCTGTGTAATAACGAGAACAAGAAACAGCCGTGACCCCCGAGCAGGCATTTTCTGTCCTTGTCTCTACTTTCGCATTTCTCTACTAGACTCAAACATCTCCATCCCATAACCTAATAGCCATGGCATCATCTAACAAAACCCCCCGGATCGTGGAGTTGGCTGTCAAAATCAATACCCATGTCACAGAATTACAAGAACTTCTATCAGCCCAGGGTGTGCCGTCTCCATCATTCGACGAGGACAGCCCAGAACGCCTTCCTCCTAGCACATTCCATCTCCAAGATGCTGTACTTGACGCAACCGCCGAGTTGCATGAATTACTTATGGATCCTATCCCACTAGCCTTCAAATTCAGTGCCGTAAGAGTTCCGTAACATCACTAAGGTCATCCAGCAAGCTAAAGTTGATACTCCAAGACCACCAATATGATCAGCATCGACGCCATCTGTCGATTCCATATTGCCGACATTATCCCTTCTGGGGGGCAGGTTTCTTTCGGTGAGATTGCAGAGAAGACTAAATTAGATGAACCTCTTGTCAGACGCCTGGTTCGGCACGCAATGTCCATGCATATCTTCAGAGAACCCGAGCCTGGCATGGTCGCACATACAAAAATATCCAAGTACTTCACACTTCCATACGTGAATGATTGGCTTAGCTTTGGCGCGAGGGAGGGTTGGCCGGCTGCTACCAAGGTAAGTTCCCCGTGTACCCTGAAATTGAATTTCTTGCACAAACGAACTGACGTGAGTCCTTTGCTGTAGATGCTAGATGCGATCCAGAAATGGCCAGGATCGGAAGAGTCTAACGAAACCGTATGTGTATCCCACGTTTGAAACTTATGGCATTTTCTCCGTCTACTCCTATATCCTGAGACTTTGATAATCATGCTAATCTTGACAGGGCTTCTGTCTTGCCAACAATACTGACAAGTCAATCTTCGAAGTGCTCCGTGGGGATCACACGCGCGCGATGCGCCTTGCATCCGCAGTGAAAGCCCACGATCATTTTCCGGGTGAAGCTGCTATTGACGTCCCGAAACTTTACGATTGGGCTTCTCTTGGCAATGGGCTCATTGTCCACGTTGGTGGGTCCAGAGGCGAAGTAGCTGTGGAATTAGCGAAGAGCTTTAAAGACGCTAGGCTACTCGTCCAAGATATGGAGATGGTTGTTAAGGGCGCGAAGGACAGCTTGCCTGATGAATTGAAAGACCGAATTGACTTTAAAGCAAATGGGCTTTTTGATACGCAGACCGTTGAAGCCGATGCTTACCTTTTCCGCTTGGTTTTCCAGATTTGGCCTGATAAATACGCTCTCAAAATCCTCAAAGCCCAAATTCCGGCCCTCCGACCTGGGGCTAAGATCCTTATACAGGATACGGTAGCGCCAGAACCAGGCGAGATTCCGTTGTGGAGAGAGCGTGAATTGAGGTATGTCGCCCCGCCGTAATCGCTTTTAGGATTATAAGATTCTCTAATGATAAAAACTTATAGAGCCATGGACCTAAATACGGGAGCGGCTTTCAATGGTCGCCATAGATATATACATGAGTGGAAGGCTCTACTCGCAGAGGCTGATGAAAGATTCGTTTTTCAGGGGGTAAGTGCGCCTGGCAGAACCTTGCTGTCGACATTAGAGATAGTCTGGGATCCGTCGAGTTTCGCGAAAGCTTGAAGCATCATCTCATATTTACTTTATCGAAAAATCAGGCCACTAGTACTAGTCAAATCGCTCATTACCAATAGCTATCACTTCTAAGTAGTACAGCAACCATCTATTTAGTCAAGACAGTCATGAGTTGTTAGAATCCTCTTCTAGCTTTAGTAACCAAAAACATATTTCCAGGCGCCCATAACCTTCATAGTTGGCTTGTTTGTGGAAGACCAAAATGACAAGGTTACTTTTGCAGTTTAAGCGCCGTAATAGATACATAAAAATCCTTCGCTCTCTCATCATAACTATTAAAAAGTGATAGTAATTTAAAGACCGATTCAAGAAGGGTGGAGTTGATGTTGCTCGTCCCAGGTCGACTCACCGCCGTGTCAACCCCAATACCGCCCCATTGAAGCAGATCGCGATATTCAGACTATTCAGAGATGGTGTGAGAAGTAGTTTTAGGACCCCCAATATAGGCTCTGTTATATTCAGGGGATCCACGTTCTTCGAAAACAGGTAGTCTGGAGTAACGCCTAGATCTTTTGAGCCAACGTTCGGCTATGATACTACATAGAAGATTTTCATTGCTTAAGCTATGAGCTTTATTAGGCAAATGCTAAGCAAGAGTTGAATCATGGCGGTTACATTCAGAAGCACAACGTACCTTGGTAAACAAAATTGCTTCCTTCGGGAAGTAGTTGCGTAGCCCGTTCACCGCCGTTCTTTTATCATGCCATAGAGGCTAACGGCATGGGTACACCATAGCTCTTCGATCATACAGTATCGTTGAAGTAGTCTCGCTTCGCCAACCCCGTCATAAAGAGGAAGGCTTTGCAATGCTAGAAGGTAGTAGGAGGAGGGAGAAGGGGAGAGGGTGGGATATCTCAAAATGCTCATACTTTGGAAGGATCTCTAATTTAATGACTGCAACCATGGACTTCGTTCTGTCCTCGTGCAGAATCCCATATATGGGAATAACACCTAAGTACGAGGCTTACTATGGACTCATACGCAGAGGCAGTCAATACGCTGCAAAACCGAGGAGATGCACCAATCATCCACATCAATTCTGACCACCGGGTAGTTGTCGGCCAGTGATACATAGCTAATTGTATGGCAGGCTCTATGCAGGTCTCCAGCGGCGCTCGGGGTGACAAATAGCTCCTTCAGCACGGTTGACCACTACCCCTAGCTAAATAGGGGGATGCCATATAGCCCCCTTTCCGCGTTGAGCAATATAGTAGCCTACCGGGCGCTATTTTGTCACATTTAGAAAAGAGGGGGCGGTGCTGTCCATTCCATGTTACACAAATGTAACTTATTCTATTGAGTTTGCCGCGAAACTTGTGCCGCTTTTGTCACCTGCATTTCCTTGATGCAGTTGGTATTTGTGTGCATAACGTTGCACGAATTTAGGCATTTGTGCTACCATATATAGTAAATGCAGACACAGGCAACATATAAAATATACCAACTACTATTCTACCTACCCGGCCCAGGTGGACAACAGCCTATAACGCCCGGGGGCGGGTCTGTACCACCATCTGCTGAATCAATATTATGTTGTGAAACGCAAGGGAAGCAAGGTAAGATGCCGAGTGGCTTTATCTATGACAATTTAAATAAGTGTACTACTATGCGGCAGCCAACAAGCTTATAGCATTATCCATCTTTGTCAACTCCATCACTAACTAATCTGTTACTAAGGTAGCATATGTCAAATTCGCTAGAACGAAGGCCAAAGGCTGTGGTTGCCCCCACCAATCACATGGGTTAAATCTCCAGGCCCCATTGCCAGAAGCGAACCAGAACTTCACAAGATATATCAGGATCCTAGGTAGTGGTGGAAATGGACGACCACCTTCATAGGTCTTGTCCGCACAACCGATGACACAGGGAAAAACGTCGTACTAATACCAATCAATTTGGATCCTGGTCAGTTATGTGGCGAAGATGCATCAAACTCACCAACATCTTGATATTCCCTGATTGCTTAGCAACTGATTCGCCCCGATCCCAAGTCTTCCTCAAGCCGGTACTCTCCAGGTCCTTTAAGCTTAAAAATACATCGATCTCTGCATAAAGGTGGTCTGTTAGATGTTTACTAAAGGAGTCAATGATTTCTTTCATGCCACCCAATCCTCCCCACCGATACTCTCCGGGCTTAGTTGTGGAGGAATACAACAACAGTCTTTCCAGACCACCATGGAATAGTTCATGTTGGTGTTGCAGTCCGCTCATGATGCCAGGCTTGCCGCTAAATTTCTCAGTTTCTGGAAAATGAACGATTCCTCCACCCAATGATGATGATTCACCATATTGGCCCACGACTTGACATAAAAGAGTAAGTCGTTCACATCCTGCACGTCATACTTATTACCGATGATTACGTATGGTGCTTGCTGGATGATGGAGTTTAGCCCTCGCAGAATGGTGTTGTGTGCGTGCGCCATTTCAGAGGCCACATAAACAGAGGAGTGTGAGTCCTGGATATCAATCAGTTAAATACATTCTTTCTAGCTCCTTCTTTTCGCCTGTACACACTGTTATATGTCTCGATGGGGTAGTGATCAAGGGGAATGGCTTATCAGCTCCTGGTGCCGGCGAAGGCTTCGTAGTTATGGTAGACTAATATAACGTTTTTTTTTTGTGAATAAATGGAATGAAATGTAGCTAAAATATTTTAGATTATATATACATTAGATTAGCCAGAAAATACGGAGGGGGAGTTTGGTATTTGAAGAATCTAGTCATTATGCCATCCATATATTCGAATATGGTACGGGTTCTCACAACTGCAAATTTACCCAGGTAAGGGATAACATCTTACCATTTTCTGGCCAATAATCATGGAACTACCTATGTACTGTAGTTAACCGTTACGCTCCGCGGTTCAGAATTAGTGTTAGTTGATCAGAAGAATCTCCCGTGATAGGTCTGGGGTAGCTAGATAGCGTGCACCAACGGCAGTCCACATACTCTAAAATTTCCTTGTCTAAAGTAAGACAATCCAACAGATAATGAAGCACAAAAAGTACGTGTTCAACAACCTCGGGCAAGCAGATAATACCATGTATAGGATACGTACCTAGGTACAGATATTAGCGAATCTCACGTTGAGAGCGGTAATTGAGATGCCGCGTTATAAATTCCATACCTTAGGTACCTAAGGTATCTTATAAGTTAAAAGAGTGCCCTTCTATTGGATGTGTAGGTATTGACTTCGCGGCATAACGATGATACTAGACCAGAATACAGCGGTTTCACAGCACCTAGTGATCAACGCGCACTGCTGGGGCCCCAGGGCCAGGTGTTTAGGTGCACCCACTTAACTAGGTAGGTAATTGTTACTGCCACGATTCCCCATAATCCCAACATTAAGAACTTTTGTTAGGCACGGCACGTTTCTACTAGCAAATGAGCCCTAACTACCGTCACAATGATCGTTATAACAAATATATGCGGCATAAGTTATGTTACTCTATTTCCGTCGATTCACTAGTCCAAATCTATATCTCTACTTGTTAACGTGATATTTTACATGAAACGGACGCGCTATTATAGCTGTTTCGGCTTTCAATCTTCGGCGCCCTAGCTTGTCATAAAAAGCCTCCCTAATCAAGAAAAGATTGGAAATCATAAACCTGCTGATGGAGTTGTTATTTGACTTATTTGACTAAAGATAATGGGAGAATATCTAGATAAAGATATTAGAATAGATTTTCTATCTGTTATAATTAGTAGTACACCTAAATAAGGCGCACATCTACCTATGTTCTAGTCCGTTGCGCTCTATTGAGGTGCGTTTATAACAAGAATATAAATACCTAGGTATAGGGGGCGGGGTCCCCGCACTGCGCGCAGTACCTTAGGTTAGGTACCTAGGCCTAGGTACCTTAGGTAGGTAGGATGTATGCGTTGCTCATTTATAATTCGCAAACCTCCCTAGGGGCTGCATATTAGTTCTGGCACCCCGTCTGGACTTTCCCATATTGATTTTGGCTAGCCTTGTTTCCACTATGTAGCTGGCTATATTATTAGGTACCTAGGTAGTTACTGGTACCCGGCTGTTACTTAACACCTGACCCACGTATGACATTTTATCCCCAACATAACCTTGGAACCTATCTGGCCGTAACGTTTTGCTCCCTAATGAAATTGCTTAGATGCTATTAGCCACCTTGAAATATGATCTGCTATAGCCATAATAGTGACCATGGGGTTTACGCCGCTAGCCGAGGGAAGCACGCTAGCATCTGCGACATAGACGTTCTTAGTTCCCCAAACCCTACCACGATCATCAACAACTCCGTCAGCACTCGTGGAACTCATACGGCATGTACTCATTTGATGTGCACAGCCGAAGAAATTACCAGCAGGATTCATCTCGTGCTTGTTAAGACGTTGAAGCCATTCTACGAAATCCTCATCTTCTATTGTTCGTTCCTCGACGGGTTTAAGGCATTCAAAAGGAGGCAAGTTAGTAACAAAGGGAAATAACTCCACAGCTCCTTGCATGTAGCAGAGCTTGGCGATAGCGACAAGACCTTGGACTATATGTTTCCGATCGAACGCAGACGGGGTATACTTTATAATTGGCCATCCGTCGGGATCTGCGGATACGCTGCCAGTATCACGGTCGCGAAGGATAGCGTTGAACGAATTCAGTTGGCGGAGTTTCAGCGCGTCGAGCTTGTATTGCAGTGCACCCCGCCATGGTATTGTCAAGGCCGTCATATGGGGCTACTAACGTCAGAGCATGACTTAAGTGGGCAATGAGTAACACTCACCAAAGTTGCAGCAGCCTCAATTTTCACGCCATGGCCTTCCCCGTCCATGTTCTCAAACTCTGTAACAACGCCTGTGACAATAGAGCCTATATGTAGATTGTCAGCATGAGATACTCAGAGCTAAATCCAAGATTTACCGTTCCACCCCTGAACGTCATGATCGAAGGCGGCCACCAATATCCCAGCCGGATGCATATGTAAGTTCTTTCCAATGTGAGGATTCTAATATGTATGTGAGCAGCAACACCATACAGTTTTGCAGGCTTAGTTTTGGCCGTACCTCGAGATTACTCCTTTTTAGGAGCAATGGACTGTTTATTGCACCACATGCTACAATGACCTCCTCTGCCTTAATGCAAACCTGTCGCTGCGTCCTTTGGCCCCGAGGCGTATGTATATTGCCGTCTAATTCACGTGCCGTCCACGTCCCAATGACGCCAGTTGCCTTTTTCGCCGCTCTATCTTCGAATAGGATTTCAGATACGTCGAGGCCTTCGATGAATTGTGCTCCTGCTTTGCCGGCAGCCAGCTCGCTGCTGGACCTTGCTTTTCGCCTGAACGACAGCCATATCCGCAATGGCCACAAGAGCGTTCTGTTCCCTTAGTGTTCTGTGGGCATACCTCTGCTCTCCAGCCCAGTTTCTCGGCTCCTTCTAATACAAGTTTGTTGGAATGATTATGGCATAACCCGCTACTGCCCACACCCATAAAGTCGCACACGCGATCGAGGTTCGATTGATAATCGGGTGTGCCAAAGAAGCCGAGCCCTTTGTCGACCCATTCTTGGCAAACGTAATCTTGAGTTCGTAGACTTACGCTCCAATTTACGGTACCGCCTCCACCCCAGCAACTACCTGCCAAGACAGACATTGTGCCATCAGCGGTTGAAAGTCCACTTCGGTACAAGTATTCGGCGTCATCTACTGGTATCGGCAGTTGGCATGGGGGAATATAGTAGCCTTTTTCGACCACCACGACACGGTGGCCAGCTTCAGCCAAGACTTTGGCGCATACGCCGCCACCGCACCCGGATCCGATGATCACAACATCAGTCTTGATGGTGACTATGTTTTGGGCGGAGTCGAAATGCATGAAATCAAAGTTATGGGTAGGACCCACAGAGTCTGCCTCACCGTTGGGGACTCTGTAGTTGCTAATCTGCCGCAATAACTGATTTGATTGCGTCCAGCCAACTTTCGCCATGATAGAAAATGATCTGGCTAAGGTGTGCCACAGTGGGAACCAGGCTTGATGCCAGGACTTCATAATACTCTCCCGTATATGAACCGGTTGTTCGGTAAGTGGCCGCAGGTACCACGTACAGAATAGACTCCCGAAACGTGTGCTATAATCGCTATCAGAACTCGTCGAGCGGCAGAGTAGCAGGTAACAGACATCATGAAATTCAGCAAGGAACCTAGCTGTGACTTGGAGCTTCTTGATAACCTCGATACGGTCTGCTTTACGATGGAAATGAACCTTGGATCATCAACTGGTCTGAAAGCCAGGTATTCGCGGAATTGATCGATGGTAGGTGGGTATCTCATGCGTCTTTGGACACCATGGTAAATTTCGTGGAAGTGATTTTCGGAGATCCTAAGGACTTCAGAATATCCAGTCATATCTGAGGGGCCACCAACCGCCACCGAGGGGATGACAGCATCGAGTAAGGAAAACAGGACTTTCCATTGTGTCTCGGTGAAGAAGGTATCCGAGGCAGGGACTGGCTTAATCAGCATGGTGGCTCTAGTTTGGTCCACTTTAGAGATACCAATGGAAAGTGCTCGCAAGAGTAGAAATGGACGAGGCGAGTTCTGGGACAGATTTAAAAGAAGAGACATAAGGTACTTAGGCAAGGCTCCGCCTTAGGGATAGGGGTATTTAAGGTAGGTGTGGTTGCACGAGGTGGGGCAACGTTGGTACTGCCATCCTTTCTCAAACGATTAAGCTACCACTGGGCATCTTCCGGCAGTGTGCAGGGTGCCTTTAGTTTGCTCTCTCTGTAACCTAGGTACAGGTACCTACCTAGGTAGGAATATGTTAAGCACCTAAGTACCAATCTCGTTTTATCACAACATAGGGCACTACGATACACAAAATTCCGTTCATATAATTCCTCCGACCGCAAGAAATTCACTATATGATATAGATACAGGCAGAGTACTCATGTGATAAAAAACGGTATCCTCCCACGTTGTTGCCTCGAGTCACACTTTCATTTCTCACGCCGCGTAAAATCCTCTCTCACATCTAACTCAAGATACCCATGGATGCTGACGACGGAAATCCTGAGCCAACATCCTAACTTCGTCCTGGTTTCCAGTGGAGATGCTGGTCAGTTCAGTCGTCCGTAGTATACTGCGGTTTGGGCTCCCCCCCACGGCCTCGGGGTAGATCATCGAAACATCGCTGCCGCCGACCGTTGGGACCGAGTGGTTCCATACGGATGGGCCACAGTGAGCGGTCTTCAGCAAGCTCTGTGTGCGTATTTGATCTAGTAGTCATAGGTCGCCATGATTGAAGTATTTTCTTAATCCTCGTCGCAAAGCACGACCATGGGAGGGCTTTCGGCGCTGTAGGTATGCAAATCACCAAAAGAAGACAGCTCATTTCAACCTGGATGGTAAGCGACAAGGTGGACAGGAGATAAGTGATATCTGGTCCATTTACATAGTCTATAGTCGCCTTAACCCGGATAATAGCCAGGGCACAAGTACTATAAGATAGAAGAGAAAGTAAGGTCAGTAATTCTTCAGGTCTGATGGTATCGAAGTACATGTGACGAATGCTTACAGTAATCCAATTGCAAATATGAAGGAGGCACCGAGCTTTTGCTTCTTCGACATGTTCAACGACCAGACCACTTTCTGGGGGAGTAATAATATGGCAGTGTCTGAGGCCAGGTTAAGTGCGGCTGTTAGGATTTGGAGTTGTTTGGCCTGGCTAGAAAGACAGTGGCCTGCGACCGTGAAGTCCCACACCGCCTTCAGCGGGCTGCATTGGAAGTTTTCAAGAAATACGCATGTGACGTAAGGTAAAACGTTGAGCGATATAAGAATCCAACAAAGCCAAAAGAAAGCATTCCGAGTACCAAGTGGAACGAAGATTCGGAGCCACTCAAGGAGGATGGCCGTTTTAATCGACAATATTGCACCCAAGTAAAAGTTGGTGCCCACGTACGTTCCCTGTGAGAAGTCAGCCTGTTGTTTCGGTATTTATGCATGCTGAGGTCGTCACCCAGATATTCGACCCTAGCTGTCGTAGCGTGATGTTCCATAAGTGCACGTAGTAGCCCGGGTGACGTGATAAAAAGGCAACGATCCAGGTGTGGCCTAGTAGACAGCCCCACCAATAATAGTTAGATGAGTTTCGGTTTCGGGGCCCGGAAACAAATGACGTACAAAGGCAGTCAAGGTCAAGACTGGTATGAATCAGGCGTCCGTCAGTTTCAGAATTATTATAGTGACTATCCCTAAGCACTCACAGTCTTCAACCTTAACTTTCCGCAAAAGAATAGTACGAGACCAAACACGGATCATTACAGCAGGGACTACTAGAGCGAGTGTTACTGTGATGATGGCAATGGCTAAACCATTGTTATTCGGAGGATTCTCGAAAGACGGGTCTACACCAGTTGGGGGTAATAGAGCTGGGCTGTCAAGAATTCGTTGCTGCTCTTCTTGGGGGAGATCCGCGATTGAACTCATTGCAACTAATTGTGATGGCAAGGCACCACAAGAATATGCTACTGATGAAAATGGATGATAGATACCGTTGGGGATGGAGCTGGAGGCTGCGGTGCTCGATGCGATGCTTCATTAATACGTCTTGATGCAGGATGCTTCTGTAGAAAGTTATGTGTTTGCCTAGGAATTCTTGAACAAATATGCCTTGGATTGGTGGCGGCCTGGTTCAAGAGTATCATTGTTGCAGGTTTCATTAGGACTGTTGGAAAAACAATGCAGAGTGTGTGCCTAGGTAGGGTGGCATGGACCGCGTAAACATCCGGAGGATCAAATTGATAGTATAACTCCAACGAGGTCGAACCAATAAGGCCCCCAGAGGACCATACAGAACGTAAATCGCCATTGGGGATCATTGGCAGTTTGACGATTGGATCGGCACCGCTGATTCTTAAGCGCGTATGTTCCTAGACACCCGACGATGTGCGGTGAGAAATAGACCTAGCATTTTGTTACATTTGAGGGCGAGCGGCGAAGACGACCGTTGATGTGATGTTATATCCCAGTTGGTGTGAACCGTCCTCTAATATTGCTCACATTTGGTTATATCGCATCGACAGTAACACCCGATTACTACGCCGGCGCCATTTCGTTCGAATAGCCGTCACAGTTACTAAAACTGGTACTATCGCCGGTTATAATAGATGCCTCAAGTAACACACGCATATACGATGCTACACAGCAGATTGATCGGCTTTCTTTCAAACGCGACATGCTACTACGACCTAGCTTGTGTAACTACTACTAAGTACCGGTCGTCTGAATATCATTGCAAAGGAGGTTGGGGTTAGTATCTAAAGTGGTACGAACTGAATGTGAGTAAAGTACCTGGGTAGGTAACAGAAATCGTGTGGCTTATATCTAGTTCTCGGCCCATATGCTTCCAAACCCTCAGACCTAAGAAGCCGCGACACCGACATTAACTGATGACAACAAGTAAAAAATCTATCAATCATGGACCCGGTTTCAATCGTAGGTATATCGTTCAAACTTCCCCAAGGAGTTGAAGACGAAGATGCGCTGTGGGATGTCCTTGCCAATGGAAGAAATTTGATGACGAGCTGGCCGACAACTCGTGCCGACATCAATGCGTTCTACGGCACCGAGCCAGGCATGCCTAATAAAGTAAGTAAAGATGGAACAGAAAAGTAAATTGATACTGACTTACGTAAAGCTCTACTCTCGTGGAGGACATTTCCTAGCTTCTGATATTGAAGCTTTTGATGAGCCATTCTTTTCAATTCACACGAAAGAAGCTGCATCGATGGATCCTTCTCACCGAATGGCTCTTGAAGTTGCTTACCACGCTTTGAGAATGGTAAGTTAATACTTATCGTTAGAATGACGGTGCTAAAATTGAACAGCTGGTATCACAATGGAAGAGCTGCGTGGGTCTCGGACTGCTGTCTTTGGAATTACAACGTCGGATGACTACCGGCGAATTCTCTCCAAGGATGCTGATACTCTACCCCGAATGTCTGTTATGGGAGTGGCTTCGTCAATGCTTCCTAATAGAGTGAGCTGGTTCTTCGACCTACAAGGCCCAAGTGTTAGTGTGGATACTGCCTGTTCTAGCAGTATGGTGGCAATGGACATGGCGCGCCAATCCATCAGCAGTGGTGACGCTTCCATGGTATGTACGACGTTCAAGAGTATTTTTATCCATTATCTAACTACTCACCTCGGTCCTCCTTTTAGACTTTGGTCATTGGCACGAACCTCATGTTGAGTCCAGAATTATCAATATCTCTTGATAACATGGGCTTCCTATCTGCCGATAGTGTTTGCTACAGCTTTGACCACCGCGCAAATGGATACGGGCGAGGCGAAGGCGTAATTGCTATGGTTTTGAAGCCGCTATCAGATGCAGTACGAGATGGGAATACTATTCGAGCAATAGTCCGGTCGACTGGGTCAAACCAGGATGGCCATACGAACGGAATGACACAGCCCAGCGTGAAGTCGCAGGAGTCAATCATTCGCGATGTCTATCACAAGGCTGGACTCGATTTCCAGACAACTCGTTACATCGAGGCACACGGTCCGAAGCGTATAATCCGTAATTGAGCCCTAATGTATACTAACGTGTAATAGGGACCGGCACTCCCATTGGTGACCCGATCGAAATGGAAGCTATTGGAAAAGTATTCAGGTCGTTTGGATCTACAGAGAAACCCCTATATGTGTAAGCTATTATTATGAACAATTTATTTAAGGTCAAACACGTTAAAACTAACCTGTCACCCGTGTATCTACCCAGTGGGTCAGTGAAGTCAAATATTGGCCATCTAGAAGGGACTAGCGGACTGGCTGGGATCCTTAAGGCTATCCTAGTCCTGGAAAGGGGTATCATACCTCAGAACGCTCTCTTTGAGAGAATCAATCCCGACATTGATACCGTTTTCTGTTGTACAGAGGTCCCAGTCAGAAACGTTGTGTGGCCAGTGGCCGGCCAGCGCCGCGTGTCTGTGAATTCCTTTGGAGTCGGAGGCACGAATTCGCATGCCATTCTCGATGACGCATTCAACTATCTCCAAAGCCACTCACTAGTAGGATTCCACAACAGTGGTTTTCTCAATAGTACAGATAAGCCATACGAACATATCGAATCCCGAGACAGCAAAGGAACCATGAAGCATCCCAGTTCGGAGGGGGTGATGAGGCTACTCGTTTGGTCCGCTAAGGATGAACATGCGTTGAACAGTATGATTCAGTCATTCCAGACCTTTTATGAGGAACGAATCTTGGACGATCCCATTAAGCTTGATCAACTGGCCTACACGTTATCTGCTCGGAGAACAAGAATGTTGTGGAGGTCAGGTGCGGTTGTTTATTCTTCACCTAACGTTAACAGAGGTGCAAGATTGACAATGTCAAAACCTTGCCGAGCTACAGCCGAAAGGGATCTTGCATTCATTTTCACCGGCCAAGGCGCCCAGTACGTAGGGATGGGTTTAGAACTTCTTTGTTACCCTGTGTTTTCACAGATGATGCGTGAAATCGAGGAGATCTACATACACCTAGGCGCAGAGTGGTCTTCACTAGGTCGGTCTTATTCTTGAATGTCAAGACGAATACACTGATCATGTGTAGACGCTATGCGAGACAAAGACAAAATTGATTTGCCCGAGTACTGTCAGCCACTCTGTACCGCGCTTCAGATTGCCCTTGTGGCTTTGTTAAAGTCTTTTGGAATCACCCCTGCTGTAGTGGTGGGGCATTCATCAGGCGAAATCGCGGCTGCGTGAGTCCCAAACACACACCACACATTAACCAGGTATACTTAGCTAACACCTGTTCCTCTCTTCACAAATAGATATTCCATAGGTGCACTTACACTGAAATCCGCCTGCAAGACGGCCTTTTACCGAGGGCAGTTAGCAAGTAAGCTTCAGGCTTCAACGGCACCTAGAGTGATGCTTAACGTCAACCTCGCTGAGGACAGCATCCTGAACTATATCACCGCGCTGAAACAAGAATCATCTGAGGCACTTCATGTTGCCTGCATCAACAGCCCTTCGAATTGTACAATATCAGGAGGCGAGAAGATAATTGGTCACTTGGAGAAACGACTTCGAATGGACAATATAATCGCCAAGAGATTGAGAGTGGGCGTGGCATACCACTCCCCCGCCATGGAAGTCATTGCATCAGATTATCATCAGGTTTTGGGAATCCTCGAGGAAGCCGAACACAATGGCACTATCATGATCTCTTCCGTCACTGGGAGTCCAGTCAATGCGGCAGAACTATCCCAGCCTCGGTATTGGATTGAAAATCTGACCTCTACCGTTAAATTTTCCGACGCAGTGACAAAAATTGTCAGCGATTTCGTAGGTAAGAAAGGGATTCCGGATCTTCTTGAAATAGGTCCACATTGTACGTTACGCCGGCCACTAAGAGAAAGCCTTGGTGAAACATACATGAACCAGACTGTGTATCTCAATACACTGGAGAGAAGTGTTGGATCGAAACTCGCGATATTTGAACTGCTCGCCCAACTGTATTCACATGGCCACCAAGTCCTCGTTGAAGTCGTCAACCAGCAAGATTCAGATAACAAGCATAGTGTTCCTTCTCTGATAGACTGCCCCCGATACTCTTTTAACCACTCGACCAAATATTGGTTTGAATCTCGGTTGAGTCGCGACTATCGTCTGCGACAAAAGCCTACCCATGACCTTCTTGGAATAGCTTCGCATGATTGGAATCCATTAAGACCAAAGTGGAGGAACTTTCTCAATTTTGAGACAATGCCGTGGATTGCGGAGCATATCGTAAGTTTCTCGTCCCCAGTCCAAATTTCGGTCGACTAAATGGGGCAGATTGATGGCACTGCTATGATTGTTATAGCAGTCGAGGCCGTAAACCAATCTATAGCTGCAAATCAAAGTGCACGAGCCTACCTCTTAAAAGAAGCAGAATTCATCAGCCCAATCATAGTAACCAGCGATGACACCACCGAAATGGCAGTCGAATTGGATTACTTGCTGAAGCCCTTCGAAAAAGAAACTTCCTGGTTTGATGTGACAATCAGTACATATTCGAAAGATTGTTGGACTAAGTGCTTCCGGGCTACTATACACGTTGAGTACGATGGACCAGCCACGGAAGTTGATGGTGGTCTGGAAACCAATCTTGCCAATGAGCGAGCGTTACAGCGCTATCAAGAAGCCGAGAATTCGTGCCAAGATATAGTTGATACGACAGCATTTTACAAGGGGAGCGCTGACCATGGAGCCATCTATGGAGCTTCATTCCAGTTACTGCAGGATGTTCGCTGGATGGTCACGAAACCTCCATTGCTCGGGTTAATATGGCACGGCCGGGTAAAATGGGTAGTTTTTGTGCACCCAGCAGTACTTGATACAGCGTGCCAACTGGCTCTTGTGCAGTGTATAAACAAAACTACTATGATTCCCCGCAAACTCAAGAACGCTTGGATTGCACGAGACGGGTGGTCTAAGACCCCTAATATCAACATGATGGCAACATGGAACACGAAGGAGAGTGTCCCAGGAATCGATGTTTCTATACATGTGCTGGATCAAAATGGGTCCTTGTTGTGGAATATTGAGACATTATCGTTTCTCCCTGTAGCAAGCCCTATGAGGCCGATGGAATCCAAACGACGGATATTTCATGAGATTGATTGGAAACCGCAGTTGAGTTTGATGAGCCGAGAGAATCTACGCCGCTGGTGCGCCATAGATGAATTTCCCATCCTTCCAACGGAGCTGAAGTCTTTCTACCGACGTTTGGAGAATCTGCTGGACAAGGTCATTCGGGCGACGTTACTACGCATATCCGAGAAAGACCTTGAGAACACACCAAGACATATACCTCAACTTATCAGTTGGATGAATCGCCGGGTTCAACATATGCCCCCTTCCGTCCGAGAAAATGTAACCTGTCAGGACGAACTAACATCCGAGTTAGAGGAGTTAGGAGAACAGCAGCCACCTTACAAAATATTCACTACGGTCGCACGCCATTTACCATCTATAATACGCGGTCACGTCGATCCGTTAGAACTCATCTTCAGCACGAAGTTGGCAGAGGCTTTTTACACTGAACTGTTCAACCGCAGCTGCGATTTTAGGCTGCAGAACTTTATAAACTTGGTGTTACATGAGACTCCTGGACTCAGAATTCTTGAAGTTGGAGCGGGCACAGGTACAATGACCCGCTATATACTAGACTTTCTCCAGGAATTCGAGACATCGAGCGGAGCAGAGGCATTCGCCGAATACATTTATACGGACGTTTCGCCGGGTTTCTTCAACGCTGCCAGCGACCGCTTTGGACAACGCTTTGGGAACAGAATTAAATTCATGGTATTCGATCTTGAGGGTGAAACGCATCGACAAGGCTTTGAAGATGCTTCTTTCGATATGATTATTGCTGGAAGTGTGCTCCATGCTACTAGGGACATTTCCTCAACCCTCTGTGGCCTGCGCAGGTTGCTTAAGACTGGAGGTCATTTGGTGATCCTTGAGGTGCTGATGCCTCATGCAGTGCCCCCGAATCTTGCTTTTGGTGTACTACCTGGTTGGTGGCTCAGTGTAGAGGAGTGGCGACAACATGGTCCAGCAGTTGACGCGAACAGATGGAACAATCTACTTGAAGCTACTGGGTACTCGGGTAATGACCTGGTAATCAGAGATTCAGGGGAACCCGCATTCCACATCTGTGGTATCATAATCACAAGGGCCGTTAGTCAACAGTCCCAAATAGTAACTAAAGCAACCCAGAAGCCATCGATCATCCTAATCATTGACGAAACGTCCGCCGCACAGATGTGTTTAGCAGATGCCCTTTGTCAAGACATAGGGACCGCGGGTCCTTACACCGAAATTAATGTCACGTCTCTAGACAAAATAGCAGCAACCAGACTTGACCACGCGATATAGTGGTTGTGCTACTGGAGGTGGAGAAGACGTTCCTTTATCACATAGGAGAACAGGACTTCGTCCATCTTCAAAAGTTGTTCAAACGTACCAAAATGCTACTATGGGTTTCAATACCGAGCCAGAGAGAGATAGACGAGTCGGAGTACCCGCATTACAGCCTTTCCAAAGGACTATTGCGAGCTGTAAGATCAGAAGATCCGGAAAGGCACTTTGTCATCGTGGCTTTTGAGTCGCATACTATTAGGTCGACAAGCAGCTCTAAGGAGATAGTTGCTATTCTGAACGTCTCCTTCGGGCACACATCAAGATCCCCCGAAGTAGAATATATTGTACGCCACGGCCATATACTGACGGCCAGAGCACTGGAAAATAAGAAGTTGGACGAGACCGTGGAAGCATTCATTAATCCTCAACTTCAGGCTTCACCCTGGCTATCTGGGCCACCTTTGATGTTATCTGTTGGAAAGAGGGGAATGCTTGACAGTCTAGGATTCGTTGAAGATATTTTGCCCCGACATGAAATCAGCCCAGACGAGGTCGAAATTGAATCTAAGGCGTGGGCGCTTAGCTTTCGGGACGTTTTTGTTGCCCTCGGTCGATTGCCCGGGCAAAGTTTGGGCTTAGATTGCTCTGGCATCGTTACTCGCGCTGGTATTCAGACGGGGTTTGTTCAGGGTGAACGCGTTTGCATGAGCTCCATAGGATGTATGCGACGCCACCCGAGAGCAAAGTCTCGCGCCGTATTTAGAATCCCAAATGGTGTATCATTCGAATCTGCAGCATCTATCATGAACCCGGCGACTGCGGCATATTATTCTTTAATCCAAGTCGCCAGATTGCAAAAAGGTGAAAAGGTCCTTATTCACTCTGCTGCTGGGAGTACGGGGCAACTAGCTATCCAGATAGCGCGGATGGTGGAAGCTGAAATATTCGCCACTATCGGATTTGATGACAAAAAACAACTTTTGATAGACCATTTTGGTATTAAACCCGATCACGTCTTTTACAGCAGGGACACCTCTTTTGCCAATGGTATCAGGCGCATGACTGGAGGCTATGAGGTGGATGTGGTGTTGAATTCCTTATCGGGAGATGGCCTCCAAGCATCCTGGGAATGCATGGCCCCATATGGCCGGTTTGTCGAGATTGGTAAAGCTGACATAGTGGGAAATTCTTCCCTTCCTATGGCTGGCTTTTCTAGAAATGTGAGCTTCTTTGCCGTGGATTTGTATCACGTCTTGGAATCAGGCAACCCATCAGGATACAAGATCCTGGAAGAAATATCGGCCTTACTCGATGCGGGACATATCCGCTATCCTAGCCCTCTGCACATCTTCTCCGTGTCGGAAATTGAGAAGGCTTTTCGCTTTATGCAAAGCGGTCGAAATACAGGGCGGATCATCATCAAACCTAACGATTGTGACATTGTTCAGGTACGTGCCTGTTATGCCACAAACCTTTGGATTGCTAATGGGAATTTGTGCAGAAACGGCTTCTCGAAACACGTGAGTGGATATGCGATAAGGAGGCTTCTTACGTCGTAGTGGGTGGTCTTGGAGGTATCGGTCGAGCTATCCTTCGTTGGCTCGCTAAAAAAGGAGCCCGGCATTTACTCGTCCCGTCAAGATCCGGAGGCATGGGATCCGTGGAGGCAAGTAAAACCATCTCGGAGCTTCGACAACTAGGTATTAATGTCGTGGCTCCAAAATGTGATGCCTCGTCGGATTCTGAGCTCTCTAAAATGATAGCGGAGTGTGCCATAACAATGCCGCCAATCCGCGGATGTATCAATGGTGCTATGGTGCTTCAGGTACGCCCCCTACGCCCATTCCCTGAATCCGTTGCGAAATAGAACGTCGAATCTAACGCTAAGGGACTAGGACGCTATATTGATAATATGACATATAATCAGTCGCAGCTCACCATTCGCTCTAAAGCGCATACGGCTTGGAATCTGCACAAGCTTCTCCCTCATTCTCTTGATTTCTTTATTCTTTTGTCGTCTCTTGCGGGTACCTATGGTACGCCGGCCCAGTCAAATTATGCCGCGGGATGCGCCGTTCAGGATGCCGTTGCGCATTACCGCATCCAAAAAGGAGAGAAAGCAGTCTCTCTGGACATTGGTTGGATGCGGACTACAGGCATTATAGCCGAGAACAAGCGATACCAAGAATATAGACAAAACACGGCAGATATGGGGCAGATTGAAGAACACGAACTGATGTCTATACTAAACATCTATTGTGATCCGAATCTACCACTACTTTCCAGTGGCAAAACCCAACTCCTGATTGGCATGGTGACGCCAGCGGACTTCCTCGCGCGCGGCGTATCTGTTCCAAACTGGGTGGACCAACCGCTCTTTCGGGGCTTTTCGAGATATTCCAATGACGAAGCCCGAGGCCGTATAATGCAAGCCTTAGAGAGTCCACGGGCCCGGTTCAAGAAATCAATAAGTTCAACCGAGCGTTCAAAGGTCGTAGTGGAAACACTGGTGGCCAGGCTTTCTCGAGCGATTTCGGTTGTACCAGAAGATATCGACCCCAACCATAGTCTCTCTAACTATGGGGTCGATTCACTCGTAGCCGTCGAGTTGCGGAATTGGATACATGATTCTTTTCAAGCTAGCGTTGCTGTCTTTGATATCATGGGTGGCAACACTATCGCCGCCATTGGAGATTTAATCGCGAATAGGAGTGAGTTCGCGATGGGTACAAAATAATCGCCACCTTGGTATATAGCACACTCTTCACGGAGCGGGACTGCGAAATGCCTCATATGATTTAGCTACGTTCAATAATTTAGGTGCTCTGAACCAGCTCGAGGCGGACACAGGAGAGCCATGAGGCAAGAAGAAAGGGTCTGTGTGTGCGTGTGTGAAAGAATTACTATGGGATATACGTCACCCAGGCTGAGAAGAACTCGATCGGCGGCTCCGTGGTCAGCAGACGCCCACGCTACTGTCGGCCGTTTTGCGTAGATATGTTAGGATGTGGGTTTGTATTGGGCACTTTTCGAGCCTTGAAGTAAAGGTGACAAGCAATCTGTGACATGGAGAAGAGAATGGGTATTGGTAGAATCTTAGGCACTATGTTATCACGCCTGGATAGCGCTCTGAAGCGAAGCACATTGTGTGATGGTTGGGGAAATGTTTATGATCTTCACTGGGTACCTTCTGGATGCGAGGGTGGGCTTTTTTTTTTTTTTTTTTTTTTTGTGGCGTATCTTAAGAGATGCCGTATACCTACCTAGGTAGGTGTAGATGTAGACAGGTGTCCAGGTATGTAGGTACTTGTGAATAAATTCAACTCTAGTAGACTAATCATTAAATACCTAGGTACCTAAGAATTGACTTAGAACCCCCCTAAATAAATTCTGCACCTGGGTAATAGTGTGTAGAGGGGTAATAGGCTAGATGTAGGCGCTATATGAGTTGTTACGGGAGCTACTTTATCGTTTCTTGTAGCACCCCTAGGGCATATCTTATAGCGTTGAAATCCCCTAGCTCTTTGGCGTCGGTCGCAAGCCATCACGTTGTTTTCTGCCTGCGGTGAATAGGAGACAGCAGTATTGGATTCCCGCGCCATCTTTTTCGTCCCATTCACCGATCGCTTAGCGGGAGGAGGCTGGCCCTTCACAGCCATCAGCCCAAATTCGAGTCTAAGCCGTGATGTCCATGCTATGAGTTCGCTTGCATGTCGCGCGTCTCACAACTTTTCCAGCAGCAAGCATAGGCCGATAGCACTCAACATGGTCCACTGCGGTCTCATCGGTCTCTTATCCCGATATGCGACCATGGTACCCCGAACCACAACCGCCCCATTAACCAGTAACGCTGCAACGCGCGTCGGCTGGTAGATGCAACAAGATCCAACCGCGACTCTCAATGAAGCTCCCGCGTACCCAGCTTGCTTAGGAGTAAGGCGCCCACCAGATAACTGCGACATCCAGCGATTCTTGTCGGCATAGTAGGTTGACCACGCCCGACTCGGGAACGGGACGCCAACGAAAGGCAGCGCAGAGGCGATGCAAAGAACGCCGAAGGCGACGGAGGTGATGTCTGAATATGGCTGCATGGTGTTTGATCTGCCGTTGTGGGCGGCACACTAGTGGAAGCCCAAGTTTATTCCTCAAGGCGGATTGAGGATATGGTGACGACGAGGCGTGGAGAAGGATGAATATCGACCCCTGAAGATGTTGCGGGGCTAAATTGGAGGTATGTCGATCTTTGTGAAAACGTGAAAATACGGTTCTTGATTTGCCGTTTGCTGTTGAGATAACCATTCCTGAAATAGAATAGTGTGCATGAGTACTACCTAAAGGGGAAATGTTTAACGGATACTACTGTACCTAAGTACGTACCTATTATGCAATTTAGTATTTAAGGTGGTTGGCTTTAGCTTGAATCACCATCCTTACAACCTAACAAGGTTCGATCCTTCCCGGTAGTTAAATGGTGGCCGAAATACAGTTAAAGCCGACGGCAGTGGCCGTAAACCTTAAGTACCGAGACCCGTAAAGAAATACAATCCTCTTATCATCAACTAAGTTGTTTTTTTCTTCATTTATACGACAAATACATGAGTTACATTGGATGGTGACACAGCATGTGGCCAGCCGGGTTTCTTATCTACATAGTACACTGCATATGTATGTTCTAGACTTAAGTGGGCAGCATTCAGCGAAGATGGTAACTAACTATATTAAAAATGATATATGATCTACACTCTTTTACTTGCGTAAGCAGGTGTTTTGATATTGCTAAGGAGGATCTAGTTTGGCTCCTAAAGCATGAAGGACTTTGAATTGGTAAATACGCTAATATTTAAGCAACTAAATAGTTAGGTGCAATCTCCAAGGTACTAGATACCTAGGTACCCATAAGCCTATGGTAACCTAAATTGCAACACGGGTGAAAGCCTCGTGTGACGTAGACACGGTTGATTGGATGAACATATGTTGCGTGTCTGAAGCTGATAACCCCCCATGCGGCCATTATTATTCCGTCCGGCTCTATATCCTAGCATCCTTACCCCTCAAGGTCATTGGTCTACATAGTACGTTTCTTTTAGTAGGATGCGCGTTTTAGTTTCGGTGAGAGTGGTTAGTGCGCGTAGGACTTGCTTACTTAGACGGATCTAAAGCAGCCATGTTTCTTTGTGTTACACTCGTCTCCTTTAAGTAGGTGGGGCCGATTTGGAGTGGAACTTCTATAGGCTTAGTTTTAGCGTGGTCCTCCACCTAAATGAGTTCCAAAGTTTCCGTTGGTTCCGATTTTGATCGGTGATCCACAAACTCTAAGCTTAATTCTAATAGTCTAATAGTGTAGGCAGAAAAAGATGTATCACTGATTCAACACAGTATTACATCATCCCTATAACGCTAGCGGGGTATCAGAATAGCTTCATTCTCCCCAATCCATGCCAATAAATATCCGGAACCGAAGATAATCCAAACTCCAGCTACGATTAGTAACCATGTAAGTCCTACGTGCCTCAATATCAATTACTCAGGAAGATACCCACACTATTAAGTAATGCCAGATTAGGTGGGTATGGGAGTCCGGGAATAAGCGGTAAACCCGTGATTTCAATAATTCCCCTGTTTACCTAATATCTCTAGACCTTAGTGAGGAAGAGCTGAACGGTTAAAGTACCGTAAGTCCTAGTGGAACTCTAAGATATAATATACCACGACAAGGCTAGGTAGGTCATAATGATAATATCTCCATACTAAGGGTTATATTTCTACGAGAAAGTCCTAGGTCAAATTAGAGCACGTCCACTCTGAAAAAGATCCTTCTCTCTTTATCGCCAGCGAAGAATCTTTCCTTCTTCTCCCATTCGTCGCCTTTCGCCTTACGACCCTCCGCTCTCTCTCTCGCCTCATCCTCGTCATACTCGGTCCATACATTGACTTTCAATCCGGCTGCGTCGGCAGCTTTCTCAAATAGTTCCTTCATAGTGTCTTTGTTTTGCCGGTAAATGGTCTTATGCTCACCGGGTTCGCAAAATGGCGGCTTCAGGGTTAATTCTCCCGCATCCAACGAGCCGGTCTGTGTACCGATGATCGTTGATCCTGGTACGGGCTTGAGTAATTTCATAATATTCCTGCTTACGGCTTGTTGCTCGGGCAGTGCGAAGATGTGCAAGAACATAGCAATATGGATGATATCCCATGTACCCCTTGTCTTTCCGAGGTCATCTACATCGGAGAAGATATCACCGGTAATGAAGTGAGATGGATCTAGACGGTCGCTGTCCCTAAACAGGGCATATCCCGCGTCCCTGAATCCCGGAAGGATGTCCGCACCGTACAAAGTAGACGGCGAAGCTCCGTCGTGAGTAAGCGTGCGCACATCCTGACCTAGACAAGTTCCTAGATCGAGAAATTTGGGAGGTGGGGTAGTGGTAGTGATTCGTTTGAGGATATTAGAATAATCGGGATGTCGGAGGAGCCCTTGCTCAATGAACCAGAACTCTCCGATGCACGGCCATGGAAAGACGTGCCAGGCTACGTCCCGCTGCGCCTCGGGTCAGCCATCGCTGGCGCTTTGAACTACCAACGCGACTTACAACTCGTTGGATATGAGGAACAACTTCTTCGGGAGCGATACCACTCCATTCCTCGAGAAGCTTCCGGAACTTCGGCTTAAGCTTATACTCGAAATCTTGATGGTACCAGGGTAGCTTCGTAGAGCGGACCATATGGTCTTGAGGAAGGTTCATCCATTTCTCAGCCTCAGTTGCCATGATGTGCTAATACCAACAATTAGAATGGGATTTTGCCAAAAAGATGAAAGATTTAGTGGGGTTGTTGGTTATGTTGGCGAAGAGATGAATGATGATTTAATCCCTGAGTCCCTGCGTTTCGCATGAGGAAGCGCGTGATTGTAATCTACGTGCGGGATCGGAGCGGAATATGAAAACGGATTATTAGTACCGATGGAAACCAGGGCCACGTCATGTAAAGTCAGGTCGGAAAACTGTTAAAAGACATTTTCCGTTGTTCCGATGAGCAACGCATGGATGTGGTCGGCGAAGGATTCTCCTTAGGAAGTGCGAATCCGAACTTATGGGTTGTTCGAAAAAGTTATTTGGAACGGTTTAGTAATATATTTCATAATCAGGTTATAATAAAAACCAAGTCTCTTTAAACGAATTTCCGTACCTTATAATGGGATAGAGTATAGTCTTAAAGGTGTTACTATCAAATGGGGGGTGCTTTTGTAACAAGTACGTACCTCCTATCACTGATATACTTAAATGACTGATCGTAACGGTGGTTTATGCTTAATCGTACCACCGTCAGAAGAGAAAGTAACGTGGGGGCCGTAAGATCGTCAAACCGCCGTATGGATACGGCGCATATGCAGGGTGCCTAGAAGGTTGCATGTACCTGGAAGTGTACCTAGAAAGTGCTGACGATCGTCGCTCACTAGCATCACATCATCTAGCCGGATAATTTAACGTGTCGTTGTACAAGATCACATTGTGAGGAGAAAAAGTAGGGTAGACGCAACGCTGCCATGTGCGACGATCGATTGACATCTAAGTAAAACACAATTCTAATTGGTTTGAAATTTATATTATTCTAGAAGAGAACTATAATTCTAGAAAAGGGTAAAAATTCTTGAAGATCATCAAATAATTAAAACAAAATAAATCATTACGATGCCACTTCGCCAGTAAATACTTGTCGAGGTCGCCATAAACATGGAGGTTGATCTAAGTTCTTGTTAATTTGCTGATCAGTACCAAAAACGGGAGAATCTAGGACTTACTCATGCTCTCTCTCCAGTGTGCGAGCGCACCAGCGCATCGCGCCGTCATTGCGAGCGGTGTGAATATCCTTGGGTCGAATCCACTGTTGCACTATTAGTTCCACATACCTCCACGTGGTATGAAAATTCGCGGAGAAGGAAAGAAAAACTTACAGCGCTGCGTAGGCAAACGAGGAATACAAGTCGGCGTTAATGCTAAGTTTTCTCGACGTAAAATACGGATCTTCGGCAACTGTACGGTCGATTTCTAGTACGACGTCGAGCAGCGGGTTTTGCGATACATTCGTCTCGAGGTCGGCCATAATAGAGTGAAGGTGAGGTATTCTCGGATCGATAGTTCGATATACGCGGTGTCCCACGCCCATAAGTCTAGTTTTCTTAGCTTTTACATCGGCCATATGTTTTCTGACGCCCTCCTTGTTCCGCATTTGCTTAAATCTCTTGTATGCAAGATCAATAGCGCCACCATGCAACGGACCGTTACCCGAAGCCACAGACGCAACACAAGCCGAGATAGGATCGCTTAGACAAGAGGTGGCGTTGAGGAATGCGGCAGTTGAGTTGGTTATTTCGTGATCGGCGAATAGAATCCAGAGCTTATTAAGAGCCGAAGCTGCTTGTCTATCGTGTGGCCGACCCATCATAATGAGCATATTTTCGATGGTTGAGAGTGTTGGGTCAGCATGTGGTGTAAAAGGTTTGCCTTGCTGGTGACAGGCCATGATCGCCACGACTGTTGCGAAGGCAGCGAGACTCCTGTAGATGCCTTCATCGACGGCATTGGAATCTTTCTCATATATTGAATATCCTCTGTAAACTGGAACCGAATCCGGGTCTGACGCCGCCCAGGCGGTTAGACCCGCAGCAACGATCAAGTAGGCGGGTGCATCTGGGCTTTGAGGGATCAGTAAGGTGTGTACATAATGTCTTGGTATCCGGGAGTGCATACCTGAATGCTTGGATGACCCTAATGATTGACTGATCAGGGACCATTTGCTTGGCAACTCGGCTTCTGAAGTTGAGCTTCTCATCTAGTGTAGGAAGGTGACCCCACACTAGTAGATGCACAACGTCCTCGTAGTCATGATGGGTGACGAGGTAGCTGATAGAATATTGACGATACTGTAGCAGGCCACGGTTACCATCACTGTGGAATCAATTAGATTAACTATCCGATTACGTTTAGGGTTAACGAGGGTTATACATGTGTGTAATACGACTTTCTCCAACAGCAGTGTTCCTGAAGCCCGGATCAAGTAAGGTTAAGCCTTTGGCTATATGGTCCTGGGGACTAGCCGTAATGCCAAGTGGTGATATCTTTCGGAACTCAGTAGCCTGGACGGCATTGTGGTTTATTGAAATGCTATACGGCCGAAATGTTCGCAAGTCTATGACCCACAGCTTCTCAAGGGACGGGAAAACGAAAACTTTATTCAACAAATAATAGTAAAAGTCAAGCAGAAGCTTGATGAAGGAGTGAACTGTGGCCGCCATTGTGTCTTGGGAACTAGACTAAAGGTCGTGGGGTGGAAACACCATGAAGGGTCAAAAAGTGGAAAGGCAACGGTTTAAAGAAAGCAAATGTTGGAATACCTTAGCGGATAACAAGGCCAAAACACCATGGTAAGCACCATAGTGATGAACTAAGACTCTAGGCCTTAACCTCACATGGAAGTACGCATCAAATCGTCTTTTCTGTAATCTTAGCTAGGCAAAATCTGCCTTGGTACCCATTTCATTTGCCTATCATACGCCATACAAGTACCGCACCTAGTATAGGGCTGCAGTGGATTAACCCTTGGCCCGGGAAGAGATTACTTGAATTATTTCAGTTCCTCCTTCACGTCTGCTTTCGTAAAGTGATTTACTGAATCCTCCAGCCCCCAAGAGATGGCTAATAAACGCACTTATCACGTAAAGTGGATCAAGCTATGCTGGCTAGTTCGCAAGAGCCGCAGCGATTATTAGTAAACCTGGAAAATAACGGCCGGCGTTATTATAAGGTAGTATTCGCCAAGTAACCAGCATCCGTATCTGCATTAGCACCGCCTGATCTTGGTATTTAGGTCCGTAGTGGGTACTCTCATAGGAGACACGTTTTGCTATTATTAGTTGTAGAACGAGCTGCGCAGGATGATGTAACACGGGCATGGAATAGCTCGTTCAACGTTGCCTATCGCGGAAGAAGCTCCAGAATCAGCCCTAAACCTCATGCAGATGTTACGTATCGTAGAACGTCCAGGGGTACGATGTGCTTTTGCTGATTTTTTACCGAGGATGCGTGGACATGCACCCCACGACCAATATCCTTCCCGACAAAAGGAAGAATATCACACAAACCTGCAATTGGAAGAGAAACCAACTTCCTAATACAAGGTTTTTCCATCTCCGACAACTATTATGGCTGAGAATCCTAGTCAAAGTTCACCTGCCATTACGGCCGAATTGTGCGAATGGGTAAACTCACTGCAATTAGCGGATATCCCGGACGATGTGGTAACAAGGACAAAATACCTAGTCCTCGATGGGTTAGGGTGTGCGATTATCGGGTCACGTTTGCCGTGGTCGGAAACGGGCACCAGGGCAGTTCTCTCTATGGAATCCGCCGGTTCGTGCTCAGTGTGGGGATGGAATAAGGTACGCTTTAATCTAATGGGAAGTTTGCGTATGCTCACACGTACGCATAGAAAGTCGGTCCGTTGGCAGCGGCGCTTCTCAATTCATCCTTCATTCAAGCCTTTGAATTAGATGACTTCCACTCAGAATCTCCAATACATTCCTCGTCTGTAGTGCTTCCCGCACTCTGCGCACTTGTTCAACATGATCATTCATCAATAACTGATTCACAATTCCTACTTGCGGCATTGATCGGCTATGAAGTTGGTCCACGAATCGGCTTTGGTTTATGGGGTGGTGACATTCTCAGCCGTGGATGGCATTCCGGGGCTGTGTTTGGACCTGCAGCAGCAGCTGCCGCATCTTCAAAGCTCTTGGGTCTCAGTGTCGAGAAGATCGAAGATGCAATTGGCATTGCTTGCACACAAGCTTGTGGGCTTATGAGTGCGCAATACGGTTCTATGGTGAAGCGTATGCAACATGGCTTTGCTTCACGCAATGGTCTATTTTCAGCCATCATGGCGTCTCAAGACTATACTGGCATTGATAAAGTTCTTGAGACTCCTTATGGCGGGTTTATCTCTACTTTTGGGAATGGTGGAACACGGGATCCACCTACAACACCTCACCGGATCACTGAGAACCTAGGGAAGAATTGGGAGCTTCAGAACATCAATGTGAAGCCTTATGCCAGTATGGCCGCCACACACGGAACCATTGACTGTATTAGGAAGGTTCAAGAACAGCATCCGGACGTCTTGAGTGATGTGGAGGCGATAGATGAAATTGTCGTAGAGATGTCGGAACCGGCATTCAAAAAAGGTGGCTGGTCACCAAAACGACCGGTTGAGATGACAAGTGCGCAAATGAGTGCACCGTATGCTGCGGCATCTCAGATTGTAGATGGAGCTGTTCTTGTAGGACAGTTTACTCCCGCCAGCCTTGACCGTGATGAGGTATGGAAGTGGGTAGACAAGATCCAGTGTGTGCACAACACGGAATTCAACAAAGATAAGAAGACCATGTGGTTTCAACGGATGACGACCACTTTCAAAGACCAGACAAGAGAGAAGATAGAGGTCTTCGTGGAGGCACCGAGAGGTGTGAAACCGCTGCTGACCAATGAAGAGATACGGGAGAAATGGAAAATGCTTACAGGGGGTATTATTGACGTAGAAACACGGGATAGAATCGAGCAGATAGTGCTCTCTCTAGGAAGCGGAGCAGATTTGGCTGAGCTAGTTGAGTTGTTAGGCCGAGATACTGAAAAGTTGCGTGGTTTCTGATCGACACATAAGAAATACATAGATAGTCGGGCTAGAATTGGGCATATACTGACGGCTTGAGCGCAGAAAATTAAAAAAAAAAAATTCTATCTTGATTATCACACCATGCTGTTCATTCGAGATATGCAGTTGAATTTTAGTCTAGGACGGATCTTGAAGCAGTCAGCATGCTTGTACAAGGAAGTTAGGTCGCTTACCCACCTTGGTATGATTGGATGCTTATCAAAAAACAATCCGCGGCGGAGCTACCGACCTTCAGCTACTTATATAAGTACCCCCATGCACACTAGTATCTCCAGTTAGCTTCATTTACAGATAGACAAACACCCCAAACACATGTCATCTGCTCATTGTCTTTGGAAAGACTAACTCAACATGTCTAATCCGCCGATATATGATCAAATTCTTGAGGACATTATAGCCTATGTTTACCACACAGACATATCGTCACCACTCGCATACAAGCGAGCTCGAATAGCATTGCTTGATTCACTCGGATGTGCAGTTGAGACACTTGCTCAATCATCAGAAGCGCGAGCCTTTGTTGGCCCAGTGGTGCCAGGAACAATAGTTCCGAATGGCTTCAAACTTCCAGGGACAAGATTCGTTCTCGATCCGGTGAAAGGCGCTTTCGATTTCGGAGCCTTGATTCGCTATCTGGATCATAATGATGCCTACCCCGGTGCAGAATGGGGTCATCCTAGCGACAACCTGGGCGCCATTATTGCAGTAGCGGATTGGCTTTCCCGTGCTCATGCTGCCGGGGACGCCGTCGGAAAAGCAATTACAGTGAAAGAAGTCCTAACAGCGCAAATTAAAGCATACGAAATCCAGGGTATCTTTCAGTTGAAAAACGCATTTAACAAGCATGGCCTGGACCACACCATCTTAGTCAAAATTGCATCAACAGCAGTAGTAGCGCATCTGCTAGGACTGAGTGAAGAGCAAGCCCTCAGCGCGCTGAGTCATGCTTGGATGGATGGCCACCCTCTCCGTACATTTCGCCAGGCGCCTAATGCAGGACCCAGAAAGGGTTGGGCTGCGGGAGATGCGTGCAAGCGAGCCGTACATCTCTGTTTCCTAGCTAAGGCTGGACAGCCCGGGGCGCCTTCAGTGCTTACGGCACCCAAGTGGGGATTCAAAGACACCCTGTTTGGCGGGGAAGAGCTCAGAATTCCGAGACCATTTGGCTCGTTCGTAATGGAATATCATTTCTTCAAATTGGTGGTAGCCGAAGCCCACGGTATATCTGCTGCCGAAGCTGCAGTTGAACTTGCAGCAATATTGAAACATGCAGGAAAGACGGCAAGTGATATTGAAAAAATGACGATCCGAACGCAACAAGCAGCAAAGACAATCATTGACAAGACGGGCCCTCTGAGGAATCCCGCGGACCGAGACCACTGTATTCAGTACATCGTCGCAGTTTCATTGATAAAGGGATCCTTCATCGAAGGCGAAGACTACGCAGATGACAGTCCATGGGCGTCGGACCCAAGGGTGGATGAATTACGAGAAAAGATTGTTGTCGTGGAAGACGAACAATTTACTAAAGATTATCATGATCAAAAGGTGCGAAGTGGGGCAAATGGACTCAAGGTCGAATTGAAGTCTGGTGAAGATATTCCCGAAATTGTGGTTGCATTTCCAATTGGTCACCCGAAGCATCCAGAAACACTAGACCTTGTTAAGAAGAAGTTCAAAAATAATATGAGCAAGGGTAAGTTTGAGAGTGTTACAGTGGAAGAAATGATGAAATTGGCGGAAGAGGATGATATCCCGGTTCATAGTTTCATCGATCTTTTCGAGAAAAAGGTGTGAAGATGTGAAGATGGGGAGGGATGGATTGATTGAATTGAATTGATTAAATCAATGTTGTATTTTCTAGGGATTAAAGCACTTACTACGCTCCCAGTTGGAGATTTAAAAATAGCTTAAATTTAACTGAGTAATTAGTCATCATTGCCTTCTCACAGCAGATTTAATAGCGAAGGTTTACATAGAGGGAAATAGAAATATTATGATTAGATAATCCTCCTTAATGGAATATATCAACATCGCATTACTAAACTATATCCTATAGTTGATTACATGCGACTTATACATATAATTCCTAGAAAGTAATCTGTCTCTCCCGGAGTCGAGGACCATATCTCTGCAAAACAAACGGAATAGGTATCATGGCAATACAAAGGAATGCAAGTAGCATTGAGCCCCTGTTAGACGTTAGAGATATATCTTCAGAGTAGTAATGAAGGGCAACTTACCAGTCGTAACCAAGTTTCCTGTAGAGTTGGAATCCCACGATACAAAACGCACATGTGATGGCACATCTGGTAACAATGGCTGCAGCCAAGGCGCTAGCCGCCCATTTGCCAAAGCAATCCACAAGATACGTGTGGATACACACATAACCCATGAGCATGCCTGTACCGAAAATGCATGCGCCAAGAAGAGGCACGATCCAGTGGGTACGCCCAGCACTCCAACCGAACATAATAAGCCCTAGAGGAACAATAGTCATGCCTACTTGCATAAACGGAAGTCGAAGTTCGGGAGTTGGGATCGAAGAGCCCGTACGTTGCTGCTGACGCGCCAAAGCAGAAGCGAATGAAGAATTCATGAATTTTCCCGTGATGACCATACCGATAAGACTGCCAACACCAGCGCCAAGATAGGCCAGACCAGTCTTACCACCGGTCCAATGGTAAGAGTACAAACCATACATTTCATTTGGACCGAAGAGAAGTAAAATAGTTATTAAGTGAAGGTATAATATGCCGTAAATTCTGTAATCCTGGTTAGCCACCCGGTGTGTAATACAGCGAATTCTGTCACTAACAGAGAAAGATAAATGCTCATAAAAGCACAAATAGGTGAAGTAAAAAGTAATCGGATCGGTCTCGTAATCGCTCGACTGAATAGATCTTTTGCATGTTTTTCGCCCTCGACCCGTAAATTCGTATCGCGATTGATTTTCGATAAACGAGCAGCCTTACGCGACAATAGGTACGGCGCGTACGTTTCTTTCAAGAACACCGCCGAAAAGGCAGTTGTAACACCTGAGGCGATCGTAACGGTCCATAGAAGCCAGGGCCAGCCGTGAGTACGGTCCACGATGAAGCCACCAATAACTCCGCCAAGCACCTATTTCACTAGTTAATACTGCAGCTCAAGATAAATGATATGAAACTCTGATTTTCTACGTACCGGACCCATGACCGGACCAAACGAGTAAGCCGATTGTGCTCTGCCTCTCTCCTCAACCCGGAACATGTCACCGACGCTACTGGCTCCCAAACTTGGCCCCGCAGAGCCAGCGACACCGCTCAAAAGTCGTAAAATAGAAAGGGCGGTGATATTTGGAGATAGTGCGCATCCGACGTTCAGGATCGTGAATATAGTAAAACTACACAGGTAAATGATCCTTCTCCCGTAAAGTTCGGAACATGGTCCCAGAACGAGGGGCCCTAGTCCGAGACCGAGGACATAAAGACCGGTAGGAAGAGCTGGCGTATACGCATCTGTGAGATGAAAATCACTCGCAATAGCTTCTGCGCCTATGGCTAAGATAGTCGAGGCAATTGGCGATAACGTCGCTTGCATGGAAATAAGCGCCACGTTCGTCCATTTTCGCCAGTTCGGCCAGTTAAGCGGATTCTCGATATCGGTATCACTATCCCACGTCTACGGAATGATGAGATTCTGAGCTTGCTTACGAAAGGAGTATCACGAAAAAGAAATCACACAAGGCAAAGTAAAAAGTTAGACATACCACTGATTCGTTGATCACCGCCTGCTCTTCTTCCCGTGTCTTCTCCATGGTATACGGAATGGCTGTCTTGTTTACATGGATAAGGCCCTATGGAAACATAGAGGTGGTTTTTTACAACAGTGATGATCTCTGCCTGGGCTTACAGTTGGATATTATTATGTCGGGATTATTTTTTATCACATTCGGTTGATTATCTAATTAAGCGAAAGTAGAGCGGCAGAGCGGACATAACTATTCTATGCCTTCCTAAAAATAACTTCCAGGGTTGAGATTTGAATGTTTTATTTATTTTATGATATTTGATTAATATACCTGGTCAGGAAACCGTTAATTACGGTAACACGTGGGGTTATATAAGCAAGCTGAGTGGGAAAATGTGACGGTACGACGTACCCATGTTACATTGCGTATAGTGTTGCAATCCTTCGAGGCTATGCGGACCCCCCCATTAGTCACGGCCTAATTAGGCGCTGATACTAGATCAAGGTAGATCCATAGGTACATCGGCATTGCCTGAATTGTGAATAATCTGCGAGAACCGTCCATGGTTCAGATCCAAATTCGAGATGTTAAGAAGAATGAATCCTCCCCACTCCCCTCCAGCCCTTCTGGGTCTTCTAGGTCCCTTAGGTTTCTTAGGTCTCACGTCAGGGTGGGTATCGATGCTCAACAGATATCTCGCCTTTGTATATAGCAGTGGCGGGCTGCTCTCTTTTCATGAGTCCTAGCTGCTTCCGTCTTTGCAGCTCGTAACACCAACACCAACGCCCATTTCCTAAAAGGTCGGCGATAATCGGGTTGTCATGTCGTACCCATCGGCATTGATGGGCCAAGACCCGATCAGTGAGACGGATGCGCTGATTCGAAGAGGGATTCTAATTGTTGCGCCTTCGCAACTTAATCCAAACAAATCCGAACCCTTTGGTCCACCTAGGCCGGTTGACTATCACTTCGAGACGAATGCTCCATCGTTGATAGGAGGAGAAGCAGTTTCAATATTTTTTATTGCTCTATTTACCGCCCTAAGAGTTTATGTTAGATTGTTTAAGAAGAAGAATTTTGGTCTTGATGACTATTTAATAATACCCGGAGCTGTAAGTTCACTATGATACTTAATACCGTATACTTGTATATATGCTTATGATTCTAGCTTGGTGCTATCATCTACCTATCACTCGATATTGCTTCTCATACGAAAGGCTGTTTAGGAAAACACATATACGACTGCACATACACTGAGGTCTACTGGTTTATGCGAATTGCCGACGTTGAGCAACCTCTCTTTTACTTCAGTGTCTTCTGTGTTAAGCTTAGCGTTGCCTTCGCGAATCGGCGTATCACTGGTCTGGCCTCCAAAAGATGGATGATAGTACACTGGGTATTCATCTGCCTTTTTTTGGTTCTCTTGCCTACCACTGTATTCATTCAGGCTTTCCAATGCCTACCAGTTCCAGTGCGCTACTCCCTAATTGCCATTGGCAGCTTGACCGACCCAACTCAAATTAAATGTCTCAACATGTCGGCCGTGAGTCTTGCAACCCGCGTTCTCCATATTCTAACAGACGTTGCTCTTCTCTGCGTCCCAATTACTATTATGGCTCGCCTACAAATGCCATGGAAGAAGAAGGCCCGTCTCATTTCTATCTTCGCTCTAGGTGGAATGTCGACCCTCGCCTCGATCCTTCGAAATATCGACATTTTCCATTACAACAATGACATCACTTGGCAGTACTACGGAGTATATGCGTGGAACACAATTGATATCACTTTTGCTGTTATTGTAGCTTCGCTACCTGCACTAAACAGTCTCCTCGACGTGTGCATCGACGGGTTCAAGTCGTTAACCAGCCGAAACAGCTCGAAACCGTCACTTCGATTAGGTGCTCATGGATCAGAGCATTCTATGGAAAGAAAATTATGGAACAGAAAACCCTCGGATGGCGACTCCGGTGTGGCCGTTCAAGCAGCTCCGGCTCCAGCCCCCGCTGCTGAACAAGTATCCGAACACGTACCTTCGCCTCATGGACAAGAGCCTGTAACCTATGAGCAGGTATACGTGCCCGCAAACTATGAACAACAGGTCATTTATGTGCCTGCTAACTATGTTCAGACATCCGGCGCTTTCGTACAAGCACCAACCGATCAGACGCAAATGCCTGTATATTACGTGCCAGCTACGACTGATCAGGGACAAGCACCCGTATATTACGGGCAGGTCCAAGCAGACTATGGGCAACAGCCTGCTACACAAGGGCAAACCCCCTATGCCTACGCGCACGCGCCGTCCGCTTACGAATATGAAGCCTCTGGTTCGTTTCATAGATAGGAAATGGGTTAGGTTAAAAATAGTTAAAAATGAGAAAAAAATCTATAAAAATTTGAACAATTAAAACATCGCTCTTAGACTCGCAACGTGCGTATGTGACGTACTTACATTGGTGATTGCATCATCGGAAGCCCCGTTCACTAACTCGAATCCTGCGAAAAAAAAGTCCCTCTAGAAACTCGGGGTAAATTTGATCCCTTCATCCCTTAATGCTGCTTCCTACGCAGCGCACCTCCTAGTTAACCGAATTTGTTTTAGTGGCCAGCCCAAGCGTGCACATAATGACCTAGACTATCTAAGGGGTCCCTAGATAAAACGGCGATAGATGGTATGATCAACTAGAATAGGAGGAAGCAAGTTTCGAGGTATCCATACTGCTCCTATGCGGTGATGCGTATGTCAGTCTCACCCAAAACTCTCAGCTCAAGATGAAGCTCATGTTTGTTTCACCGCAGCCAATAGTGACCGTTATTTGGTATGCATTCTAATATACGAGCTTCTTAGCTCTTACTTCGCTACCGGCCGAATCGTCATCCCTCCAATTGGACCATGCCAAAGATCTAGAATCCCAGCGCAGAATAGCGGGTGCTCGTTAGATGTCGAACCACTTTGTTCTAACAAATGACGAGAAATTGGCGGGGCCCGATGGAAAAATATACTGATTTGAATTAACTCGTTTGCAAAGAACATTGGCTCACCAAATAGTACATCAGGGACACCCCCCTATGAAGACTTGGCACTGAGATATATACACTTACATAAAAAGGGTCTAATACACATTGTCACTATTCAATAGTAATAAACGTTCGCATATAAATTCTCCATACTTCCGTTGTTATCGAACGGTCGGGAAAAGGATACATGATCACAAAGTTACATAAGCAGTTACCCCTGAGAGAAGCATTCATGAAATCCATGATGGCTTGTAAAGTTTTCATAGTAATATGTACGTATGGGTTTCTAAGTCCTTCGATCATAATAAGATTAATAGTAGCTTCGTATCGATGCCATTGAGCCTTAAACTTAATATCATATAAATATTCGTCCACATTCAGGCTTTGAGGTGGGCACGATTATATCGTCAGTTCAGATACCTACCTAAGCCCTAGGTATAGCTCTATTAATAAAGATCATAAATCTCTTAATAAACTTCTTAATAGTCTATAAAGAACCATGGTTTTGACTGACACTACTCGGGCCTCAGGCAACTACTGTTCCACCACTGATGAACAATCGCTCCCTTTTCATCAGCAAGCTCAGAACAACTACCAAAGCGCCACCAGCAACGACTAAGATGTATGTCTTGCCAATAGATTCCACAATCGCCTCCAAGACCTGAACCTTCAAATTTGGCTCGAGATTTTGGACGAAATTAGACCCCGCGCCTTGCATGGCAAGTTGGATCTGTTCCAAGGGAACATCAGGCAAGATCCGAGTTATGCGCTCCTGACTCTCATTCAAGAACACCGCATTCCCAGCCGCTAGCGCGATTGTAATACCAAGGAATTGTGCGAGAGTGATGAAACCCACTGCGGACGCGATCTGGTCTAGTTGTACCACTGCCTGAGCAACCGAGAATGAGGCTTGGAGGAATGTTCCTACACCGGCACCGAGGATCGCTGTGTACCCATAGATGCGGCTCTCGGAGGTCGATAGGTCAACTGTGTACATCAGCGCGGCGCCGGCTAGAGCCAACCCCCCACCTAGAGTGTACCAAGGCATGTGGTAACCAGTCTTCGATAGGAGTGCGCCGTTTGCGAAGACACCAAAAATCATGACCACAATAAACGGCAACAACCGGATACCTGCGTCGAGCGCTGTGTCTTCACGCGTGAATTGGAAGAATAGCGCGACAAAATAGATGGGAATGAAGGAGCAAGCCCCCGAGGCCGCGGTCGCGCTAAAGAGGATGAGGATCGTCCGCGATGAGAAGAACTCAACCGGTATGATTCGACGAGATACCGTCGTGAATATGGTCCAAACCTGCTGGATCCCGAGGACAATGAAAAGCACACCAGAGACCACGAAGAGAGCGATTATGGGTCCCGAATTCCAAGGATAGGTCAAACCACCCCAATTGATCGCCAGAATAAATGTGATCCAGGCACCTGCTTGTAAGATAGCTCCAACCCAGTCCATCTCCTTCGCGCGCTCCTTTAATGGGGCACCTCGGCGGGGGTGCTTGTTGGGGATCAGGGAGAGGTATATCGGAGCGAAGGCGGCCCCGATGAATAGGTTGATGTAGAATGCCCATCGCCAGCCGACCCGAGATTGACTAAAAGCCCCCCCGATGACAGGCCCAAGCACGATCCCTCCTCCCCATGTGAAGCCCGTTACCGAGACGTACATCGGCCGCTCAGATATAGTCGTCGTCGCAGCAATCAAAGTCATGACTCCTACGTACATCCCCGCTCCACCAATACCACAGATGGCCCGTCCGATAATGAGGGCATTGATATTCGGGGCAGCGCCGCAAATGACGGATCCGATTTCAAAGAGAATTACGCTGATTATATAGAACCATTTCGAGTTGAATTGAGCGTAGACCTTGCCCCAGAATAAATTCGTGGCGGAGGCTGAGAGTTGGTAGGCGACACCAAGCCAGGAGAGCTTCTCGACATGGCCCAAATCGGCGATGATGACCGGTTGAATATCCGCAACGATGGTACCGTCTAAGGCGAAGAGGAAGGTGGAAGAGCATATAGCGACGATCGCTAGGTACCACTTCCAACCGCTGATGTCTCGGGGGGGAACCTCCTCTTTTAACTGCTCGGTTTGTTCTTGTTTCTCAGCATCTTGTGGACTATTTTGGCCTTTCTGTGGACTTTCTATCGTATCCTGGGTCGTTTTATTTCCGCAGAAGATGGCCATAGTACAGGAATTGGTCGCTGGCAGTTGAAATTAGCCCAAGTAGATGTAAACTAAAGCGGTCTTATAGTACCAGGAAAATAAAAGCGACATAATAACTTACCGGGAGTGACTAGAAATTCAATGAGTACGAGGCAACAAACGAATGACCTTTCCCTGGACTCATCGGCAATGGATGAGATATCCCATTATGGTCCCAATGCATTTTATACCTATTGTTGGTATCGTGTATAGCCAAGTGGACGCATTACAAATCAAAAGAAAGGAGATTGATTTGTAAGTTAAACAACTTTAACCCCCCTTGTAGTCCATTGCTATAGACTGCCAATGCAAGTTCCACATAAGGCCGATCTGTAGAGGCCAATGGCAAAAATCAGTTTCCTCCAAAAAAGGTATGAAACCATTCAGCCTCCACTCCCAAGACCAGTACTTGGCCCATCCGGCTTGACCTAATTGGGCCATTTTCAACGTAAATTGACGGGGACCTCTCCACGTGGACAGAATTTACCTAGAGAGACGCATTATAAGGAGTCTACCTACCTAGGACGGTATCCAGGTAGGTAAACATTCAAAATATCCACTCTTAAGATGTCGAATCCCAAGAAATCACATAATTAGCCCTAACAATTTCGTTAGGTGCTCTATGCAGCTAGCCATCATCTCCGACGACCTGTATTGTGGAGGCTAGAAAACGTGTACTGCGTGCAATTAGTACGGCTTACACTGTGATATTTATTCATTGAAAGTGTTAGTCTAATGTGAGAGAAGTTTTATTATGTGAAATAGGGACCATTCTCATTTATTATCTCTCTCATTTGAAATCGCTCGAATCCCTAAGACTATTGGCTCTACCTAGTACTCTGAAAAGACATTCACCTTCAGGATGTTTGACTTTGCTGGCATTATTGCACTTACTGGGATTGTCAGCCCCATTCTTATCTCGGTTACCTTTACGCCATCGGTTGAGATACAAACGGATATGGTCCTCCTAGGTATCATCTTGGGCCAAAAATATAGGTATCTAGCAACGAATTCGGGTCCCTTACCATTCTCATATATTACTACGTGGATATATAATTCTCGTTATGGCATCGTAGGAAATGCTTGTACGCGCGTTTTTAAGCCGGTTCGACGGTAACTCGTTCGGATCGTGTACCTATACGTAAGTGGCTTATACTTAACCCTCACATCCCTCCTCGGGGAGTAGAGCGGTATACTTTTCTCAACCAACAATTGAACAACAATAGGTAAATAATAAGTCCATAAAATAAACACATATATTTTCTAAGTACCTACCTGGTAATTTCCCCACGTACCTCGTAGATCTCACACCCAATGAACAACTCGTTTCTCAAACTTCTAGTAGAAGTCTTCATGTTATATGGGAAGGAGAACGATGGAAGGATTGTCGCTATTGGGTGGTATTTAAGCTGTAAAGTACCTAAGTACATATGTAGGTAGGTACATATATGTAAGATCTTAACAGGGCACACCCCACACTAGCTCTCTAGGTGCCTATCACCAATAGCTGTCAAAAGACGATTTATTTATGCCTAGGTATTCATGGCCTCGACAAATCAAACTTACTAAGGTTCGAGCGAAGAAATTTTAATAAAATAGAACCCCTAAGATTCCGAAGTTACAATTATCTAACAAAGCCGAAACCCCTACCCCGCTAAAGGCCTACCGAGCCAGCATTGTGTGATCTGCGAGACCCTACGAGCTCAAGAAGCTGTTCCCCGTCGCAACGTACCCCTAGTCGAGAGCAGCGACATTTTCACGCCGACTGCAAAGATCCATAAAATCATGATCTGAAAAACAGTTGGTATGGTGGTCTCTTCGAGGACCCGTTGAATTTTTTCATGGTTTTCAGGAAGCTCCATCAATTCTATTTTGCCTATGACACCATCCTGTTCTTGGCCAGCAAGAGTAGTCGCATCAATTGATGAACCTACTTGACTGCCAGGGGTTGGTGATTCTCTGATGGTAGTTTCTGGGTATTCGCGATTAGTTTTCGATAGTGCTTCCGATATTTCAGCTAGGCTATGTTGGCTCGTCGAAGATGTGTCTAGAGACAATAGCATTGTTGCCTCTCCTTGAATTTCTTCCAAGAAAGCGGTGCTTGATGTCTCTATACTGTCGTCGTCTTCGCCTCCCTCCTGAATTAGTGAATCATCATTATCCTCGGTGTCTTCTTCATACGGTCTAGGGTCCAGAGGCGTATGAGAACTCCGAGAAGCGGACATCTTGTTCTTTTCCTCCATATTCGCCGGTATGTTCGTAGCTAAGTCGTCAAGGGGATCCTGGAAAGATTCGTGATCCCTACCGCCGAAATTTATCAGCGTCGTCGCGGTTTGCTGTTCGATAGGAAACTTGAACTTCTTAAATGTCTTCTTCACTTTATGTTGCAGATCTGAAGCTACTCCCTCTAAGTATCCGCTGACTTCAACCTGCATGAGAAATGGCTGTCCATCATGCTCAAATGCAAATGCCGTATGAAATGTATTTTCATGTCCTGGCTGGCGGTCTAGCTCGTTTTCGATAAGGTTCCATTTCAAAATTGCGGTTGTGCCTAGTTTGTTGGGCATTGGGTTGCTCGAAAACCTCCACTGATTCCGTTGGGTGTATCGTTTTACCGAGTCTCGTCCAATACCACCAACTCCACCAATACCGCCGACTTTAACCCAAGGGCTGCCACGGTGCTTCGTGATCCTAAAAACTTCATCTAACTGGCCGCGTAGACTCCGTGGGCCAAATTGCCTAATATGAACAGGAACCCTAGGCGTTGTTGGTGGATTTCCTGTCCTGAAGTGATGACGAAGGTCTTTGTCTTCTTCGTCTAGAGTCAGTGTAACGGTGGCGCCCCTAAGACGACAATTTGATGACTCGGTAAACGTCAGATCAATGTAGATAACACCCCCAGGATTCCTGTTAGGGCCTAGGACGCCCCATCGTGATTCTCTGAATAAGAACTTGCAGGCAACTTCGACATCTCCAATCTTCCCCTTTCCGATATAATGATTCGATGTCTCGAGGCGCTCAAATCTTCCAAAATCATATTTCCCATATCGCCGACCAAATTGAAGACGCTCTTGCCAGGGCAAAACAAAACCCTTGTACACTGGGTGGCATCCAGTATGAAGCATCGAGATTGAGTCTATGTAGTCCCAAAAGCACAATAGTAAGGATTTAAGCAACCCGCCTCAATTGATGACGATCTACGATTTACCTAAATTGGTGGGTAGATATTCACATTACAGAAACAGAAGAGGGGAATTGGACAGACAATTTTGGTTTTATGTCAGCCAATAGGTACGTAGTAAATAGGTAACCACACCTCTTCCCCTCCACAGCCTGCTTTAAGTCGTATATAGACGCCACGCTTCAGTTGTGCACTTCCGCGTTTATATAAGCTTACCGATGCTACTTCCCCGCGAATTGATGCTTTAGTATACAATTATTAGCAACATACAATAACTATCCCATTTCAAATTTAATATAAGTACACCTTGATGTCGGAGGGCAAATTAGCAAAATGAACGTAGCCCACAAGGCCAAGAAGGCGAGGAAAGTTGGTTTTCATACTAGACCGACCACGGGGTTGCGTGGGCGTTGGGAGGATGATGGCAAAAAGGCGAATATGCAGCTTTCCACATACAGAAAACATGAAGAGGCTCATATAGACCCTAGTCAAAAGGACCATGACGAAAGAGAGAGCGACAAACCTAGTACCCCAAGCGATAGCGACACTAACCACGAGGAAAATCTCAAGAAAACTTCCACGGAACATCGAGTTCCCGACATCGGCGAGTTCCTCTCAGAACGGAATGTTAGCGGCGTTGTGGACCCTCGTCATAGGAATGATGTTACAGTTCATCTCAAGATGCCCGCACACGAAGACCTTGATGAGGTTTTCGAGGAGTTTTATCGCCTACAAAGGTTAGGGAACTTCACCAGTGCGAAACAGTTCTTTGAAGAAAACCTAAGAGAGTACCTAACAAGGCCTTCAATACTTATTGGGTACGCAGAAATGCTGCTCGAACAAGGAGATTATGGAGCCCTATCGAAAATCGATGATAATATGATGCGCAGCGCATGTAGCAGCCTCGTCGACATGGGAGACAGATTGATGTTGACAATTTATTGGGACCTACTTAAGGTTCTTGTAGCTCATTATAAGCCCGGGGGACTTGGAGCGTTCCTGATAAAATCTGGCCTAGTTGATCAAGCACTTAGCCATCTCCGTGTCACGATGAATCTAGGTGGAGCGGGTGTTACTTCTACCGAGGTTGGTTCACCTGTTATGCCCCAATATTGTGCCTCACTGAATACCTAGGTCAAAATGCTTGCTCTACTCTACCACTTGGGTACGTTTGTTGACGACAGAATTTACGAACGTCTCGATGAACTATTTCCCTTGGAATACCACAGAGCATTATATACCCACTTCATTGGACAGGGTCGAATATGGGATCTTCGTGACATTTCCGTAGCTAGAACAGCTTGCGGAATTGACGTAACCCAGGATTGGAGCGAAGATCTGAGCTTCCGGAAACGTACTCAAACCCTTATAGAAAATTGGGTTGATGTAGACGGCGGTACGTCGACAACTCTTGCGCTTCTTGATATTCTCGTATTTCTCGCCCTGCACGAGCTCAAAAACCCCGAAAGGGATTGTAATCGAGTCGGATATTTCCTAGAAAAAGCTCAGTCATTTGCACTTTCTATTGTTCAAACAGATCCTGCTTGTATGGAAAGCCGACCTTTTGCAAGATGGATGTTAGCGAAGGCCCAATTCACCAATGACATACGCTCCCACGGTGGCCCCTCCCGTGAAAGGCCCTTTAGATCATCACCGGGCGTCGTATTTACTTGGACAGATTCTCAATTACCCCAATATATTCCCTCGAAGGGCGAGAATCCGGGCTGGGATCTGAATAATCCGATATCCGAGTTTGAGCGATCCATCAAAATGGCACTTAAAATTTCGAGGTCCCTGAACGACTATCAGACCGAAGCCATGGCTCTGCAAAAACTCATCATGTTATCGGCTAACCCAAAGAAAGAATTCGAAGAACTATGCAAACTGCAGAAATGGACCCAAGAGGATACGTATGGCTATGCGGACACACTAATATCAAAGTACCTAATAAGTGGAACGGACGAATCGAAAAGCGCGCTGAAATCGGAGATCTATGGGCTTTTCACCATCCCAGACTTTCCTGAGTGCCTATCCAAGTTGAAATCTTGGATGCTGAATAGGTTGCAATACTCTTTAGAAGACGAAGGGCCCGCGGCCGAACGAGCTTTACAGGAATCTCACAAGGACTATCAACACCTCGACCAAGTATATCGGCAAATGATTGATGAAAAATTATTAGGGGCTAGACCGCTTTCCAGCCGGACCGACTATGGCTTACGGCATAACCAACCCAATGTACAAGGAACACAACACAAGCCGGTTCAAAATGAAAGAGATAAAATACCCGTTATGGAGAGAAATACCACAACCGCGAAGTCAAATGAAAGTACAGAGCGTCCAACTCCTGAACCGCGGAAGGGCATTAATCGTACTAGAGCGCTCAGAATCAATCGTAATGCACGCTCCGGGAAAACCCCGCCCTATGAAGAGGATGTTTTGACAATGTCTGACAACTCTCAAGATTATGAAACCATCACATCTGACAGCTCGCTAGCCACGGATGAAAGATGGCCGGGGAATTTGGATCGACCCTTAGGTAAAGAATTAATCGCAAAGGAGCGATATCCCGAAATAGCTGGCGATAGCATGTCAATAAAGAAGTCTGTGGAGCAAGCGAATATTGCGCCCAGTAACAAAGTTGGGTATGATACTGAGAGTGAGAGCGATGTTCCCCCACCTCGTGCTATGAGCGTGGCGGCTTCTAGTACTTTGGTGCCTAGTATTATAAAGCCTGTGGAGGAAGATTCTGGCGACAGCAAAAACAAGGACGAACGGATAGCGGGCGAAGAGGAAAATGCTAAGAAGCTCGAAATGGAGTCGATGACTGGGGAGGAAAAAGAAAAACCACCACAAGATTAGAAGCACTGACCTAAGCCACTCAAGTTCTAGCACAGCCACGTTCAAGGGAATCAAGTGGCACAGTAGAATTTAGCTTCTTTACTGTGATATCCTAGCGTCTTAGCGCTAGAATTCGCCTGCCTAAACTCTAAACTCAGCCCCAACAGGGAAGGTATGAAGTAATAGCCATACTGTACTGTACTCGTCGCATGACTTACTCGTCGTAACTTCTTCACCTTCCTACACCTTACGATATCTTTCCCAACATATTATTTATTTCATTACAATTCCTATATTATTCCTAAGGTTTCTTTGATAGAAACAATATTTCTCTCTATCAAGAGAGAACCCATCACCATGTGTTCCGCAGACTTATTCCTCGGCCTGATAGCCATTCTCTTCCCTCCTCTACCTGGTACGTCATCCCCAACGACCCTCACTTTGCCCCCGCCTGCTGCCTATCTTGCAGCAAGAATGTGGGAATCACCAACTGCGCTCCACCGCGCATCGCGAACATCTTAGATACAAATGAATTAAACTTAGGAAATTTATAACTAACAATGATCATTCTACTACAGTCTGGGTTAGACGCGGCCTCTGTTCCGCCGACTCTATCATTAACATCCTACTCTGCGTGCTAGGCTACGTAAGTCGCTTACTTCCAACCCCTCCTCTCCTACAATCTATCTCCCCATTTCTAACCTCCCCTCTCAATCCGAATAGATCCCCGGCCTCATCCACTCCTGGTACATAATCTCCAAGTTCCCCGAAGCCTACGAGTACGACCCGACCCCAGAAGACCGCGAAGGTGGCGGCCGCGTCACCTACGTATTCGTCCAACAGCCCGAATCCCAACCGCGACCCAAGCCCTCCAACAACTCCTCGCAGCCGAACTACGGCACCAACGGCGGTGCATCTTCCGTCGCCGGTCCCGCGAACGGAGAAGGAAGCCATGGTGGTCCCGCACCCCCGACCTACGCCGAGGCTGTGAAAGGCGACAACAAGGTTCAGACCCAAGACTAGGCGTCATTTACTCCCTTCGATACGCCTTCGAGGCGCTCGCGGTCCCGAATATTCCGGCAATCGTCGCTTGGTTTGTTCGTACGAGACTTTCGGCTACCAAGGAGTTTACCCGGGCTAGGGTATATATGGAGGGGCTAGGTAGATGTAGGTATCACCTATCACGACTCTGGTGTGAATAGGACGATTATCAGGAGTTATGGGGGTCAAATTTGGTTCGGACAAACGTATTTCATTTTACTCTCATCATCGATCGGTTTGATTCACGGCAGCAAGTATCATTGATTTTTCTCAGGACGGCATGTAACACTATCACTGTAAAAAGGTCGTGAAGACAAGGCTAGGCAATACGTTTTCTCTTTTTGATAGAAGCACGATCATTCCCATTTACAACTTCTGTTAGTAATAGCTGATGACATTCTTATGTCCACACCTCCTTCGTGACGTTCTTACCGTCGCTTTCGTCCTTAACGGCTTGACTTCTTTTCCTCCTACCGTGGTACACGCAAACTCCGGTACCTCCGGATTTATGTCTCTTATTGGCGGGACACATGGGGCTGTTGGGCAAGTGCTCCGGCATGTCGAACTCGAATGAACTAGGTGCCATAACTTCATATCTGGGGACCGCCACTGGTACCTCCCACCACTCCTTACCCGAATCCCTCTTATTTTCCTCGTTATTTTTAGGCTTATCTTGTTCCTTTGTAGGTTCACTAGTCGGGGGTGGAGAATGTTGAGGTTCATCACGCTCACTACCACTGCTACTACTACAATCTCGTATTGGCGGCGTCGAAATATCGAAGAAAAAGGATCGTGGTCTAGCAGCATTTCGTCCGCTCTCGCGGAGCGGTGGTGTCTGTACACGGGTCGCTTCCTACCCAAAGCGCACAATTAGTTGCAAGAACATCTAACGGATGGGACTTGGATTTCTTGAACTTACACCACCCGGAAACTGCGTACAAACCGAATTTAATGGTTCTGCACCAACCTGTCTATCAGTCAACCTGCTTCATACGTTTATTTGCACCCACTACGAAACAACGCCCAGACCAAAACACTCAACCACCTACCTATATCAGAAGCAGGGCTCGTAACCGGCGTTCGGCCCCTCAATACATCACGAACCGAACTCGATGCGCTCGCCTCAGACCCAGCGCTAGCTTTCCGATGCCAGGGGCTTTTCCCGAACAGTTTGAACGATCGCGACCACCCGCTACTGCTACTCCCACTACCTCCACGCGACCTTCTACTCTCCTCGCGTAGCAGTGTCGTTACACGACTTATGAGCGGCGTAGGAGACTGGCTTTGACTATGGGTAAGAAGTCTTGCCCTTGCGCCTTCGATGGTGCTAGCGGTGTAGTCGTAGGCATCGCTGTCAACGTAAGGGCATTGCGGTTTGTCGTTGTCGCTGTGCGTCTTTTTGATTTTCTATGATTAATTTGTAAGTATTTCATTGCATCCATGTCTAAGTCATAAGTGAATGTTCCAGGCCTAAAATTTGTTGGTTGTTTTATGTAGCTTGACTTAACTCACCGACTTATGATCCGGGAGTAACCGCGCAATGAATGATTTCTTAGGCTTGGCATCCGGACTTTGAACCCGACTCAGATTCTGACTTAATGCCCGGCTTTGACTTTGACTGGCTGGCGATAAGTGAAGCAGCGACGAAAATGAGAGTGTAGCGACCGGCGAGTCTACCAGCTGATGCTGGCGTTGATCTAAAACGGCTGTAAGAGGAGTAGCCGGGTTTGAGTCTTTCGTGACCGTCAGCGGTGAGGTTTGGGCTAATCTCGTCGATTTAGCTTGCGAAGTACTACTATCGCTGCTCTGATAACCTAGAGGTGATCTCTGTAACGATTGGACATGTGCTTCCTCGGTCAAATAGGGGCTAGGCAGAGGTGCCTGTGGCATCCGATTCAATGGAAACGAAGAGCCGCTCTCACTACTCGTTCCATGGCGATTGAACGGCGGTCTTTGTAATGACTGAACATGTGTTTCCTCCGTAAGAAAAGGGCTAGGCAGAGGCTGCTGCGGTGTCTTCGGAGTTTTCGGAGTTTTTGGCGTCATATCCCATAGGATACTCGGGGAGTGTTCTAAGTCGTCTTGCGTGTCCCGGCCGGAACTGCTCTTACCGGAGCGTTTCCGCCACTTGAAGTGTCTCATAGCCTTCCCGGGGGCCTCCACAATCTCGCGCTCAGCCCAGTAACCCGCCGGGAACCACACCCATTCGTGGCCTTCTCTGGGTGGTCGCGGTGGGTCTATATACGTGTTCGGCGTAACTGGGGGGCTGTTGAAGGTCTCCTTCATACTCCGGCGGGCAGGTAAGTTCGAAGTCGCTACGGACGCTACTGATGATGATGGTAGTCTACTCGTTGGCCCGTCTACGCCGGATATACTGCGAGGTCGACACCGACCGGTCATGCTTCGCCGAGGCCATTCTGATGAAGGACTAACGTCTTCGGGACTGTCTCCCATGGCGAAGAGTAGAATTTTTAAAAGAGAGAATATATGGATAAGAATAATTCCTGAATCCTATTCGTAATTAAAGGTAAGAAATATGCGAAGGTGACAAAAGATCCATTGTCAATATAGGAATACTGCGACATGTAAAGCGTACGTAAAAGTAAATTCATAGGTGAGGTTTTGCATGGAGGCCGAGATGACCTACCCGGATGCTTCTAAGTTAATTGGGTAATTAGGTAGGAAGACAACATAACCATCTAGACATGCCGAAATGTTGAAGTGTGTAAGTGGCGATCTTTTTCTGCAGCCTCCTTCGTACTTCCAAGAATCGGTTACCTACCGACACAAAGCGCTTGCGTTGCCCTTTCTAGATCGGAGGCTCGTCCTATCTTATTTACAATAAGTAAATGATATCCGTACACCTACCTCTTGCCTTGCGTAATGCAGGTGGAGAATGAAGATCCTATGCACTTCCCTCCACAATATCAAGCATCCGCGAATACGGTCAAGGACAACCTCTATTTCGATCTTTCATCTCCCGAAGTGGTCGCTCGCCAGATATTACTTAGTTTCCACGTGTATGGTTTATACCCACATATATATGTTTGTAGATAGATGTCAGATAGAGTAGATATCCCGTAAATTTAGCGCCGTCCTCATCTCATTGCATCGTACAATGTTTTTACACGTCTATTTATATACAATATCATCCATTTACGCGTGCCGGGCCTTCCGGCGATTGCTACTGTCAGTAGATTCGGGGCTCAATCGGGTGATTTGTTCTAGTTCCTCGGGTTCGTTGTAGAGAGGTTCTCCATGTCCCTCCTCATTCCAATCGCCTACCAGTTCGTGTTGGGAATCACCATCCGAACTATCCTCTCCAAGTATAGCCTTCTTGTTATCCTGGGCTCGCGACACACGTCCCCGAATATGTTGTAACCTAGCTCTATGCGCGGCAGCGTTGACTTTAACCCGGGATAGATGAGCATTGATTCGCGCCTCTACTAGTTCTTTAACGTGGAATGCAAGACTCTGGCTGCGAAACACGCCGGAATAACGGTAACTTAGCCATAGGTAGAGTGTTATCGTTTTGTGAAGGGACTCTAGTCGTCGTAGGTATTCGGCACGGTCGGGATAAGTTTCCTCTTCAACATCAAGAAGCTCTAGGTCGATCTCTGGAATATTGATGAGTTCGCCACCCTCCATCTCGGAGACACATCTTGCAAATGCTTGTACCACAAGCGCTCCTGCTCTCTCTCGGAGCGCTACTGGCGCATTCAAAAATACACAGCGATCATAGACCGACATAGGAAAAGGCTGAATTATATCGGCAACCTCCATTATCTCTCCTAAATCACAAAGGTGAAATCTGGAGGTGACTTGAGCGAGGTCGCGTAGGTGGGATAATATGTAGCTGAAGGGCGTGTTGGGAGGGAAATAGGATGAGAATCGCTCAATTACTGCAGGTGGAGGTTGTATGCCGGCTGTTCGGATAGGCTCCGGCTCTGTGGAAAACGCCTCCTTTACAATATCCAGGTCAAAATTGTCCAAAGCTGTTACTAGTCCTGGTTGACCGGCTTTTGGTGGTATGGTTGTCTGTTCCCCGTTCAAACCCGAGGGTGCAGCCGCCTGGCGTGCTGTCCTAAAACGACCAGCCCTGCCTCCTATTTGCTTTATTTCAGAAGTAGTCATCCGCCGATAACCAGCTTTGGTACGTTTATGCGTTTGCTCGAAAATGACTCTCTTGATTTCCAAATTGAGGCCCATACCGATAGCATCACTGGCGACGAGAAAATCGTAATCGTTGTCAGGGTCATTAAAGAGTGCGGCTTGTTGAGCACGAGTCTCGGGCGGCAGCGATCCGTACACCATAGCGCAACGGCGCCCCGTCTCGTCCTCTATCTGCTTTTTTAATGCGTGTATACCGATTCTTGAAAACGCGACAACGGCGTCGCCTTTTTGAAGGTACTTGAACTGGCCGTTCAAACTTGTGCCCATGGTTTCTAGTGGGCTAAGCCTTTTATATCGATGGACGATGCACTTATCGCCAATGGTGGCGCACATAGATTGGATCAGCTTTACGGTGCGCTCCTCTCCACAGAGGTGGACTTCCTTGGCCTGCACACCGAGGAAGGCTTGTGTCCACGCCCACCCCCTTTCGATATCCCCAATCATTTGGATTTCGTCTATAACCGCAACGTCCACTTGGTGATTAAGGGGTGTCATCTCGACGGTGCAACTTCGAAAATAGTTGTCCTCATTTTCAGGGATACGTTGTTCTTCGCCAGTGACCAAAGCGCATTTCTTGCCTTTAGCGAGGAACCGAGAATAAACTTCGTGTGCTAACAAGCGGAGCGGACCTGCATAGATTCCAGACTTGGAATTTTCAAGTGCCTTCAGGGCGTTATACGTCTTTCCCGAGTTCGTTGGACCAACATGCAGGTGGATGGTACGTTGCAAGGCCCTGGTTGCGGGGAACCATTCATGCGGATAACGGAAGTCCGCAATCTTCTTATGGGTGGTGACGATGTTTTTAGGGAATCTAGAACGCATGAGAAAGTTTTGAAATGCGAAAGCTAGCTGATCGGTAAGCCCTCCGATATCTTTTTCAACGAATGCCTTGCGCAGGCCCCAGAAGAGAGGGTTGTCAGCATTAGAGACAGCATTATTTTCGCTAGCAAGGTCGTAAGACTTTTCAATGGAGAGTCTGAATAATTTGGCCTCACGCTCGAAATCGAGCTTCGAATTAATCCCGAAAGCTCTATAGTCTTCATGCTTGGCGGCCCAACTCCGTGATGAATTCATCATCAAGTCATATCTGTCGAGAGCTAACTTTCGAAATATGCCATAGGTCTGGTTTGCCACGCGCCCGTTTTGGTTGCGATTGGAAGCACCATTTTTGCGGGAGGGATTCAAATTGGACTCCAGCCTATTCTTTAAATTTAAGCGGGCAAAATGACCTGGAGGCTATAAAAAGTAAGCAACTATACTTTACAATTTTTGAAATTACGTAGGTATAGAATGGTGTCCTTACCGAAGGCGACCATTGTTTGCGAGCTGCAAAAGCTGTTGAGCTGAACCTAGCCGTTGAAATTCTGGGAAAGAGGCGCATTGCACATATAAGAGGTGCAAAATTCGGGAATCATGTTAAAATTGATTCCCTCCTTCCATATAAATAAGGCTGAATGTCAAATTTCAGAGAAGGGAAGCAACGAGACTAAAGAAATAAGAGAAAAAAAAGTCTGAAGTATCCGACTGGAGGCGAATCATAAGGTTGACTAAGGTTTACTTTTTTTGTATGGTCAACCTGATATCGATATCGATGGCGCACATGGAATTTCTTATCGATAAAGACATACCCGCTTACGCACCACTACTTCAATATACATTTTTCATATATATCTTATATGGGGATATGCATCTACACCACCTCTTACGGTTGAGTGAAGGATATCGTATTACCGAGTACTGTTTCAATGGTTTCATATATTTCTACATCCCACTCTGCACCACCACCACCCAATACCCGATAGAAATTAAAGACGGCATCTAACTGCGAGGGTACCATCCATTTGACGAATGGTTGTGGTAACACATGCATATGGGTGAGACATATCTGTATGCTGCACTATTTGATTGGTTACGTTCTAACAGTATTGCAGTTGTGTGGTTCAGCCATCTAAACATCGTCTAACGTATCACCAGAACCAACCGAATGAGCTCTCCCAGTCTCCCCATGAAGTCAACTTAAAACTCACCGGTCTCAGGGTACACCAGCCTTCTTGCATTCTATGACCCCCAAAGATGTGCCCTCCTTCTTATGTATTTTCACAACCTCTAGACCCGATCGTTTCGCCAAGTTTTCAAATTGCTTTTCTGACCTTTCAAGAGACGCACATGTCATCATGAGAATATCGTAAGCCGCCACAAAAGGAGTAGGGTCTTCGGAGTTGATCTGGTCATTAATCAAGACACGGGCGCGAGGTTCATCCGCTGGTAAGGCATCCGCCAGGATCTTGAGAATATTGACGCAATCATCGTCCGTGTAGTCGTGGATACAGCGGCGGATAAGATAGACGAGGGCGTCTGTCGTGTAACATTGTCAACAAATCATATGTCGTATTCCATAAGGGGTGTAACCAAATCTTACCCTTGATAGGCTGCTCTTTGTGAAAGTTCGTGACAACTTTCTGTACATCCTTCAAAACGGGATCGCTTTTAGAATCCTCCTTTACGATTTCGATAACCTCGGACCGGTCCTCTAAGTAGCACCTATCTCGTGGAATGGCAGGTGTTTCTTCGAGCACAGCCCGGATCATTTGACCACGGCCGCCTCCGATGTCAAGAACCAAAGGCCGATCACTATTTTCCTTCGCATATTCGGCGACCCAACTGAAGTCATAAATACCAGTATAAGGCCAAGCGTAAGTCTGGAGACCCTGCATAGCACGTCCGAATCTCGCAACGTTAGCTTCCCCACGGTGTAGGATCGCCTCCCAGTATGTCAGCTTCCCATCAACACCATAAGCGAAGCAAAGAGGAACCTTGCTTTCGCCCTGGGGTTCATGTGGCCCATACTTCTCAAAGAAGCCTGTGAAGGTTTGAAACGCTTTCTGGAAATCGTCGCAAATCATTGTGAAATGGTCACCTTCACGATTGCCGGATTTGAAGGTTGGCGAGAGACGCGAATGTGCAACGTGGTTTGGTTGAGGTCTCTTGAGCTTCCCAGTTGCTACAAGAAGTTGGCCCATGCGACGGACCAAGGCCTCGTCTCCATTGATGGTAGAGGCGAGTGAAGCATACGATATCGAACCATCGTCCGGGATTTTGTCGAAGAATCCCCATTCTATGTACATACGGATGGCGCCCATCTCAGCTAAGAAAATGCTATGTTGTTCTATTTCCTCCTCTGGGTCGATAATTTCCGATATGATTTGTCTTGCTGTTTTTGTGGCCCGTCTCCTTGAGAGCTCCGAGCCATTGCGTAAAGCTTGGATGTGCTGTTGAAGCTCATTGCATAAAGCTTCTACGTCCGCCATGTTGTCTACCTAGGTAGGTATCTGATTTGACTCTGTTCGTGAAGACAATTATCAAATTTTAAATGGATGAGCAAATTTGATCTCGTTAGCATTTGTGAGGAGAAAAAGTAAGAAGAAAAAAAAGGTAAAAAGCAGAGAAGGAACCTATGGAGGGAATGCATAGTTACTTCTCCGTGAGAACGCCTCCAGCAGCGGTGGGCTGCAAGTTCCCGCGGGGTGGTATTCACATGCATCTTGTACTAACCAAACCCCATACTGCCCATCAGAAACGCTTAGATCTACATCGTATACCTATAAGAAGAGGGGGTTGTGTGGGTTCTATTCACGATCAACAGGTCGTCCGGTCGCCAACGAAACGTCTATTCCCGAAGGGCTCGGATACTACCCTCAACTCAGAAGAGCTTACCAAAGTCTCTCATACGATATTTGGAAGATATACTAATACGGATATAGGAGCTTACGTTATACTTTGGCAGTCTCTTATGTTACAACTTATGAAATGTTTTTCATAAACTGGGGTCTCTTTATTCATTACCCAAGTTTCACAACAGGAACACTTTTCCCTTCTGCAAGCCATTCCATCCCCCTCTCCTCGGAGATTTCACTCTCGAGACCAATGACAGGTTCTACCCTGCCATTATGTACATGGAAATATGGCACGGGACCCTCGAAGCCAAGCGTCTGTGTAGCCTAACAATTATACCCTGAGAGTGTATGGAAATTTGTTAGGGTACCTGTCATCATGCGGTATTCCCCCTAATTTGCGGTCCGGGGCGAATGGCTCGCGCCATCCGACTGGGCAGGTCAACGACCAGTGGACCCGCGGCTGGACCGAAGAAAACGGGGTGGCACGGACGGTCCAGTCTTCATCCGTACATCAGAGTGCTACGTTATCCGCTTCTTTCTGTGGCCTCATTTTGGGGCCTGCTCGGGATATTCCATTTCGACTATGCCTTACATCTATACACTGTCCTATACTATTTGTTCCGGCTGCCATCGAATGTAAGTAATAGAGATAGAGTTGCCCCGTTGATCTTTGACCGTGCTTCGTAATCAGAACGTATATAGTCGGGGAAGTGTGGTAAAGGTCCTGGTTTCTCTCGGTGTTCCACACCGCGTGGGCCATGTCTAACGACAGGTCACATTCAGAGGAAAAATTACCCTGAAGATCTAACCAGGATGCCGAAACCATCCATAACAATGTAAATCAACAAAATCTTTCCCTATATCGAGTACACTAAACACTGCTGTCGACTCCTATGTTATTTATACAATAGAAGCCAAATGTTCCCCAACAATGATTGACTGTCTGGAGAACTTGTGTTAGCCAATCCTCTCGTCGTCTCTGTTCTGAAGTGCGTTATTTCGCCATGGCGTACAGCCTCGTCGCTGAAATATGGTCGGAACTGGCTTTTGGCATGCTGGTATTTGCCCTTCGATTCTTTACAAGATGGAAATATAGCGGGTTCCGTGGCATGAGCTACGACGATCTATTCGCCGTATTTGCAGTTGTAAGTTATCGCGAAGTTGTTAACTAGGTTTCTATTTAATGCAACGTACTTATTAACTTTTCTGGATTAGACATTTTGGATTCTCGAAACGGTATCTCTCTATACCTGTAGTGAGTTAACTAATCACCCCTATGAATATATATCAGGCCTATTCGTTTTAATAGACAACTTAATCGTTGACACGTTGATTAGGTGCTTATGGCAACAACATCAATCTCAGCGTGGAATCCGCATTGGCGGTTCCTGATAGCGAAGTGCCTCGACTCATCCTGGGATCGAAACTCGCCTATTGTGCTTGGATATTTTATATTCTTGGAATTTGGACTTTGAAAGGCGTGCTACTTTGCCTTTACAATAGACTCACGTTTGTTACTCCTAATGCATCGGTAAATACTTCTCAATTCACTAATGGCATCATAGCATGGGACTTCAACAACAACGATTTGTATGGGTTATGATGGTTGTTTCTGTCTTAACGTTTCTGGCAAGCCTTCTCTGGCATATACTTTCGTGTTACCCAACCTATCGGGCCTGGCAAATCAAACCATATCCGGGTGGTAAGATCCTCTTATTCCTTTTGAACTTGGTGTTTTACTGACTAGTAACAGAGTCATGCACTCAAAGAAAATGGAATTATGTTATTATCTGCGTTTTGGATGTCGTGTAAGTCTTAGGCTTTTTCCTAGGTATGATTCCTTAGTTCCGTGTCTGATACACCTATCTGCAGAACCGACATAGGCATGATGGCGATTCCAATACCCATGCTATTAAGAGCGTCTCTTACGGTGAGACGCAAAGTCTCGCTGGTTCTCTTGTTTGGATCCGGCATATTCGTTATGATCTGCGCTGTCCTTCGAGCCTACTACTCCCTCGTTCTCATCGATGATAATACTGTCGCACTAGGATGGGCTGCCCGCGAATTCCTCGTCGCAGCTATCGTGGTTAACGCACCAAGCATCAAACCTATTTTCAGCGACTTCAAGAAGAGATTGACAGAAAACTACGCAAGTGGGAGCTGGAAAAGCGGCACCGGATCGAATGCTATGTCCTCGGGACTTCCCCCCTATAACGGCAAAAATGATATCGAGAACAACACGGCAATAACTTCGGGAAATCACAAGCGAACACAAGCATACAAGATGTCCAGTATCGGTCGCTCTCAGCCTAAGAGTGAAAGTCAAGATCATATCAATACGGCAACGGATGCAGATAACGATAGTACGAATAGTAACATAGGTAAGGACGGTATTATCGTCACGACTGAGTTCAAAGTCTCTAGACGGTAAACGAACGGTTTTCGTGTTTGACGGAGGATAATAGCGCTCAAGAAATAAAACACCGCCACGTCTGTGAGCGATAGTTCCAAGCGTTGATATATGTATGCTATTAAAAGCATGCGGGAAGGCCTTGGAAACTATTGTTTTCGACGAATTCCTATAATGATAATAATAGAAGGAATTTACACCGCAAATTACGCAGTGGCCCTCAAATTTACGATATATATAATTTGGGTTGATTTATGATGATGGTGATGAAAGAAGGACTTTGAGGTGCATAAATTTGAATATAAGCCTAATACGGAGTGTCGTAACACCCCCTAAAGTTACCCTAAAGTATGCTCGGTGACTAAGGTGACGGACATGGAGTAAATGCTGGGGTTGCATTCCTATTGGTCAGCTAATTAATACTCCATGCGCACCCCGTCGTCATTACTCTAGTGGAGTTAGAAGGCAGCTTCAACCCAACAGTCTGGGAACTGATTGCTGACCTGACTTTAACTTTGTCAATCCACTATTCAATCTTCATCATCCACTCTCATCTCTAACTTCTTTCCCCCCTACATATTTGTTTCCTAGGTCATAACTAGATCTTCACGACACGAGCGACAAATAATAGTCTTAGCAAACCTAGGTACCTAGCGACATTACATCGGGCGCTTCCGTACATCATTCAAGATGGCGTCCTCATCGACACCCCAAACTCCACTACTCTAGTACGTCTCCGATCATCATCTCCATCAAAAACTGCCAATATACATATGATATAAATAGAAATATAGCTAACATACCGCAGCTCATGCATCGCGCAACACTCCACCATCCTCTCCGAATGCACGACCTCCGCATCGTCGCAAACCTCATCCCTCGCCTCCCTAATCCTGCCTAAAATCAACCACAACACGCCGCAGAAGCTGACATACACGCACGGCTCGCACCACATCCACTACATATCCGAAGCACCCTCCGCATACCCGAATAACCCATCTGCCGGCGGCTTGACCTTCCTAGTCGTAGCCGAATCCTCACTAGGCCGTCGCGTACCCTTCGGATTCCTGTTCGAGATCCGGAAGCGTTTCTTCGATGAGTTCCCCGCCGAATCCAGCGATTTCGCCGACATGCCGAACTACGGCGCCGGATCGTTCAACGCGGCGCTGAAGAACCTGATGGTTGAATTCGGTACTACTAGTGGTCAACACGATGATGCGATCGCTAAAGCCCAGCGCGAAATCGATGAGACCCGTGGCATTATGACGCGCAATATCGAGGGCTTGCTGGAGCGCGGTGAGCGCATTGATTTGCTCGTTGATAAGACGGATCGTCTAGGCGGAAGCGCGCGAGAGTTTCGTGTGCGCAGTCGTGGGATTAAGAGGCAGATGTGGTGGAAGAACGTCAAGCTTATGTCTCTACTCGTCCTGGTCTTCGTTTTGATTATTGTGGCAATTGTCATCGCAGTCCGCAACGCTACGGGTTAGGCTCACCATACGATGAGGGGGCTGTTCCGTTCTCTGAACGATAGCTCGGGTGTAAGAGGATGCGTGTATTGCAGAAAAGGGAGCAGAAAGTCTTTTCGAAGTGGAGTTGTATTTTTATCGGCGTTCTCTATCAGGTTTGGCTAAGTTTTGGGAAAATCTACTCTCAGCCGATACACAGGCAAATGAGATAAGGGGGAAGGACAGCAATTCGCATCACCTATTCCCTTTGTTGGCGTCGATACCCGAGCCCTGTAGGGTTGATTCGAGTGTATTCTGCTCGTGTCTTATGTACATACAGTATTTGTACTCCTATGGTTATTTGAATCTACCAGTCCTTTGCTCTGCGACTATGATGAGGTGTCCCTTGAACCTATTCCCCTTGACTATATCCAACATACTATATAAAAACAAATACTCGCTCGTAGGCTGACCATGATGAGTGTCTTCATGTGCCTAATTATTCCCAAGAGTGAGAGTGGCGGTTGTTTCCACCTCAATACGTCCTATAACATAGCTTGAACAGTTCCGTCAGCTCTCCGGTGCGTATTAGGGTAGTCGTATCCGTGTGCCACTGGACTTGTTACAGCTACAGCATCAAGTATAAGTGGTGATCTCCGTAATCTCTCAGTAAAGAAGACCGGATGTAAATTCGAAGCGTCTCTTTGAGCTATCATAATCGGTGCTGGCGGCATGTGATTCGGAAGTGGCACAGCTTCGAATGCCGGGGCCGGCATCGGTGCTAACATCGGCGTAGGAGGCATTGGAACCGATTCCTCAAAGCCTAGTAATTGAGATGACGGGTTTAAATATGATACATTGGTATTTGTGCCATTGGGTAATTGATGTGGCGTTTGAGATGGAAATGAGTATGATGAATTAGATGACTGGGTAAGATGAAGGGTTAGTAAGAAAGATCAAGACCAATCCCAATCAACTTGAAGGAATTGAAAACTAACCCGAGGTTGTCTAATGTCGTCATTCTCACGTGTGAAGAAAGCAGGGTGCTTATTACCGAAGACTTGCGAAATCGAGTGCCGCAACATTGTGTCTAGCTCAATTATAAAGAAACAAAATGAAATACAAGTTGAATTATTGGAATAAAACAATTTGCTTTCTTTTTTAGCTACCTCTTTTTCCATGCGGGGGTCATCAGAGTTCATATTACGACTATTACGACCCGGTTCCTTTACTAGCTCTCAAACTCCAGCGGCGTTCGGGAATCTGGGGTATGCAAGTTAGCAAATCCTTTTCATCTGATTGGCTGAATAGATAGCTCGTCAGGATAGGTAATAATTCAGAGAGCCCTAGAGCGTCTCATCTCCGCTAACGCGGGGACACTTGCCGTATAAGAATGCGACCCATCCTGCGGGGACGCTCGGCATTCTGATTCAACTACTATTCTATATTGACATAAGAATACGTCTTGCTCGGGGTAATGATGTAGCCTGGTTTCGAAACCAAATGGCTGAAGACTTAAACCAATGGGAATATTAGTATTAAACCGGATCACTTGGTATAATATTCAAAAATGTCAGAATGAAGATCTTCAATAATATTATACATTCATATACTTATTCATGATGCCGCCTTCTTTCCTTTTCGTCGGGACGTCTTCTTTTCGGCGTCTTTTCCTTTCTTGATCGTACCTATTAACGCATCGATCTCCTCAGCTTTTTCTGCTTCCTTCTTCTCCTTATCTTTCACTTCTTGGCGTTTCTTTTCCAAGATCCTAACAGCGGCCTGCTCTTTTTCAACCTTTTCGATCAGTTTGTCACTAGCTTCCCACAACTTCTTAGCTACTTCTTCGTCCTTGACATCTAACCTCGCATAGTCAACTTCCATGCATTCTTTAATAAGCTTGCCACCCTGCCCTTTTAACATGTCTGGGCTCATTGCAGCAAACAGAATGGACTGTGCGCCCATTTCTGGGCTTTTTAGTATAAACCAAGATAATAAATACGTGAATAGATAGACCACCAATCCCCAAATCGAGCCACGTGTTAGCCATCGCCGCATACCAGGAGTTCGCGAAAAGCCAGGGTCGACGAAGATGACTCGGGAATTCATTGGAAGCTTGTCTGGTCGTTCGTACGCATCCAAATGCTTCTGGTAAGCTTGTCCAAATGACATTAAAGCTAGCTTGCTTCTGGCGTAGGCCTGACCCGGCGACCAATCTTTCTTTTTCAACTCGTTATTAAGCGACGGGGACCGAATGTAAGAGGAGCATGTTGGGAGGATTACTCGGACATCGCGGTCAAAGGGCTGGGCTCGTAATGCCGGGCTAAGAATTCCCAACAAGTGGAAGTTGGCGAGGTAATTGACCATCCACATCTCCTCGATTCCTTCTTCTGTCTCCGTACGTGCATGCCCGGGAGGTGTAACCGTAGCGGCGCATAGGATGATCATATCAAGTCGTCTCGGCGGCGCATTATCGATCCACTTCGTAGCAAATTGTCGGATGCTATGTAGGGAGGAGAGATCGACATGTTCGGCATAGATCATATGGTTATTCGTCTGCTGGCGCAACTCCCCAATATAGTCGGCGAGGAAAGGGTTCGACGGTGGTAGATGGGTTAAAAGCACGATTTGTGCTCCTCGTTGAGCCAGCTCTCGAGTTACGACAGCACCTATACCCGAAGTTCCGCCAGTGATCATTATCACCCTGCCATGCATATTCCGTTCAGCCAAACTCTTAGCTCCGCTAAAATATCGCTTCACTATGAATAGCAATCCGGAAATGGCGACGAACTGGAATACATTCCATGGGTCGCGCGCCCAGTCTGGTACCCATTCTGGGAATCCATTTGTTAAGACTTCCTGGATAAACGGGATAGGCATGATGATCTAACGAAGGTAATGAAGGTGTCAAAAGAAGAAAAACCGAACAGAATGTTAGTAGGAAATCTAACTTGTCGACGCATCCATTTCTAAAGTGACCCGAAGCTATGCATGTAAATTCAGAGGTAAATTAATGCAGGGGTGATAGTGACGACTTTTTTTGCTACGGTGCTTCGTAATAAGGTTGGAACCTTAGCATGCGGGCATGTCAGGGGTTAGGGATCAGAAATATACTGCTGACTAACAAGGACCCATTTTTCACCGTATCCTTGCATTTTAGATTTCGCCTCACCATTTGTCGCATTTCAACTTATCAACTTATCAACCGATCAACTTTCCTCCTTGATGTTCTTGTCCTCCAGCGACCACCGAATCTTTCGAGATACACACGATTACGGCCGCTTCAAACATTCCCGGATACTGACGAACGAGCCTTATTAAAATACGGGAAATGACGTCGGGAGAATGGAGCGATCCCGAATACGACATCCCTCTTCAAGATAAACGACCGTTTGGATCGGGACTGAAGCGTAAACGGGTAGTCTTTGTCCCTGCCTCTTCAGGCAATCTTAATACTACAGAAGAGACGAGTCCTGCGAAGCCTTCGCAGTCTATATCCGATCTATATTTGAGTATAGTATTGCCCAAGGAGAAGGAGAATGGTCAGACAACCCAGGCAGAAGGTTCAACCCCTCCTCAGATATGTGAAATCTGTCAGCTACCACTAGATGAAAGTCCCGAGTCTAGCGAAATGGCCAAGGCGAACTCCAGACCCCATGAAGCGTCGATAGCTCATCAAGTATGCATCGCGCATTCGCACCCACCATCGGCATTAGATCGCTCACGAATGGGGTTAAACGTACTTCAATCCCAGGGTTGGGAGCCAGACTCGCGAAAGGGGCTCGGTGCTGAAAACCAAGGCATGCAATATCCTATCAAAGTAAAGCCGAAGAATGATACTCTAGGAATAGGCGTTGAAATTCCTAAGAACCTACCAGTGAAGAAGAAGGAAAAGGTTCAGACCTATGACGCTGGAAAGATACGGAAAATGGCCTTAGAAGACAAGAAGCGACATGAAAGGTTACGGCGACAGTTTTACGGTAACCCAGACGTGGAGAAATATTTGGGCACTGGATAGGACACGGAACATACCTCCAATTTGTGGCCTAAATTTTTCTGCTTTGACACGAACAATTTATGAGGAATGCTTTGGGAAGCGATAGATCACTAAGATACCCCTTTTTTATATCGTCTGGTTTAATGAATTGCTTATGAAAATACAGTTTATCTTACTGCAATTTAGACGTAGTGATCTAATGTTAACTGTCATGATGAACTTTATAATGAACTAAGTTTTAGCATTCGCATGAAGTAGGGATGACTTGTGTAATATGCCTGGATGGAAGGTCCATATTGATATTGATGGATGTATGACGAAGTGGGGAAGCTAGGAGCTTTCCTGGTTGTCGCATTAGCGGATTGGCGCCCTGAAACCACCGACCCCGCCAAGGGCCAAGAACCACAATTACCACATTACCACATTCATTCTCGTGGCCCCCATCTCTTTGAAACTTATTCCTCCCACCGCGTTGTCATGTTTAATGCCTTCAACGACGTGGACAACTTGTCTTGAATCTTCCAGTACAGACTTTTGTTTGTGTTACTGCCTTATCACAAACACGAGCGCGTACGATAAACTATCGCAATTGCTGAAGACGAGCAATTGCCAGCATCGAGCACCACGTTGGCCTTTAGATAGCTACAGGAGCTTACCTACCCACACCCATTTCGAGCCGCCCAACTACGCGATACATATATCCCCCCCCCCTCGAAAGCATTCAAGTAGTAGTTTGCCATTTATAGGCACCGAATCCTGCCTACGGGCTACAAGTCAAGATGGGGGTATCCGTTATTGACGAGCAACGCGACAGTGAGAATACCCTATACCGTCACGAGGCTGAAAAACCGATGTTCTAATCAGCAAGGTGCTGTTCATGGTATAGCTAACGTGATCTACTCTCCCGCGTATAGTTATTATAGATACAATCAAGCATATCACTTCTGGAGATGTAAGTTGTACTCATTAACGTATCAACAACTATATACAAGTGTTCTCTGCTAATGCGACCCTTTAAAAGTGGAAAGTTCTAGTTGTCGACGGCGAATCCAAGAAAATCATCGACAATGTCGCCAAGGAAGATGATATTCTTAATCATAACATTGCGAGTACGTTCCCCGACCACGTTCCGTTTTTGGCGCATTTGCTGAAGGGAGTGTTATAGACATCGAGCGCATCGAAGACCGAAGAGAAAAGAATCCGACAATGGATGCTATATACATCCTATCGCCCCTACCACATATTGTAGATTGTCTCATGGCGGACATTGAACAACGGAGATATCAACGATGTTTCTTAGTATGGACAACCGTGCTTGACCCCCAATTACGAAGGCGAATAGACAGTTCCGCTCTAGCAAAGCAAGCTATAGCAGGTTTCGAGACTCTATCGATTGACTACTTTCCCCGCGAATCGCATCTTATTACATTTAGGGATCCATGGAGTTTCCCAATTCTATACCACCCAGCTTGCAATGGACTCATAAGGAAGCACATGCAAGACTTAGCTCAAAAGGTTTGGAAAGTGTTATTCAATGTCTTAACAATAAATGTTGACTAAGAGGATGGCAGATCACTGGGTTATGTGTGACCTTAGGCGAGTATCCCAAGGTTCGCTATTACCGACCCCAGAATCCGATACACGAGGCTAGTGTGTTATCCTCGCACCTTGCTCGTTTTATATCTGAAGAATTGGACGAATATGCCCAATGGAACCCCAACTTCCCACCGCCAAGCTCGCGACCGCAAGGTGTCCTCATAGTAACGGACAGATCGATGGATCTAATGGCACCCCTAATACACGAATTTACATATCAAGCAATGGCACACGACCTACTACCAATTAAGGACGGCGATAAGACGACATTTCATATGACCGTCAATGAAGGATCTGAGGAAGCTGAAGAGAAGGATATGGAGCTTACTGACAAGGACAAAGTATGGGTTGAGAACCGACATAGGCATATGAAGGATACGATCGATAAGTTGATGAGTGACTTTCAAAAGTTCCTTGATCAGAACCCACATTTCACTGACTCAAGCAGCGACGCCACCAGTCTTAATGCCATCAAAGACATGATGGCGGGGCTGCCACAGTTTCAGGAGATGAAGGAAGCCTATTCTCTCCATCTTACGATGGCACAAGAGTGTATGAATATCTTCCAGCACCATAAATTGAACGAGATGTCGCCAACAGAACAGGATATGGCCACCGGTCTCGACGAAGATAACCGGAAACCGAAGAATGTCTTGGATACAGTCGTTCGGCTACTGGACGACGATGCTGTGACGCAGTCCGATCGTCTCCGCCTCATAGTAATGTATCTTCTTTACCGGGACGGTGTAATCCCTGAAGATATCAAGAGGCTATTAGCACACGCCTCTTTACCGCCTCAAGACGGCGAGGTTATTTCCAATATGGAATTGCTTGGCGGTCGTATGACTCACGGCCTTAAGGATGTTCGTAAAGATTTACGACCCCTATTCCCTATCGACACCAAGGCACCTATTGCCGAAGATAATTACATGTCACGGTTCAACCCAGCTGTGAAGACTATGTTGGAGTATTTATGCAGGGGAGCCTTAGACCAAACAGCATTCCCTTACGTCAAACCACCGCTTGACCCTAATGAAGATGCGCTCATTGGTCAGGGATCTTTGCGAGCGGCAAAACCTAGTTGGGCCGGTGCTGGTAGGCGTGTTGTGGATAACAAGCAACGTATCATCGTTTTCATGGCTGGCGGGGCTACTTTCTCCGAGTCGCGCGCATGTTACGAGGTCGGTGCGGCAATGAACCGCGATGTTTTCTTAGCGACTAGCCACATGCTCAGTCCGCAGCTATTTGTACGACAAGTAGGCGACTTAAGTGTTGACAAGAGACGCCTCGATATACCTATGGAGAGACCAGCCCCAAGAGCACCGGCACATTTGTTTGAACGACCTGCTCCACCACCTATGGGTATGCCACCAGGACCTCCGGGTGGACAACGGCCACCTCCAGGAGGGGCTCAAAGAGTACCAGGACGAGCACCCCCCGGGCCCGGAGGGCTACCAGGTGGGCCACGGCTAGGTGGACCATCCCCTGCCCCACCAACACAAGCCATGAATAATATGTCGCTTCACACCTCAAGGCCTTCAAACGCAAGCGATCAGAGACCCGCGTCATCAAATGACGGCAAGCCACATAAACTGGAGAAGGAGAAAAAGAAACGTAATATCTTCGGCATGAAGAAAAGTTGAAGAGGGTATAGACATGTGTATTTCGACCCAGACGTCACGATATATAGGCCTATTATGGGAGATATCCAAGATCAGTACTTTAAAAGACCGGGTGATGCCTCGCTCTCCCTTGGCTATGGACTGGCCGACTGCTTGGAGATAGTGTGTTGGATTTATAAAGCATGCGCATACCCGAAATAACTAGAGCATGGCGTTTGAGGAGTTGGCTTCTGGTTGTTGCAAAGGGGACGCCGAGAGAGCAAGCGTTGTGTTGAGTTACGTTATTACATAGAAATGCTGAAAAGCCAGAAGTAAATCAAGAGCGGAATTACTCCAAACCAATGTTATATGTACGGAGCAGGTGCATGCGAAACATCTAAGCTGAAGAATATGCTATTTAGACCCTAGCTTACTGAATTCACCAGTTTTCCTATCCCCGGGGATCCGAACTACCACCAAGTTTAGTATGTTTGATTACCAACCCTCTTGACTGCCTAGGTATATTTAAAGTAAAGTAAGCAATCACTTCACTTATTTAAAAATGAGGCGTTTTCCTTCTACCCTCGTATGCTCCCTTCGTCCGAACTCCGTTGTAAATTTAGAGATTCTCCGGAGGTTCCACATCGGTCATAGACAATCCCAAACAAACATAAGGGCAAGCAAAGTTCACCCAAGACTCAAACAATACTAGACGAAAAGGACATAAGGTCATTATAAAATCGAGAGGATAGTACGATCTCCTCCGCTTATAAAGACTTTGGCATTCATCTAGTTACGTCGTTGTCAGAATACAAGCTACTAACCCTGAAGTATTTGGTACGTGCTGCTATTTTTGGTGTATAGAGAACTCAGAACTGGAATACAGGCAATAATTGACCGTTTTTGTCGGAATCAACTTGCTGAGAATGGGCAAGGAAGGAAGATGCTGCAATCATACAAAGTTGGTTTTCCCTTCGTCCCAAAATAACAGAAAAAAGTAGTCATTTCGACCCTTTTCCCATGTCAGACCCAACCAATACCAGTACATACAAGTATCCGTTTCCGTTTCTACACCCCTAAACGCAGATGCGACCGAAAAAAAAATATTAAGCATATGCCGAAACGCTTCGGCCTGATCCATGCGCGGATTGGCAACAGTATAATGGTTTTTAACGTAACCAGACGCCGAGTACTGCCTAGTTTCGACGGTAAGCACCCGGTGGGGGAGGCATACCACGGTGGTCAAACCCGAACGCTACGTTGTCGGGGCCCTGGAAACCTGGCGGCATTCCGGGGTGGATAAATCCGGGTGGTGGGCCACCGAAGAAGCCGGGTGGTGGTGCCATGTTGCGCGGAGGGCCTGCTATTCCATCCGGAGGGAACCCGCCCATAGGAAAGTTACCAGGGGGAAAGCCTCCCGGGACAGGGCCATTACGTGGGTTTCCAGCTAGACCCGGAGGGGGGATCATAGGCCGTCCTGGGGGAGGTAGCTGCTGTCCGTTATTCTGCATCCAAGCGGTGGGAGGAATATGGTCCAAGCCTGGAGGAACTTGGCGCTGAAGAATCTGAGTAGGCTGTTGAGGACGACTCTCTGGCTCTCGGTGATGCATTGGGGCTTCGTCAAAAAAGCTGGGCAGGCCGGTGGGGCGACCAACCTGGTGCTGTGAAGCGCTACGCTCATGCTGATAATCGATCTCCCGGTCTGGAGTTGGGAGGATCTGTGCAGGCCTAGAGGGTTGAGGCATTCTCATCGGAAGTTGCTCGTTTCTCTGGTTTTCAGGCACAGTTCGGGCGCTTTGCATTAGAGTCATCAGGAACTCGGCATTACTGTTACTGTTTCGGCTGGGTGGCTGATCAGAACGCAGGGCGTTCTGATTCTGGCTAGCATGACGCTGGCCGATGAGGTCGTGAAGTACCTGCTGTTCAGAACGAATCCCGCCGAATTGTGGGGTTATCTGTGGCCTAATCGCATGAAGGTCCTGATTCTGCGGGGGGGCACGAATAGGCAGCTCCTCGCGACGTTCTTGTGCATAAGGCTGATAAGGACCAGGCGAAGCAACCGCATGGTTAGGAGGCTCCGAAAACCCACCGGATGGAGGCGTAGTGGCTTGTAGGGTCTGTTTATGGAGCTTTTGGAGTAAAGCCTGGAAAGCAACTTTTTCAGCTACATCATTTTGTGGTTGTGCTCCAGCCATAGCCAGTAGCGGGTTTGCTTCGGCTGGCGGCGGTGCACTAGCGGCGGGAGTTGGGGGTTCGACCTGACGACGAGGCTCCTCTTGAGCTGAGAATAGCTTCTGGAAACGGGATCCCCCAGTCTTTGGCTTAACCACGGGAATGGCGTTTTCCTTGGTTGCCTCATCAGCGATACGTGACACCTCGGGTGTACCCTGGGCAAATGCAGCGAAAAATTTATCAGTGCCAGTCATCTCGAAAGCAGGCGCTGATTTGACCTTTTTCTCGGTTTCGGACTTCTCTGCCGGCGCAGCTGCTTCAACTGTTGACGGAGCGGGCTCGGCCTTGGCTTGATTTTTCCCTGCTTTCAAGTTGTCCATGAATTTCTTGAAATCTTCTTGGGTATGTGCTTGGGGTTGCTCTTCGACAGGTTCATCGAGCCATTCGGGATCCCGTTCTTGGCGATGATCCCGTCGATCCCATCTTCGCTCAAATGTTCTGTCTCCTTGCCTATCCTGGGGCGCTTCGTTCTGGTGATCGTCTGCGGCCCTGTCTCTCCAGCTTTTGGATCTATCAAAACGCTCTCGAGGTTGGGGAGCAGCGTCGCTCTCCCTTAGCCAAGGTTGATCCGTCCTGTTTCTGTTCACGCCGTTTCTACGAGGCTTGTCGCCATCCTCCCCTTCTTTATCCTTGCCAAATTCGCCAAAGGTACGACGACCACTGTCGCGGTCATCCTGCTCGCGTGGTCGGCGATCCCCACCAAAGCGCTCAGCACGGTCGCTCGTACGATTGAAGCGCTCTGCACCTTCATGCCCGAAACTCTTACGCGGTTTAACGGTGCTCCAACCTTCACTATCTTGATCCGCATCGCGTCGACGAAAACTTCGATTGTCACGATCCGGGTCACGGTTACGATCACGGAAACGCTCAGAATTGTCGGTGTCACCATTTCTGGGGCGGAAAGAGAAGCGGTCTCGACCGTCGTTATCTTTTAGGGTCTTATCGTTATCAAATGTTTTGTTGCCTCTAGAGAGGGTAGATGAAAAGGTCGTGCGCGGAGGCCCAAGGACGATATCCTCTGGATCTAAACTGATGTTAGACACGGATAAGACTAAATTTGACGGGAACGTACTACCTGCATTGCGCGACACATGTCTATCGACACCCGGTCGTCTGTTGGATGGATCTAATAGAAGATTGTCATTGTTTCTGTTCCTCTCTCCGCTAGGCTTGCTGCCTTGGCTGTTACGAAAAGTCTCAGGCGGTGGTCTATACGCTCAATTAGCATGGGATGCCAGGTTTGGTCGTCCGTATATAGCCCTTTTGGACATACCCCATCCATTCTTCCGCTGGAGGAAGTGTACTTGGCTTGATACATAACGGCGACTCGCGCAGGAATATCAGCGCATCTACTTCATATCGTATTGCCATATCATCTGAGGGTTTGGTAGTCTTTAACTGGTAAAAGGTATATTAAATTTGTGGGATGGGAGTGGACAGTGTCCACGCGTCGGGCGAAGACAATCGCGGTCGGGCGCTATGATGGACAATACACAGCGACCCTAAATAGGTGAGAATGCTTGAAGGTATCTTGGAGATTGTTTGTTTTGTGCGGGGTGGAGGATGAGATGCGGAGGACGGTATGAGGAGTTTTTTTTGTCGAGGTCGGAGTCGAGGAATTCAGGGTCGGAGAAAGAAGTGTATTGAATCGTCAAAGCCGACCCAGTCTTGAAATTGCTATTGGGATCGGACAATAGGCAGGATCAATTGACCGGGCGATCAAACGGAAAATGACGATATGCAACTTATCCTGGACGGAGAGCGACGATGGAGAAAGTGTGTGGTAGCGGCGGTGGTAATGGGAGGTTATGGGAGGTAGTGGTATATCTCAATTAAGTTTAGAGGTGCGAACAAAAGCTAGCGTAGTAGCGGTCGTGTTTGGATCGAAGAAGGTGACGAGTGTCTAGTGTTGTAGTTTTACTGTACAATCAGAGGAGAAGGAGTTAGGTTGTAGGCCAATGTCGAAAACATTTTTTTTTTGTCTCTATTGGAAATGTTTCTTATGAGGGAAGACAAGCTGGAAGTTTAAAGATAATGGGGTCAAATCAAGACTGGGAAATGTCGACTTGGCCCGTGTCCCACCTAAATTCGGGGATGTACCAAAAGAAATACTAGAAATACAGAAGGTCCATCCCCTTCTAACGCGTAGTTGCTTGCTCGCTACCCTACCCTGAAAGTGCCACTAATTTAGCGTGGTCAGACATGGTTAGATGTACTGAACCACATGCAGTGGGTCGTCGAGCTCGGGCCCTTGATGCCTAAATTGAGCTGGCTAAGTCATTTTGAGTTCTTACATAATCCCGCCCACCCATCCACTATCGACTGTCATTTTGCACTTTGGAATGACACTTCCAACAATGCCATCAATAAAGGAAGGCACAAGGGGGTAATACATCATTAAGGTGACATGGATAATCCCTCGGGAATAATTTCCACTCAACTTCCTAAATAATTAACTCCATCATTGTAAATTAACATATGTATCTCGGTTGTCCCTCGACTGACTGTCGAACCATATTACAGAAATCCATATAATTTATTTCGGGACAATTAAGTTGAGGGTCAGACTTCAGATTTTCATTACAGACTTATTCGTCTGGTTTTGGTGGGGTGAATTAATATGACCTCACCGAAGAAAAGGGCGAGGCTGTATATGGGGGACAATTCAACTTACACCTGATTCCCTCACAAAATATGCTTTTTTATAACAAATCATCCGCAGCTAATTGCTGAACCAGTTTTGATTAACGGAACGAGTACCGAACACAATAGAACCCTTTAGAAAACACACCTAGGCATTCATTACAGGCAACCAACCGACATGTACTGAAATACACGTATCGACAATAACGTAGGAGATTTCGGATTTTACAAAGTAGATGCTACGTTGCCTTTCGCACGAAATGGTAGTATCGAAAGGACGTACAAGCCTCGTCACACTTGAATGCCTACTTACGTAGATGTTAATCGTGACACAACAAAGCTAGCGCACTTCTTAATAATCACTCAATCGCAGAATCTCGAAGTGGAAGAAATTTTGTGCTCTTCATATTATGGTTTGGTATGATACGTACAGGCCCATTGCTATTCTACAAGCTTTTGAATGCCTCCTTTACTCCAGGCCGAAATACGTTTCTGATCACAAGTCTCCCATAGCCTTCGGAGTAATGCTTGATACACACCCCGCTCAATCGAATCTGTAGTAGCATCTCTCAGCGCCACTAACCAACTGAGTGTCCCAAATCTCGTAATCAAGGTATCGCTTCCTCCCTCAATGGTCGTCATCCTATATACAATACGTAGTATCTGCGTCTTCAGATTAGGGCCCATGAATGGGTTACATGTTAGAGCGAATAGTCTCTCAGGCACTTTCCGTCTGTGGAATAAAGCAACATCTGCGGGTGTTCGCAAGCTATCAAGGAGGAAGGTAAGAAGCCAGCTGATCTCGGAATAAAATGCGCCGTCCTCGGTAGGGCCCTCCTGAAGAATGCCTTGCATGAGAGGTATCTTATCCAGAGACCACATCGGTCCATTGGTGAGGAACAGGTTGATCTTCTCATAAAGACAATGCAGGGGGTTCGCTAAAACTTCAAGGGCCTTGCAGGCAAACGCAACAATCACAGATGGTAAAGGTTGATCCGTAACAGAGTCTCGTGCTGATTCAGTGAGTTCCATAAGTAAGAGCCAGGCCTGTTCATTGTTCTCGTATGTCGATTCCTTTATCTTTGTGGCCATTTTGACGATATTTGTAAGAGCTTCTTTTCGAATGCTCGAATGCTCAGAGGAGAGTAATCGTATCAAAGAAGATGCGTAACCTTCCTCGACAAGTTCTTCGGGTGTCTTAGATGACCATTTTAATAATGAACCATCCTTGCTCGGTATAATGGGTACCGAAAGTCTTTCCTCTAAGTCTTGAGGGCTGATATGCGAGATCGAGTTGCCATCCACCCCGTTAGTAACTTCATTGTTTGGTTCGTCGCTGGCAACAGTGTTGTTTTGCCCAGCACCATTCTGCGCATCCGGAATAGGGTTTTTCCTGTCTAGGATCTTCAACTTCGCTCCAAGCTTTTGATCCCCTAAGCCAACACCAAAGAGCTCTTTCGAGGCCTTTAAGAAAGGCTTGCTAATACCGGCAGCACGCGAATGGCCGAGAAATTCGGAAAGGAATTGGACAAATGCCTTGAGAATATTCTTATTGGGTGCCGAAGAAACTAAATATGGAATTTGCTCGGCAATTGCCATCATGAGAGGACAAGTAATAGTGTCCTTATCATCAGGGGCATTCGCTTTTTCGAGCTGTTCCTCAATCATCTCTAGGTACTTGACCGGCGTTCTGGCGCAACGCTCAACACAATTGTCTAAAAATGCCCAAATCGTCATGTCAACACTTTCGAGACTGCGTAAAGCGGTAATTAGAGGATATAGCTCTGGCGAATTTTGTCTGTTCTCCACTAACTGGTGCTCGCTGGCTACCCAATGTAAAACGTTATTAAGACCCTCATTAGAGAGTCCCATAGTCTTCCCGACGCATAATCTTAGAAGAGTCGTGAAAAGAGAGTGGGGCATGTCAGAAGCTCGAGCAAACCACCGCATGCTCGGTGAATATTTCGCAATCGCGCAAAGATTCTCGAGTTCCAACAGAGACATGACCACGTCCTCATCGGTACTTTCAGAGGTCTCAATCTTTTTGATGGTAGTAAGTAACTGTGGGGAAACATCAAATCTTGCCCGTAAGGCAACTTGCGGGATTACTTCGTAATAGAGCAATAGCAAGCGGCTTGCAGCTTGCCGTTGAAGCAAATCGCTTGGATTCATGGAAAGATAACATTTGATAATATCCTTGATATCGGGTATCCTCTGGTAAAATTCGTCAAGAAGTCGGCGAGCGGCCTCTTCCCAAAGAGAATCCGATGAGGTCGATGCCTCTCGGTACATCTCCAAAACTCGCCCTAGCTTTTCTAGAAGTAAGATTAGAAGACGTATAGCATAGAAGGATGCTAATTTCGACTTGATAGAAAAGCATCGTGATAATGCCTTAGGTGTCATGGGCAATGGGATCAAGTTTCCGAGTACTATAGATGTAGGTGGGGGAACTCTCGAGTAACCCTTGGCATGTCCAAACCAAGCAGGAATTGGCAGCTGAACGACATTGTAAAGCAATGCAGCGTAGCCAATCCATGTGGCAGATAACTTTGGGTCAAATGTGAATGACTTTTTATGACAGAAGTAATTTGCGATTAATTCAGGTGAATTCTCGAAGATTGCTACTAGTAGGTCGTTTTGTTTTGTACTGGACCATGGTCGTAATGTCTGAATAAATTCTGCCAATAATGAATTCCGTACCGGCACGTCATTTTCGAACTTGCTCATCCAAGGAATGCTGTCGATGCCAAAATCCACAGGCCGATCTTCGTTTACTCCCGAAGGTACCGCATCAGGATCCACGCCCTCAGGATAATAACCATGTTCTGACCGTCGAACGCCAGCATTTGCATCAGTACACGCAGCAATTAAAAAGGCATGCGCCGAATCTTCAACGGATGGGCGCTCGGTCTCTGATTCATCCTCGTCATCAACGGGTATTTCGGGGTAGCCGTAAAGTTCTGCTATTCGTATGAGCGAATAAGCGTTTAGAATCCTGATCTTGATTTCCTTTGGTAGCTTCTTATCCGTAATAACCGAAGCTCTTAGGATGTCTAGGATTTCGTGGATTAAAGAAGGGGGGTCTTTTCTAATATGCCTCATGAGAGCGGCAACGATGTCTTTTTGGGATAATAGGTCACGCTTCGCTTCGAAGTGAAGAAGCTTGAGGCTACTAAGAAGAAAACGTATCGCATTCGTTCTGACCGACGGTCGTTTCGGATCTTCTATGCCTTCGCCCAAATATCGAAGACCCATATTCCTCGCAAGCGACTTGAAGGTATTATTCCTAGCTCTGAATGTCGGGGCTGACAAAGCACCACCATCTAAGCACACAACCTCCCTCAGCAGTCTTAGTGTAGGGGATATTATGAAATCTTTTCCGTTATCGGCCGACAGATTCCTGGCGATGAGCTCTTGTTGTCTTTTTTGGAGGAGAGTTCGACATATCCCTAGGCCGTAAGATACCAGTTCCACTTTGCCGGAGATGATTTTAAGCAAGAGCGCGAGGACAACCGCAACAGCAGACATAACATTCTCGTTGTTTAGTTGCGCGGCCATGCTCCAGGTTTCCATTATATCCGGTAGGTATATCGGAACTTCATCTTCGCTCTCTTTTGGCTTTACCGATTCTAGAAATTCGAGTACCATTTGCAGCTTTTCGGAGCTGCCATCTTCATTGTTGACGATACTATCGAGCACGTTCTTCAGGGATTGGAGGCCTACATTCGGATATAATTAGCATGATACAAGGCGAAATAACACATCGATATTAAAAAAACGTACCATGCCTGGCTTTTCGTAAGTCCTGTTCGAAGGCCAGCAATTGTCGAAGTTGTCTCCCAGTATAAACCTCCTCAGATGTAGGGGCTTCGTGCACATGGGCAGTCTTTTGCTTCTTCCCTAAGTGACTGCCTTCACCACCGTAAGACTTTCGCTTCGCCATTGTTGTCGATTGCAGGTCATGCGCTTTTCTACATCATCGTCAATAATATTGCTGGACACTGGGTAGCGGGAAACCCCTCGAAGCGCTTTGCGATCTGAAATGCTCCTATAATTTGCTATAGACGACACTATCAGTGGCCGGATATTCTGCTAAAGAATTCAACACAAATTCGTATTTTCGCATAGGTACTCGCCGTATGTTGTGATTACATAGTGTCGCATTGGAAAACTGGGAAGCTCATTAGGAAAATAATTAAATTGCCGCCTCTGACCGCTCCCCCACAGTTCAAATCAGGGTTAGCGCATTACTCTTAAATTTCTAGTCGGGCCCCAAAACCACGCCCTAAATCGATGCGCATAAAAGTCCCCACCCCGCTTCATGACAGCCACCATGAATGAATACGTGAGTGTTAGGAGACTTGTAGATTATTTGGGACGAGTATGGTCTTTCAGGAAAATGTATATACATAAATAAGGTATTATTTCTCTCATATTTTTCGTTCTCTCTTTCATTCTACATGGACTTGTTGCTATTTACTCTGGAGTCATGAGTATTGTGCGAGTAGAATTTGTTATATTAGCCCTCTTCACTTAAACTCCAAGCCATGTTTTCAAGACGTCCACAACACGGACACAGGCCTTCTCGATCCAGCGGTCGTCGCAATTCAGAGCATAGAGCTACCAGGCCGGCTCATATGCCCATTAACGTCAATGTCTACCTCAACCCCAACGCCGGCGCTAGTATTGCTCCTGGCACTACACCTACTACCGCCACTACTACTCCTACCACTGTGCCTGTAACCGTATCTATTATCACGCCTGCCGCCACCAGTGGTCTTGTCGTCGGTCTAAGTCCCTCTGGCGTCAACTCGCCCGTTACCATCGTCATCGTCCCACCTGCCGGGGCTCAACGTTGAAGGTAAGCCTTAGAATCCTCACCACACCCCTAAGCTGTCGCCTTTCACTAAGTATCAACTCAGGGCCCTCGGCCAATGCCTCGAGTTCAATATGATAGACATGGATGGAGTTAGGTTAGGGTTATTGGTATATGGCGGGCATAGGGACTCAGGGCATATTCGTTGACAAGTATCTAGCACTATAGATGGAATACACTTTCGTTATAATTGCACGGATGTGTTTCTCTATTCTACATATGGTAGGGATACAACGATGCCGATGCCATATTTCTTCCTACGATCCTCTTGATAAATATTTTATTCCTCGCTGCCACATTCACTATCCAATATTATTCGTAAACTACGTATCCGTGGATACCATATATGTCGGCGTATCTCGACAGAAGGACGTCAGCTGAAGTGCCTGCTTTGCAAAACCCATGATGCTGCGTCCCTCAAAAATTGTCCCCCAAAGGACTAAAAAGCCAGACAGTGCAACTGTACAGTGACACTATCTCCCCAAACTAGTAGCTGACATAATCCAACGTCCTCTCATCCCCTCGTATTCGCACATTTCGCATATTCTTCATACGCCAACACTCATAGCATATCTCCATTAGAAAGATTCGCCTTATGCTGTAGGAACGTGTGTGGCACCTTAGGAACCTGCGGAGAGATCTGTTGTTGTCTCGCGCGGAACAGTTCCCGCTGTCTCTCCGCATCCCGGGATCTACCGCCGCCTGTAAGTCGGCGCATGTGAGTCCTCGTCGTGTTTGCAATCGGCTTGATCATATTCTCTAGAAAGAACGAGCTCTCTGGCGCCCCATTTGGAGGTCGATCATCGTCGTCATCAGAGAATACGTTTTCGGTTAACTCTTCATCTGAAGTCAGTTCACCGAGTTGCGGTTGGCTCCATGAAGCCGGTGCCGAGGGCGAAGTGACAGAACGTGAGTGTAGTCCTGGCCTAGCTGCTGCGGCAGAATTGAAAGCGCCTGGGTTCATGGCGTTAGATTTGCCTTCTTTCGACATTGGCACACGTTGGTCCACGAAGCCGTTCTGAAATGAGGTATTAGTTGAAGCCTGGTGTAAGATTGGCAAGACGTCATCATAAAGCCGTGCGCCAGATTCATAGCTCTCAGGAGCGAATTCCGTCACAGTTCTCGACGAGCGACCCTCACTAGGTGACGTTTGTGACATATCATCGAAGAAGTCATCTAGACTATCCAGCTTCGTTACTAAGTCGGCAATTTGAGTCTCCCCCTGGACATCGTCAGACATCATAGTCTCGGTTCTATCCGGCATTTCGAAATAGCCATAACGGTAATCATCAGCATGGAACTCGACATCTGGAGTTGGAGTTGGATCCGTAGGTATGCCATCCTCCGGATTGGCCTGACACATGTAAAATGCGGCATGAATATTGGCGCGTGTGATTTCCGTTTTCTTTGCTGGCACAGGAATTGACCAGCCGGACTCTTCAGGTATGCCGAACAGACTCTGAGTCATTTCATAGTCCTTCCTATCCTTAGATGCAGCACTCGTCATGCTCATTCGAACATAATGTTTGTCCATCGGGGTCCCAGACATGGTCATAATATTGTCGAGCACTTCTAACGCTTCCATGCAATACTCTGTTTGTAGAAGTCGGAAGAGCGGAGAGATTAAGTCAGAGCCATGGTTGGCAATTTCAGGTTTGCGCATCTCAATTTCGGGAATGACAACACATAGGAGTCGCATTGTCGTAACCTTTACTGAGGGAATGCTATTTGTAAGGAAACCGAGGAGTGTTGTCAATAGTCTAAAGTCAAGTTGTGGTGAGTAGAATTCGCGGAGTGCGACCAACAGCTTGATCATAAATTCCCTTGTCGACCGATACCGTGAATCTATGTAGGCCCCTAAAGCACCACATATTGATGATAGCCCTTGAGCTTCGGCTACCGAGAAGAGGATCTGAGCAGGTTCTTGGGTCCTTCTGTCGATCACACCTTGCTCCATAGCCTCCAAGAAACGCGGGAAGTTAGCGAGAATGGAAAAGAAAAGCCTATCATCGTTCCCAATGAGTTCACCACTCGGTAGTTGAACAAGTTTATCTAAAGTGTCAAGCGTTGGTTGGAGGCAAACGGACGACCTTAAACCTTTATAAAGTAGGGGTTGGACACCTTCGAATGAACCTTCCCATCTTGGGGGTTGACCGTCCATAAGAGCTGCTCGGACATTTGGTGAGTGGAAATCGAGCTTCTCCAAAAATTCGTTGAGCATCTCGAGAGCTTCAAGAAACTCAACCTCATTGATGGAGTCCAAGCACGCACACATCGTCCAGAATAATTGAGGGAAAGACATGAGTTTTTCAGCATCAAGTTTCGATATAAGAGTTTTCAGAGTGGTAAGGATTTCCATGGAGAAAGTTTGAATCTCAGTATCTTCATCCGCGACAGTGTTCGATAATCTCGCAAGCATATCACCCAACATTAACTGGTCGAGAGAAGTAAGGATGCAACGGAAAATCTGGAATGAGCGGCAAGCCAGGTGCCTGACCGGGCAAGAAGTGGCCCAGGTCAAGGATAATCGACTCCATTGTTCCTTGATTCCGGGAAAGGTGACCTCGAAGGTTTTGACGACCTCTGCGGTTAAATATTCCATGCTCTGGGGTACCTTGTTATCACGACCGTCTACTTTACCGTTGCTCTCTTCATAACTCCAGACTACGGTGCGATCGTGGCGTCGAATGGCATCGACCACATCCTCAACCGACTTTTTCGTCTCAAGGGGAGTAGCATCATCCATTTTCGACACGACTAACTCGTGAATTAGGTGCACCAACATCTCGCGAGCCTGTTCCTGAACGAGGGGGGTGTAATGATCCCAAAGTACCGTTACAACTTGCAATAAGACTATTAGGTTTTCAGTACTTAGTTGCACAGGTGAGACCATCAAGTCAACTAAAAGTATCAAAGATAATTGCCCTAGTGAAAATCCAGCCTGCTTTGTACCAACTGGTAAAGCCTCGGTCAAATCGGCGCAATAAGGTACTTGCAATTGACTGATATCAGGAGGTGCCGGTACGATCTCTCTTTTCTCATTAGGGACCATGGCTTTGGGGGTAATTTGCATCAAAAGAAATTCCACCACTTTGATACCTGGTGTGCTGGGCGTACTGGACAAGAATACCACGATTTGTTTAGCATACTCGACAAAATTCTGCTCTCTCCGTTCCAGGCATAGGGATATAATAAAGTCAAGCACAAGACGGACATTTCCGGGATGCGGTCCCGTTGCGAGTGCTTGCCAAAGCGCCTGCACTTCGTTATGTAACGCAGCGCTGGATTTAATAGTAACTTCTAGGAGATTGGCGAGAAGTACGTAAGATTGCGCTATAGGCCCACCATTCGGGTCGACCTTTAGTTCGATCGTTTGAATCCAAGGTAGAATGACGGCGACAACATTTCTTTGAGCGCCTGGGGGAAGGTTTTTGAAATACAGCGTAACTTCAGAGAAGACGTGAAATGCGACGTCAGGGTGTTGCTTTGCGAGTCGTTTCGATATCTCGAATTGAGCCAATTTATAAACAGCCTTAGTCTTGTCCGCAATGCTAATTTCGAAATCTCGAATCTTAGAACTTTGTGCAGCTTGTTGTCTCTCCTCGAGTGCTCCCAATACGTGGGCGGATTTAGATCGAATATCGCTTTGGTCACTTCCTAGGGTGAACAAACATAGCCCTAATAGTTTCCAGAAAGGTGTCGGGTAATCGATGTGTTCCAGCAGAACCTCAGTGATAACCGTAAAGTAACTTTCAAGCACTTTCGGTATTTCTATTAGGTAACATCGCCCAATACAATACTCCAAGAAATATGGTTGGTCCTGATTATAAATTATCAAGTTCTTCAAAGCCCTTCTCCCAATGACATTGACACGGTCACTTCCATTGCTGAAAATTGATTCAACCCAGTTGAGCATACGTCTTATGTCGAATTGAAGGGTAGCGCCGCTCTCGGTGGTCACAGTCACTGGGCCAGCACAGAGAGCCGCCATAGCACTTAGAGCTGCCGTCTTCAGGTTCCTCTTCTCTATTTCCATAGCAGCGGTAATCGTACCTCGCTCGCCCAAAGATTGTTGGTCAATCAGAGACTGTCGCATCGTATCTTCTCTGGCGCGGATTTGCACTTGATTTGGCGAAAATCCACACCAGTCCTCCATCAATGTGAAGGAAGACTTCCGCGACTCAAATGTCATCCAGCGGGACGGGTCTTTTGTACGATTAATTCCCTCGAAAAGGCCCTCGATCAGGCCGCAATAATGCCGCCTCAATTTCTGGAACTCCCAATCCATTTGAACCTCGCCGTCCATGAGGAAGAGTTTCAAATCCTTTGTATATGTACAGAGGTTATTAAGGATCCAGTCGTCTGAGTACACTTCTGGTTCCTTGAGAAAGTGGCAAGTTAGTTTATACACGTGAGTAAGCTCTGTTCGTAGCAAGTCCATTTTTCGATTCCTACGCGGACCACTATTCGTCCGCTGATGTATTCGAGCGCGGGCTTCATCATTACATCGAGATACCTGTCCTTGCAGTTCCTCGAGCAATGTTCGATATATGTTGATGTTAATCGAGCCCATCGCGAGCACAACGGCATCTCGCACAGAAGCCGAGGAGGCTAGCAATAGTGGAATTAGGAATTTGAAAAGAGTTCTTGCAGATACAATCTTGTCAGCAGACTTAGATGTCTTTCGAGAGTGCTGACTATTTTGCGAAGAGCCGTTTAGTGTCACACCTGAGTCAGTTAATGTTGTACAGGCGAAAGCCAAGTACAATTTCCACTGCTCAACAAGCACATCGGGCTGTGTCGTAGGCGTCCTTCCTGTGTATCGAGCACTACCGGGATCAGAACCATAATAAAGACCACGGGTTGGTTCCGACAGAACCACAATGCCTTTGTACATTTGTAAGATCCGATTGCATACTAAGTCCCGCCCGATAGTTACGGTAAACGGACATCGATCATAAGCAATCCGTATAAAATTAGGAAAGATCTTAAACCAGAGGGTCGTGTCATACGAAACGTCGCTAGTGCAGAGCTCGATCAGAGCCCCCTTGTTGTTGCTGTTTTGCATTCCCCTTTGTAGCCTGCTTCGCTCTGCGAGAGACAAATGCTCATCTTTAAAATTCATCACTTGTACCGAATCATTTTCTAATATGTCAATGAGGCGGACAGTATCCTTTTCTTGCGTGTTATCTTTACCCAGCGCGGTATCAAACTCAACAATTAACCGAAGGACTGTGATTGCAAAGTGGCGCACCCTTCGCGATTGCGAGCATAGGAAAAACAGACCGCGAGCTTCGACGTGTTCAACCTCGGCCCAGATACTGGACAAGTCTAATTTCATACCCCGTTTGTCAGCACCATTAAGATCTGTAGGATCGGATGCTGCATCTCTAGTTTTTTGTCTTATCTCGTCTCTCCATATCTGCAATAATTCAACATAGAGACGTAGAGTACTTTCAATATGACCGGGACCCAACATTCCCCCATCGGACATTGTGGAGTAACGGTCATCGAAATTAAATATAAATCGAGCAAATCCTACAGTAACTTGATGCGCATAAGATTGCTTGGCGATGGCTTTAAGAGACTGAGCAGAAGATTCGGCAATGTTAGACTGAACATGTGCAGTTCCCGTGCAAAGTAGATTGATGAGCGAATTAAATGGAATATCAGCAGGAAGACAACGAGGCAACGCCTGTACCGCGACATGAAGAAGCTCGTAGAAGGCTTGCTTCTGGTCCGCGGGGCTTGGATGATCATCCCGTCTGGAGAAATTAAATGTTTCGGTAATAGGAGTTTTTGGTCCTCCTGAGCTATTGAACTTCTCATCAAGTGCAGCTTGCCCTCCAAATGTGTTGTCGCAAACAATCGTAATTTTACCCAAAATTTCCGAAAACCTCTTATAGTTCTTTTTAGCATCCTCTGTTAGTCCGTCCAGTTGTACAGGCGAAGCTAGAGATTCATCATGATTAGGCATAAAAGTACTCGCGGATGCCACACTGGAAGCCGATGTAGACGCTGGCGAGCTAGGAGGAGCCCGGTCAGATGAGGATGTGGAAGGATATTGCTGTGGAAAAGGAGGCCGTCCAAGGTCACCCTTTTCTAAATCCGACATAATCACGAGGAACGCCCTAATTCCAACAACGATTCTGTCAGGTTCCAACTGCTCAACCTTGAGTTCTTTATCCGTGTTGAAGAGTTCGGCATTGATTAGGGGGAATATGATACTCTTGCAGCAATATTCCGGATACTTGAAACCGATGATTCTAATAATCTGTATCAAGGGTCCTGTGCTTGATGTATCCGTGCTCGAAAATGTGCGTTTGGAAGCAGGTAAAACTAGTTGCATTACTTCGTTGAGTTTGCGTTCAGCTCCAGCGAGAGTGTCCGTTGTTCGATACAAATAGGCCCAAAGTAGCCTAGATATAATTTGCAGGCAGAGAACACGCATGGCACGATCTTTGAGCCTTGGCTGAACCGTCCGAACCAGTTGAAGCCATTGATTACTCAGGTTCTCCGGAGATGACACACAAAGCATCGTTGCCGTTAATGGGAATGCGGAGAACCAATGTCGTGGCTTTACAAACATCGATGCTAGGCGAGGGCTGATGTTACTAAGCACCTTTGACCATTTTAGATAGGAAAAATGCTTGTTGGTGGCTTCGGCGGCAATGGGGAGGAGAAGTGTATCTAAAATCTGGCAAAATGCCGACTTCACTTTTTGGCCGTGAGACTGCGCAAACAGTCGGCCCAAAGACATCAAAAATTCGCAGGCTTGGTCCCAGCTTTCGTCTGTATCGATCTTGATGTGAAGATGTTTCATGCCACCTAGGACCAATTCTACCTGTCCCTCGGGATCTCTGTTTTGCGACGTCGGACTTCTGACAGTAAGATCTCCCAGTGAACGGCTCAAATCGGCTATAAATCGACCCGAAACACTCTGAAAGTTTATCACGCTCATGACGCCAAGGAGCTGGGCGAAAAGATTCCAATTAGCCAACTTTAGGGGGGATACATATAACTGTTCTATGTCAGCAATTTTAAGCTGGCCGAATATGATGCCTTCAAGCTTGTCCTCCATCTCAGGAGTAATACAGGTTAGGCTGCTTTGACTGATGACCTCCAAGAGAACTCGACAAAGTATGTAAATGGAAACAATAGAACGACGCTCTGCGTGAGCCGCGGCATTTTGTTTCTCAGCTAGATCTTGCGGTACGCTGGATGATGTATCGGCCGAACTCCCTGTAAGGTTTGCTGTCAAAAGCTGCAACGGCTCGGTATTTCGTCTGACCAGAGCTGCCGTAGGAAGATTGGATTTTAACTGGTGCAAGAGGCCCCGTGCCTCGTTGGCCGCCTCGCTTTTGTGTTTTCGCCAAAGCATGATAGAATCGATCAGTGGTCTTGGCTTTTGACTCGCGATATGGCCCAGGGCTACAATGAAGCGATCAAAGGCAGGGTCGGCCCCAGGGCCGCATATCTGCTCTACTGGTGGTTCGGGATCAAAAGGTACCGTGATAAACTCTTGTAGTTTGTCCTCAGCCATGGCAATGAACTTAGGCTACGTCAATACATATCATATAAATTTAGATATCATCTTAACTGACCGATGTAAATAACACGTGCATGGCATATTCGCCTACCGTCTTCGGGTCGTCCCTATGGTGTCTTGACGAATGCGAATGGTGATGTGCGTGGTCGCGCCGAGTTTTACTATGCATACGCTCCGCCTTCCTCTGGGTGGTGGTAGAATTGGCGTTGCTTTCTTGAGGAGGTTGTGCTTTATCCGGAGAGTGAATGGACGCATTGACTGTTGTGCCTGATAAGGCAGTCGGTGGCCTAGAAGAAGCCATCGAGGCTGTCGAGGTTGTGGATAACTCTGAATCTAGCCGGTTCATCGTAGGTACCTCTGGTCGCTCCGGCAGAATTCCAGCACCTGCAGCTGCGATCATCTGTGGGCTAAGAGGACTCGAAGACGAACTTGCGAGACTTCCATTTCTCGAGTGTTGAATGCCATGGACGATGGAGGTTTGGCGATGATGCCCGTATGTTGTGCCCTTAGGATCGACCAAGCGCTCAAATATGCCACCAGGACTCGGACGCGACGAGGCTGATCGTATGCCGGGGGAGGCTATCGAGGATGAAGGCGACTGGGGTGACTCGGGAATGCCAGCGAGAGCACCTGATTGAAGTTTTTCGAGGGAGGATTCGCGCGAGTGTGCGATAGCGCGGGCAGAAGACGAGTCGTGGGCTACAGGTTTCAAAGTGGCATCCCATCCACCATTATCACCATCATCGCCACCGTCACCGTCGCCGTTGCGGGTATTAAGTCGAGGGGTAGGTCGGGGAGAAAATTTCAGCGGTTCGTGGAATTGGTCTGGCAGCGTCTGGGACGGAGCTAGGTGGTGCGACAATATGGTTAGTTAAGGTGAAGCAGGCCGTCAAAATGCAGGGGATATTAAAAATGCTGAGCCCCCCTCTTGTGAAACTAGAAAAAGACTGAAACAGAACCCGAAAGTGGGAACATTCATCGGGCGTTAAGCGTCAAGCGTCAGCGCGTTACGTGCCGCAGCAAACATTCCGACAGATGGCAGCTAACATATTGTAATATATTACATGTACCTAGCGCGGCACGTTTCGAAGGAAACGAAAGATGGGGAAGACGAGGCGCGAAAGCTAACTCACCCATTGTTGAGCCTCGATGCCCATGACTCGCCGATACAGCAAGGTACGGCGGAGTTCGCAGACCCTAATGCTGGTGGTCTGGGGGTGTATTGACGATGAATGGTAAATCAATTAATAAAATAGATGGATAGATGAAGAGCTGGATAAGGTATATGGTGGTAATTGATATTTGAGGGGTGGACCGTGATGACTCCCACTCTGTGTATATTTTTTCTTCTTTCTGTGTTCCTCCAGTCTTCCCTCCAGGTCCCCTATTTCTTACTTGTGTACCAATACTTGGAGGTTAATGTGATGACCTAAAAATGTGATGTAGAAATATCTCATGCCGCAAGTCACTGCATAAAACGAATGGGGCGCCTATGTAATTCGACGCAATTCGATCCAACAATGTCTGATGGTTTGTTAGCTATCTATTCCACTGGCTGGCTTGTCGGGTTCGTGGAGCTAGCATAGCCAGACAATATTTGAAGTCTTTTCTTCTCTGGTCTGCCGTCATCCTATCGCCAATTAGCTGTTTATACTGTATATACTGTATCCCTTTACAGGTGTCCCACCGTAAGTTACGAGTCAATCATAGCCTTTCCAGTTTGTTCCTCTATGCAGAGCCGGGGTTTTCTGCAAGGGCCGTATCCTATCATGGTCCACTAATGGAAGGTTGGCTGGTTGGTTCAGGGACTTCAGGTACTGTGCAACCGCCAACAATTTCGCATACTGTACCAGCGATCCAGTGATACCACGTGGCGCATGGGCCATTAAAGTGCATACTAGACACATATTATCGCTGATGTACTGATTGATGTATGGTGCTATTCAGCCTTTAACGATTTGGATTATCCCTGCGTCAAATGTCTAAGATGCGTCTAAGATGTCTAGGGTGCGCTATTTAGGAGTAGATGGCTAGCTGGCGGCTAGGTACCTCGCATGGTTGCGTCTGACCCATATTAGCAGAAACAAAGCACATCCGATAATGAATGAATGAATGCGAACCCGCCGCACGTCGGAGATTGTTGAAAGAAAAGTCTCAGGTATAAACCGCAGCCGGCAACCGGTATCGACATGAAAGAAGCCACGTTTAGAGTCCGGCAGGCCATCGTTTAGGTCTTCGAGTGTGTGCTGTTCAGTTCCGCAATGTCCTCGTCACGACGATCAATCCCATTGGAACGAACAACTCGTCTGCGTACCTTTATCATGAGGGGGATTATGTCATTCCATTAGGCCGGGTGCGACTTCGCCAGCGGGTATATGTCCTCGTACTTCTCCCAGGAGCTGCTACATCTAGGAAGCATGCGCCTTGGTGGTGTAAACATACTGCTGTATTTGTGTGCATCTCGCGATGCAGGTTCTCTGAGTAGGCAGCAAAGAGGGTGGTGACCTAATCATCAACAGGTCCGGAGATAAAAGATATTCCTCGTAAGTTGGAATTGTATGGGAACACCACCGTGAATTGAGGGAAAAGAATCTCCGTGGAATACGTATAAGGGGAAATGAATGAGGAGCTGAGTGAGTCCGACGGATAGATTGTATGGTATGTTATCCGAAATATTTACAAAGGCGATGCCAATTAGATCAGGTGTGGTAGTGTATTATGATCTGTCAGGTTCGCATGGTAATAAATGTTTATTGCATAATAGATACAATTTCGGTGTACGACGGCGTCAATATAATATACCACTTAAGGTATCGTAATGAGAGAATAGAATAACATAGGTAGAAGAAATGAGAGTTGGATAATGGTCTGGTGATTAAAATGCGGTAAACGCATCGTAGCTGCCAAAATACTAATATGTGATTAAACTTTGCCTAGTGTAAACTTGTCCCTTCCTACCTTCTCAGAGAGTTCGGTAGAATGTATTCTTACGTATTACCATGCGGCATTGCAATTTATTCAATGTTAGTCCCGATAGAGACAGAGATATCCGCCCCGCTCTCTCCTTCTCACTTGCCGTGTCTTTCTATAAGGTTGTAGTTTAACCTCGGATGGACCGGGTCATCTCCGAGCCTGCCGGTCCGGCATCACGATCACGGAGCCCGTAAAGCTACGAGGACACGAGACAAGAACTGATTCAGCGCAATGGAGAAATCGGCAATGCAATGTAGGTACCTAAGTAGGTAGTTCCAGGATATACTGCCATAGCCACGGCCGTAACCGGTGTTATAATTTCCTCGTTACACTGAATCAATCAAAACGTTGTACTGTTCCGTGGATCGGGGCTTAGTCTTTGCTGCGGCGTCATGCCATAAGCATCCTGGGTACCTACCCGGTTGGATGTAAGCAATTGAATCCTACTTATGTACGAATGTGCAGAGGATAAAGCAATTCATACTAGGTAACCAATGGAAGCTTACCTCTGACACCAGGTAAATCGCTGCTGTATTATTACATGAGACAATGCTCACGCACTACATACCTCTATCTACCTAGGTAGATACTCTCGGATAAAAAAAGCAAAGGTTGAAGCCTTGTTACTGATATCTCGCTATGAACTCGGCCTCGGAATAGATCCCTCTCGCTGGGCGAATTCAACCAAGCATTTGCCGAACACGAATACCTAGTACCTTTCATCGGAAGAGAGACTAGCCGGATGCTGCTAGGTTGTGCATGTTGAATACCGCATCACAACCAAAACGACATCTTCATTGCTGCGAGTAACGAATTGCCGATCTTGGGAACAATGGCACGATGTGATATCCGATTGGATAAGCCTGATGCTAGTGGGCGAGGTCGGGAATCGGCGCAAGTAGAGTTGAAATGGGTGTCGGGTTTTCGGGGGGGATTTTATTATGTATCGCATCGACTAGGAGTTATTTTTTCTCTCCAATCCGATGCCTCACGGAGACGGAGGAACGACAATCGATAATAGATCTATAGATCCATTGATACCTACCTACATATCTCATAAATATACATAAGGCATAACTGTATATACACGTGGGAATAATAGTATTTGAGTGCGGTAGATATAGATAAGAGGAAACATTGTTGGATCTCGAAGCCTAGAAAGCTTACTTACATCACCTAAACCTCAAGTGCTGGGACCAATGCGACGGGAAACATGCAACATGGATGTAGCCTTCCTTAAAGTGGGAGTGTTACTAATTTCGGGGCAATATTATACATTTTTATACATTTAAAGGTAACACAAGAGACCCACATCAGGTGCAAGTGGTACCCGTCCTGACTCCATATAATGTACCAATTTGCTGTTTGTTTGCTACTAAACTCCAGCCCTGGAGAGCTATCTTTGGGGACAACGTGTACATACATATCCATACATGTAAGTACTTGGGTCCTTCCCGCGCTTATTTGCTTATCGAAGAATAAGAAAGCATAAAAAGGAACATTGAATGGTTAGGTTCATATTTGAGGGATCGAAAGGGAAAGGATTACCTAACTACTTATACATAGAAGTATCCACCATCGCCGCCAATTTTCCCTCCGGTTCTTTTTTTCTACCCACCATTACCACTACCACTACCTACACTAGGCTACCTCTATGTACCCAGACTTTACTTGCAAGGTCCACGCCACGCGCACATTTCAGAGCCCAGGTTCAGGGCTACAAACTCTTTTCTTTTTTCGTTCTACCGTAATCATATGATCCCACTCCGTTCCCGTCTCGTGCGTGCTTGCGATCACCGCCCGTTCTAGTTCGTTCTTCTTCCTGTCTTTTCCAGTACCTATTATTATAGGTATTTATATTTTGGGGCTGCGGCTACACTATACATTTCCTGTGTGGCTTTTTTTTTCTTATCCAGCTGGGAAATTTCGGAGCGGTCCCCAAAAATTTACTTTACCTTTCCATTTCTTCAGCCGGCTTAGGGTACGCTCTAAGACACGTTGCAGCGTCGCAGCGCCTTTCCCGCGGATCTCTCCAAACGATAGCTGCGACCGTACGACACGGTACGGAATAACCTCAAGTCGTAGGAGTTCCGTAGCTGTCGCGTCGATTTCCTTTTTTCCCATTTCTACTTAACACACCGTGTCCTTTCGTCGTATCGGAAACACCCCGGAAACGAGAGACCGCTCTTCATAGCTGAGCCGCCAAGATGGCTCAACTCGATACGCTGGACATTGTTGTCCTTGGCCTCATCACTTTAGGCACGATTGCCTACTTCACAAAAGGCAAATATTGGGGGATTAGCAAAGATCCGTATGCAAATGCATTCTCCAACGCCAATGGAGTCAAGGCAGGAAAAACGAGAAACATCATCGAGAAGATGGAGGAGAGCGGTAAAAACTGCATCATCTTATATGGCTCTCAAACTGGTACTGCTGAGGACTACGCCTCGAGGTTAGCTAAGGAAGGGAAGAGTCGATTCGGTCTAGAAACCATGGTTGCCGATCTCGAAGACTACGATTACGATAACCTCGATTCGATCCCTTCCGACAAGGTGGTTATGTTCGTCCTTGCTACGTATGGTGAGGGAGAACCGACTGATAATGCTGTCGAATTCTACGAGTTCATCACCGGCGAAGATGTTGCTTTCTCTCAAAGCGCTGACCCTCCTCTTGCCAATCTCAACTACGTCGCTTTCGGCCTCGGAAACAACACCTACGAACACTACAATTCCATGGTCCGCAACGTTAATAAGGCTTTGCAGAAACTAGGCGCCAACAGAATTGGCGAGGCCGGAGAAGGTGATGATGGTGCCGGTACTATGGAAGAAGACTTCTTGGCATGGAAGGATCCCATGTGGGCTGCCTTGGCAGAAAAGATGGGTCTCGAAGAGCGTGAAGCTGTCTATGAACCTATCTTCGGTATTGTCGAGCGCGATGGTCTCACTAAGGATTCTGCTGAAGTATATCTGGGCGAGCCTAACAAGATGCACCTTGAAGGTAGTGCCAAAGGTCCCTTCAACGCTCACAACCCGTACATTGCACCAATTGCCGAGTCTAAAGAATTGTTCTCCGTTAAAGATAGAAACTGTCTTCACCTGGAAGTGGATATCAGCGGCTCTAACCTGTCATACCAAACTGGTGACCACATTGCGATCTGGCCAACGAACGCTGGGCGAGAAGTTGATCTATTCCTCGGCATTCTGGGACTTGAAGACAAAAAGGATACCGTCATCAGTGTAAAAGCTCTTGAACCCACTGCCAAGGTGCCTTTCCCTACTCCCACGACTTTTGATGCTATTGTTCGATATCATCTCGAAATTGGTGCTCCTGTGTCTCGTCAGTTCCTAGGTACTCTGGCTGCATTCGCTCCCGATGACGCTACGAAGGCTGAGATGGCTAAGCTCGGTAGCGACAAGGACTACTTCCAGGACAAGATCAGCAAGAACCACTACAACATCGCCAGGACCCTGGGTGTCGTTAGTAACGGTCAGAAATGGACAAACGTTCCCTTCTCGGCGCTCATTGAAGGCCTAACCAAACTTCAACCACGTTACTACTCTATTTCCTCATCCTCATTGGTTCAGCCTAAGAAGATCTCCATCACTGCTGTTGTCGAAAACCAACTAATTCCCGGTCGTGCTGAACCCTTCAGGGGTGTAGCTACCAACTACCTGCTTGCTCTCAAACAGAAACAAAACGGCGATCCCAATCCCGAGCCGTTCGGACTCACCTACGAAATCCATGGACCAAGGAACAAGTACGACGGTATTCACGTCCCTGTGCACGTACGCCACTCAAACTTCAAGTTGCCGTCCGACCCATCTAAGCCTATCATTCTCATCGGACCCGGTACTGGTGTCGCACCTTTCCGTGGATTTGTCCAAGAACGCGCTAGGCAGGCCGAAAACGGAGAGAATGTCGGTCGTACGATACTTTTCTTCGGTTGCCGGAAACAAAATGAGGATTTCATGTACAAGTCGGAATGGGAGGTATGTACCAATTTTCGTATTCAAAACGGGAAGGACAATCACTTACAATTTAGCAGCAATACAAGAAGGCCCTCGGCGATAATTTCGAGCTCATCACCGCTTTCTCGCGAGAAGGACCCAAAAAAGTATACGTACAACATCGACTCAAGGAAAGGGCCCAGGAGGTCAACCAACTATTAGAGAAGAAGGCGTACCTTTACGTGTGCGGTGATGCGGCCAACATGGCCCGAGAGGTTAACACTGTGCTGGCCCAAATTATTTCAGAGCAACGGGGTATCTCTGAAGCTAAAGGAGAGGAGATCGTGAAGAACATGAGGGCGGCGAACCAATACCAGGTAAGTCTTAGACTATTCTATCATGTGTTATTGCCCCTGGTTTAATATCGATTATACTGACAAGTATTGTAGGAGGATGTCTGGTCATAATCGCCGACTACGAAACGGCACGCTTTTTAATGCATGGCGGAATGTTGTGGATAGATTTGCATAGAAGAGTTTCGCTGATGACCTTTACTCGGAGTCACGGAGGTGCGGACTTTTCATGGCACGGCTTACACGACGGCACAAACCCGGTTCGGTCGGGTATCAAATGGTACGCATTCTAATACAGAGAGTCCTGCGTGTTCTTGCGTACATATTTTGATAGCTACGTAATGATTTCATTTATAGATTGATTATAAAGCCATCTCCACTTGTTCCATCATCACCGCCATACTTTAGATATATATCTTAATAGTCCATATTTATGGCGACTCGTTCCCCATATCGGCTCAAAGTTTGGTATTACATACGCGAGCCTAGACTTGGAAGAGACGTTGCTTCTCAGGTACCCGAATCGGTTGGTTGCATTGGGTAATTCACGTGCGCTCCGACGAATCAGGTTTCATCCAGGCTGTTTTCCCAGCAACAATCCCGATCGCTAGACCATACTTCATACGAACCAAACTTCAGAAATCCAGAACCAGATTTCATTCAACCGGCTATCAACCAGAAATCCAAGCTCAAAAATAGATGAAAATGAGTAGGAGCCTCATTAGTTAAATTTAACGTTGTTCATTTTTATATTTTATAAGGTTATCAATAACTATTGTTTTACCTTCCTGTGTAGACTCATTATGTCCGATAATTGTTACATGAACCAACCGCCCAGGTACCCAGTACCCGAATCAGTTGAATCCTTCGGCTCTTCGATTCCATTCAGAAACGGCTCATTCCCGCTATAGGTTTTATGTTGTTAGGATTCTATCCTTATCTGCCTTGATTTCTAACCCACCAACTCCATAGATTACGACCGACAAATTACTATGCCGTCTGATAAGTATGTCTAATAATTATGAGGGAGATTGATTGTGAGAAAAGAGCAGGCGTCTAACCAATTTCTTACTGAAATCTTAGATGTGTCAAGTGAGGCAAATCTCAGCTTTATAAATCCAGTCCTATGGCTCATCTATCTCAACGCTTGTCTACACTGCCACGTTAACTCCCGCCATATATGATCCTTACTGTAAGCGCTACTTACTATATTACTTCCACGGATTCATGACGCATTTCGACCAAGGGCCTTACAGCTATTCCACGGTTATCTTAGTCGGGCCTACCTTCTTAACCTATATTTATACACTAGACTTAAGGGAGCAGAATGAACAAGTGCATCGGGAGAATCTTATATAATAATGCAAATGTCTTGAAAATGAACATTAGTCATAATTTACTGCTTCCAATATGCTGACAAAGACCACTGACTAAGAGGTTAGGTAATGAAGCTGCTCGTTAGGTAATATTTCAAGAATCCCAAATTGATTATGCAAACTACCTTAATGGCATGTTGGGTACAGAAGTCTGAGAGAAAAGTCTCGGTCGAGGGCCAATTAGTTCGTGCGGTAAATAATATAGTCGCTGGTCTGTGAATTACGGCACAGCCGGATATATGATTTATTATGGAATCCAAGATATAGGTAATGAAGTGCTCTGGTTAAAGTCGAGATCCATATATAGTAACTTCTTAACCTTTCAGGGTTGTGTCTAATTGGTCGAAGTAACCCAACGTGCTCTGTAAATGGTAAGTACTAACCCTATGTCAAATTCTGATTGGCCATAGAAAATGTTAACGCGTTTAAAGGTAGTATAATAGTCCCTATAACGTACAAGCATGTCTAGCCAGTTAATAGCATTTTGTTACGATGAGTCTTGTGCTGTGTCTTGTGGTTATTTGGCAAGCACAATATGATCAGGGATTAGGTAATAAAGATACATATTCAGAACTCTTACACGGAATGCGCCTCCCTTAGAAAACGATTAATAAACGGGTTAGTGGATTGAGGGGGTGGCACAGTTGAGCCCAATAAGATCATCTTCTTGTTACTAATGTGACGGCTTGCTTACACACAACAATAATCTTCTTATTTACCTTAGGTTCCTTAGGTTCAGATCTCGAGAATTTACATCTTAGCCGACTAATTCATGAACAATAGCAATCATGGTTCTAGAGTTCCGTAAAGTTAACCCAGAGACCGACTTCCCTGCCCTTGCCAGGTGCTTTTTCGAGTCATACGAAGACCCGCCCCAAAAATTCTTTCATGCCTGGTTTCCCATCCACGGAGATGGCACTGAGGCTCGAGAAGCAGCGATAGCTGAAGCTGCAACGCGACTGCGTACCTGGCAAGCACAGGATCCGACGATGCATTGGCATCAGGTTATCGACACCGACACCGGCCGTGTTGCTGGTGGGGCTCTTTGGAATGTCCACACGGAGAATCCTTTCGCCTCGGAAGAGCATATGGAGGCTAGTTGGTTTCCTGATGATGGGTCTCGTCGATACGTTGAGCAGGTGCTTGAACAACACGGGGCACCGAGAGCTCGCGTTGGACAGAGGCCTCAAGTTTGTAAGTGGGGCCCGTTGATCATTGACACGTACCAGGCTTATCAAGAAGCAAAGACCTGTTCATCATTTTTACCCACGCTGACTACCGACGCAAGGGTGTCGCCCAACAATTCATGAATTGGGGAATTGCGAAAGCGGACGAACTGGGCGTAGAGATGTTTCTCGACTCAACGGAAATTGGACGACCGTTCTATGAAGCGAATGGTTTCATCTATGTCGAAAAGAATGTCATTCGCCCCCAGACAGATACTCCCGACGAAGCGTGGAAGGAAACAGTGAAGAAAGCTGGTGACCATTCAGATTGGTGGCTTATGTGGAGACCCGTCGGTGGAAAATATGAAGAAGGTACTCCTAAGCCTTGGGAGAAGAGTTGAGCCTGACATAGAAGCCCGAAGCGAAACTTGTAGGATTCTGATTAGGTAATTGTCATAATCAACCCAATTGGTAGACGCTCATATAACCAGTCAATGCTCGACATGAGTCAGCAATGTGTTACTCGAGGATGAAGAATTTACAGATTAATAATCCATGCTACCCGAACAGAGAAACTCGAATATTCTCACAAGGGATTCCACTATCTCGATATTTCCAAATTTGGAGTAGATGTTCACGAACAACGCAATAATTCTTCATTTTGAATCGTTCCTCGAGCATTCGAAGCCGAAGTAGGACGTACTCCCGGTCATGCCACTGCGTAAATTCTCTGGCAACGATAGCTATCGGCCAAAGAAGAGCCGTGTCATACTGAGAGCCTAAGGGTATGCGACGGAGAATCGCGATTGCCCAAGCCGGAAGGTTCCCCATAGCCGAGTCGGGACTGTCTAATTGACACTGTTTTCTGTACACGGTAGCCGCTACGCGATAGAGTTCACATGTAAGTGTAGACTCATTCCATGTACCTACGCAAGTGAAGCTCTCGAGATCTTCAAACCCCGGATTGTGCACGAAGCCGGTGTCTTCAGTGGGAAGTTTCTCGCGCTTCTCGTCTTTCTCTGCCGGTTGGAGCGCAAAACTTGGCAGCCAGTCCAGTCTCCCATTCCAAGCAGTAATATCCGCATCGGTCACCGATATATCATTGGCACTTATCCGCGCTATGACACTGGGGAAGTAGAAGCGGTTCATCATTTCTTCTGTCCATGGGAAGCCTGCAGTCTTATGAAAGTAGAAATCCGATAACGTTGATGTCCGTAACGACGTTGACCTGACAAGATCGTTGTATAGGAAAAGGTTCGATAGAAATGATATGGCGTCATTTTGGTGCCTTATTGTCGGTTCGTAGGCGATTTTGTCTAATATGGTAACGAAGAGCTGCGTCGGAAAAAGTTGAGAAAAGACCTGTAGGTGAATTGTCCCGTTTTCTTGGCTTTCGCCGCTGAGCTTTTCGTATAACATAAGCAGTACGCAGATTGCCAATAATTGGGTATTTTCTTCATTATCGAACGCCACTGATGTCATGGGGGTTTCATGATGAAACCCCGACTTTTTCATCATGCTAGAGACCATTTCCTTACATCCTCGTATTGCTTTGGTCCGATATCTTAGCATAGGCATCCTCATGGTAAAGTTGCCATCCTCCCAGCTTTGAACGCAGCTAAGAGCCAATACTGCATCTAGGACGGGTCGACTCCGAGTTGAAAGCGGCAGGAACACTCTTACAAATGGATTATTTGGATCTGTACAGGTCGGATATGTCTTGGAAAAAAGTTGGACATAACGGTCCAGTAGCTGGCAATCCGTAGAGTCGAGACCGAATGGCCAATCCGAAACTTGAGGGAATATTCGCGCATCCGACGTGAGCGCTCCCTGGTCAAATAGCGGACTAGACAAAGTAAGAGTGTCTTTTAGATGAGACGATCCTAATTTTCCTTCTACGTTGGGTTTTCTTAATGGCGGCCCTCTCCTCTTCATCCCATCCCTACGCACATCGTCCTCCCACACGAGGCGGGTACCCCGGTCACACTCCAAGCCTAGTCTTTTGCAGTTGTTACACGGGGACGAACCGTTATCGCACTTCTTACGCCTACAGCCGTTAAGTTGATATGCCCTATATAGAAGCGGGGATTTTGCATACCTTTTCTTACACGTCCAGCAACCTTCTCTTGATCGTCGGGAAGGCCGTCCTGGTTCCATCGCTTCTTAGCAAGTCGGACGATGGAATTAATACGATAGGTGCTCAGGTGCCAACCCTAGTATCTATTCGAGATAACAGGGCAGTCAAATATCTTGGATTCCCCTGAAGTGCCCCGCACCGGCTTTTCCCGGGTTACTTGCCCGATCGCAGCATGCTTATTGGACACTAGTCGGATACTCTATCTACCTAAGTGCCTAGAGCACGAACAACTATATAATACAAAGGGAATACAGATGAGTATGAGGGGCCACTCTACCCATCCCGTTTCCTTAGCATTATTCGAATTACCAAGATAGGAATCTCCTTACCTACCTAGGTAGGTATATCAACCTTTCTACGTCATGGCTGTTAACCCCGAGACGCACTACTTCGAACAAACGACATTGGTCCCCAATAGCAAGTTACCGGTTCTTATATACCGGGACGTCTTGCCGCAGCCGTATAGCGAGGAAAAGACACAGGCGTTCCTTGAGAAGAACCAATGGCTAAAGGGAGTACGCACGAACATCTGAAGCCTGTCTAGCAATCCTAGCCCTAACGATTTATAGGGGACTTGGGGCGCCGTTCCAAGGCACCACTTCCATCCCAACACACATGAATGTTATGGTATGCTTGATACTGTCATCATCTAGGACACGAATCTAATGAGAGAAGCTGTCTTCCAGGGATCATCTACACTTTTACTAGGTGTGGGACCAAACGAAGATGCGGGTAACGGCGGGGAGGTGTTTGTAAAGGCAGGCGACGTCATTATTTTACCTGCTGGCGTCTCTCACTGCTCCAAAGACTTTCAGGACGGGTATAGATACGTCGGAGTATATCCTAAAGTAAGTCAAGAACTCGCGCGGGCGGATATCTTAAGTATTTACTACATATAGGGTGCACCTAAATGGAAAAGCGAGTATTGCAGAGATGGATCACGATGTCAAGAGCTCCGAGAAGAAGCTGAGCATGTAGAAATACCTGATTGGGACCCCGTTAGGGGTCGCATGGGCCCTCTTTATGAGTTATGGTCATCTTAGCTATTACGCACAAGCCTGACCGAGGAAGAGTAGAAATTGGATCAGGTATAAATAATACAAAGTTTCAAGGCTCTAATATTGAGTGCCTATTTTCCAATCAGCCTCATCTCATGAGTCGTATCCTGAAGATATCTAATCATGTCGGCGCACCACTTCTGTATCTCCTCTTGGCTAACAGTCTCAACCTTGCAAAGGCCGGGCCTCCCTTCGGGATCCGACTCAGCCACATTTTTAGCGTATCTCTCCTGCAGTGTTTCCAAAGCGCTACGAGCACGTTGAGCGATAACCTCCAAGCGGTAGGTGGTCCACTGGTAATACAACTCAGTAAGATGAGATTTATTGCGGACGTTCGCATTCGTGGTGTCATCGACGAGAAGGGGGTTCTTGGGTCGGAAAGAGGTGACAATAGTAACACGCTCGGGCATGTTAGTGACTGGGGCAGCTGTGTGGGTGATGTATCGCCCTTGAAGGAGGACAGCACAACCCTTGAGTCGACATTAGCGCAATGATCATGCGGCAAATCTGAGGTAGAAGAAATTCCTTACCATCTGTGGTGCTTTCACTTTTAGGGTTGTTCCGTCGCCCTTCATAAGCTCGGTCTCTCCACCAGTCATGTGTCGCGCATCTGATAACATGACGACGCAGACCCAAGGGTGAGAGTCGACGTGCCATTCGATGATGGGTTTTGACTGATCAGTAACGGCCTGCTGCTTAGGCTTCTCAGCCTCAAATCTTTTGATCGCCTCCTCGGTAGCCTCGGGAGGTTCCACAGGAGTGTTGCGGACAGCGTCGAGGCCTCCTGATCCGAGCTGGACATTGACATGGCTAATCTCGTAGTCCATGGCCGGAACAAGCTCGACACCAGCGACATCGCTAACAATCTTGAGAACCTCAGGGGAGTGCCAAAATTGGTGAATGAAGGGGGAATAGCGCGGAGCCATACCGCGAAGCTGAACAGAGCCAGGGCGAGTGTGGTGGAGGCAATTATCAAGGACATCTTTGCTAAAAAGGTCTCGACGATGCTGGAGGACAGCTTCATGAGAGAGGAGAGGAAATGGCTCCGTGGTGGCGATGGGCGATAATGCAGTCGGCTCTAGGGCAAGATCCTTCATGGCTAGGATCTTAGATGGAGGAGAATATGCCAGATGCTTCGCGGGATTGAATTGAACATCAGCGCTTTGCGAAGAAGGGAAATTCTGTCGGACCTTAAAGGGGTCGACGACAGGAGCTGTTTCGACTAGAGCTGAGGGCGCCATGCTGATATTTGTGATGCTTGAGCGCAAAGAAAAAAAAGATGGTATGAATACGTCAATCGAGGTTATGAAGCGGTCCTTATTTCATAAAAGTCGGTTCTGATGCTTCGTAAGTTCATGATGCGCTTCGATATATATACCTACCTAGGTAGATACAGAAACATATATCGTTTATCGCCCCAACCGAAGAAGGTTATTCCAAGCGCTGCATTTTCACCACAAAGCACGGGTCGCGCCATTTCCAGCGCGAGCCGGAATCGGCAACCGATCTATAGAGAGTAAAGTAACCCCGCAGTCATGAAATCACGATGGAAACGATCGATTCGTGTAACCGATACTTCATTTCACTTGGGTACTCACGTAGGTATGTCAAGATCGAATACCATCCAGTAGAACTTGGCAAATACTAAATGGATTTCAGGAGAGGCCGGCTTCAGCTCCATGGTATCAAATAATGCGGGGGGGTCAAGAGACACGCAATTCTAGAATCGGGTCGCTTGGAAGTGGAGCCCGATCCAGCATCAGTTGGAGGTTATATCGGGCGGATTTATCTACTACTTTAAAATTGCGCTATACTGGAATAGGGGTATTTGACGCGCCGAGTATCCTGTCTCAACCTTTGATTACCATCCATCACTCTTCATTGGCTTCAATATCGGCAATCTTTCCGACAACTTCTTTTCGTCCCTGGCTCAGATGCTCAAGATATAGTCAAATTGGCCTTTATCACGCCGCGCAACTCGCAAGCGAGATCACCCATGCGGTAGTTATGTTTATCGTCAAGACAATACCCCAGAGTCTAAGCGATTATGGGTCTGCTAGCGGTACCCCATATTCCAGATACTCAAAATGATAACTTATCATCAACCGAGGGATAGGCCCTCCACAGACTATATGAACACCCGGACGACGTCTCGCCTATGTGATTTTTTACTTATTTGAATTGTCAGGCTTCGCAACTTGGTCAAGCAAGAATCTCACAATTCGTCAAATAATATTATTCTATCCAAAGTGACGCCAAGATGGAACCGCCCCAAGGCCATAAAGATGCCGACGGCGCCGGCGCTATGCCTACCATTCATAAGTCTCCAACCGATCTCTCCGTCACCAAAGGAGATATTGAGCAAGTGGATCGAGACAACAAGGGGATAGATATGAATGCTATTCCTTCTGGTGTTGGTGAAGCATACGAGAGGAAAGTGGCTATCATGAACCAGGCCTTGGTCGATCTTGGAATGGGTGGCTTTCAGTGGAAAATATTTGCCCTTACAGGATTTGGCTGGTTTGTGGACAACGTAAGCACCCTACCCACGGGCAACGGAAGAGCTCTGATAATTGCTAACCACACTCCACAGTTCTGGATGCAAGCCATTACCATTATTAGTGCTCCCGTCAGAAACGAGTTTGCCGTAAAGCGCATCGCATTCCTTACCGTGGCCAAATATGCCGGCCTTGTCGTTGGTTCTACCGTGTGGCCTATGACGGCTGACTTCATCGGTCGCCGTCTAGCTTTCAACATCACCTTACTCCTCTCGTCCGTGAGTGGATTGGTCGGTGCTGGCAGCCCTAACTTCGTCGCTATCGCTACACTCTGCGCCTTCATTGGCATGGGTACCGGTGGCAACCAACCTGTCGACAGCGCTATATTCTTGGAGTTCATCCCTGCGACACATCAATACCTCCTTACTATGCAATCTGCATTTTGGTCTGTGGGCCAAGCTGTCGCTGCTTTAATCGGATGGCCACTGATCGCAAACTACTCTTGCCCCTCGGCAGGCTCTGATTGTCGATTTGATAATAATCTTGGTTGGCGATATACTTTCTGGGCTTTCGGTGGCCTTACGTTGGCCATGTTTCTATTACGACTATTCTTTCGGGTGTACGAGACACCAAAATATCTCCTAAGCAAAGGCTACGATGAGCAAGCTGTCGGAGTAATCCATAAAATTGCTGCTAGAAACGGGAAGACCAGCTGGCTCACAATTTCCCACTTTGAAGCGGTTGATGCTGAATTGAACCTGCAACCCGGTCAGGAATCCGCACCGGCTCATACTCGCAAGAACATTATCAGAAGCAATTTGGACAAGATAACGCCTAGCAAGATCCGAGTCCTCTTCTCAACCCCGCGCATTGCTTTATCTACGACATTGATGATTTTTCTCTGGTGTTCTATTGGAATGGCCTATCCCTTATACAATTCCTTCATTCCCATATATCTTGAAAACAAGGGAGTTAGCCAGGGTGGCTCTTCCCTAAGCATAACATATCGCAACTATGCTATCCAGGCTGTCTGCGGTATCCCGGCCTCTCTTCTTGGTGGGTTTACCGTCGATTTGAAGGGAATTGGACGAAAGGGTACTGGAACGATTGCGTGCCTAGGCACCGGTGTGTTCTTGTTTCTCTTCACCCGTGCTACCTCGGAAGCCGGAGTTATCGGGTTTACATGCGCGATCGCATTCTTTCAGAATCTGGTGTATGGTTTACTTTACTCGTACACGCCCGAACTCTTCCCCGCTCCAGTCCGTGGTACCGCGAACGGGCTTGTCGCCATGTTCAATCGGTTAAGCGGCCTAATGGCTCCTATCATCGCGGCATACGTTGGAATTGATAATGACTACCCAGTGTGGATTTCGGCGGCACTTTTTGTAGTAGCGGGCTTAGTTTTCCTGGTCTTGCCATATGAAACTAGGGGTAAGGCTGCCGCGTGAGCGGAGCAGAGATATTTAGGAGTCGCGATCAAGAGCAACACAATTGTGGTATATGAGTGTGCGTATATAAAACCGGCTTATGGTGAATCCTCAGCTACTCGTACACATCAATTGCGTCAATAGTTAATATCTAAACTAGTATAGTTTGCGTCGGGAAATATAAGTGAGGCGGTGTTTCTACCTTGGCCCTTAATTAAAGAGAACCCTTCCGTCATTGGGAAGTCTGCAATATAAGAGCCTGAAATTCCCGCCGATTTATACTATTATAGTCCACATGCCGATCTTCATCTTGCTGGCCAATGGAGTCGTAACCCGGGATTATGATGCACCTGATAGAGCGGTGCGACCCGGGGGAAGAGGGGGGGAGCAAAACCAACCTAATGGTATACATGGTAAAAGCACCTTCAAAACATACCTAACCCTATCTATGAAAGGAATGGCATAGGGGAAGCCCGCTTCGCTGGCGCTTCAAATACCCCTGTTACGGAATAGCGTCGAAAGGATAGTAGCAAATAGTCGCATTTGTAGATAACAAAGAAATATTAATGCAGGCATGTCATGCACGATAAGGTGGCTCAGAGGTGTAACAAGAATTACGAAGCCAATTATGATAGGATTAAAAAATGGGTTCACCGCTGAGATTTGCTCTGCTTTAAAAATCACGATGTCCTCACAGGAAGAAAGGGTATTCGTGGACGTAACATGAGGTTTGACAATGAAGCCCCACAGCAAGCGCACGATGAAGGCATTAATTCTGCTGTCCGGGTTAACTATTGCCTCAGCATCCCTCATTTCTACTGGAGTCTCAATGAAGCTAGATGATTTCTACTACTTCGTCTCTCCATTCTCACAGGGAAAAGCGTACGACGGTTCATATGATTGGTCGTACAATTTCAGGGGCTCATTCGGACTTGTTCCTGTGTCCGTAGTCGCCAATTACGAAGATAGCCTCCAAACCCCGGACGACCTATTCGCGGAATGGTCCAGGAAAGATGATGTTTGGCAGCCTGGGTTTGCCGAGATTCTCCTAGTCGGATCTAGCAACTACCAGCAATTCAAGAGCATCAATATCAGTGCCAACGCCGAATCCACCATATTGCCATTGTCAAATCACAGCAATATTGCATCTGGTCCTTACTTCCTAGACTTATCTACTGGCGAGTTACATCAAGCGCTGAGGCTCTATAATGACTTCTCGGGAGCTTTTACACAGTCTCTACTGCAGAAACCAACAGGGGACTTCCAGATCCTGTCAGCACAAGTTCCCGCGGCAGGGACCTTAACGATCGGGGTCCCATCTCGCCTTTACTTTTCACCCTCGGAGGAAAAACCTCTCGCTGGTGTTCGTGTCGCTGTCAAAGATATTTATTCTTTGGCTGGTGTTCGGAGCTCATATGGTAGCCGAGCTTACTATGGGCTCTATCCGCCTGCTAACGAAACTGGCACTGCTATACAGAACTTAATTGACGCCGGCGCAATTATTGTTGGTACACAGAAACCATCGCAATTCGCTAACGGAGAGGTCGCAACATCTGACTGGGTTGACTTTCACGCGCCGTTTAACCCTCGTGGTGACGGGTACCAGGACACTGCATCGTCGTCTGCCGGCGCGGGCTCATCCGAAGCATCGTATGAATGGCTCGATCTTGCTGTCGGAAGCGATACGGGGGGTTCCGTTCGTGGACCTGCTGGTGTTCAAGGACTATTTGGAAATCGCCCTACGCATGATCTAGTAAGCCTTGATCACGTTATGCCCCTTTCTCCAGCAATGGATACCTCGGGATTTTTGGCTCGTGATCCATATCTATTGGACGTCGCAAGTAAAGCCCTTTACAAGGATAATTACACCTCTTACGCGGATCGGGGGTTCCAGTACCCTAAGAAGATATATGTTCTTGATTTTCCGACGACAAACACCTCATCAGCACAGCTCATACATACATTCTCTCGAAACCTAGCGTCTTATCTCAATACATCAATTACGCCGTTGAGTCTCGATGATGCTTGGCAAGCCAGCGCGCCCGATGAGTATAATACGCGGAACATCTCCGAATTTTTAAATTTAACATACAGCACTTTGATCACCAAGGACCAGACTAGGCTTCTTCGGGATCCCTTTTATAAAGATTATGCCTGTAAGTAACAAATATCGCGCTTTTACAGATGGAACTGACTTTTCTTCCCTAGCCGTCCACGACGGTCGCCTACCTTTTATAGATCCGGTGCCTCTTATGCGCTGGGCTTGGGGAGACGCTCTACCAGGCGGCGCCTACGAGGAAGCGGTGAATAACAAGGCAGTCTTCTCGGATTGGATCAATAGCCAGATTCTTCCTCCGGCTTCTAATACATCCACTTGCTCCTCCGCCATACTTCTACATACTGATAGCACGGGCTACTTCTCCGCTCGCGATACCTATCTTTCTCCCCCTTCCGCGCCATTGGGTTTCTCTAATGGAGAAATATCCATATTCAGCGGTGCTCCTGATACTGTATTCCCCATCGGAGAAGTCCCGTCATTTAGTTCAATTACGAATCATACTGAGTATTTGCCGGTAACTATCGATGTTATGGTTGCAAGGGGATGCGATGGCATGCTGAACAAATTAGCTCAGGATCTGGTGAAGGCTGGTATTATTAGTATCCCGAAAACTGGTTCTACACTTCACGGAGGAGAAATCCTAGCAAGACGATGGTAATAGACATGTTATTTAGCTATGTCATCACTATTGTCATAGCCTATGCCGTAAGGAATATACATCCTATGTAAGGATTTTTTTCTAGGGTCACTAATAAATATTTATTTTATTGACTTCCTTCACTATAAACGGAACACTATAAACGGAAGTAGTGTGCCTTATTTTTTAGGGTTGAATGGGATCGTCGTCGTGTGTTACTTGAGGGTTGGTTAGGGTTGGGGTTGAGAGTTGGGGGTTGGGGGTTGGGGGTTGAGGTTAGGGTTTTATCTACCCCCAAAATAAAGGGGTAAGGGGCAAACGTGAACGACTATTGATATAAGATTCTTTACGATTCCAGCAGCACCACAGCCTTCGAGGGCAGCTAGTTATATAATCTCATATATTTAAATTCAAGCCCGTAAATATGTCGGAACATAATTATATTCACGGAACCGCCGAGAAGAAAAGGAAAGAAATCGATGACTACCCAATGGATTGGACAAGAATATCTACCGCACGATTAATGGTACTGATTCAAAACGGCGAGTTCGTCTGAGAAATCCACGCTTCTAGAGATCCATGGATGATATTGGTTGGGCTATGGTGTAATTAAATTGTTACTTGTCTGTAGTCATAGATCCTCGAAAGGGGTCGAAATATCCGACACTCGTTAATATTGGTATACATACAGTTATTAACAGCATAAATTGTATTGTGAGGCCATTACGATCAATTGTTCTTTTATTTACATGTACCTACATAAATCCTAAGCTAATGAATTCACGAGCAATCGCGGCTCAAGTCAGTACGGAACCTTAAGCAAATTCAAAGGGATAGATAACTCCTAGGTGCATCGGCATAGTAACTGAATTAATACTATCTTAAGATAAGAATTCGACGTCCTCTTTTGGTAGGAACGTACTAATCTATCCCATCCCAGGATCAACCAGGTAGGAGTGGATCACAAGGATAGGAAGTTCTAGTATTGACATAAGGTTAGTAAGATACACAGTAGGCAAGGACGTTAAAGGTACCCAAGCAGGTACATGTGTGTGTATGAAAGTCCCCGCTAAATACAGTATGAAGGTACAATGGAATGTGGGGCGCCGTACGTACCTACCTAATGTACCCGTAACGTTGACAGTGCTAAGGGCACTTGAAGTTATTCGTTTTAAGCTAGCACCCCTATAACCGTAATCTAGAGAAGGTGCTCACCACGCCCCCATGTGCGTAACTTCCTCAGGAGTTAAGGAAAGCAGCAAAATTCAATAAACTAATCCACATTAGATCAGATTAGTACTTTTTCTTCTAATTGTTTGTTCTTTTGCATTCTATTCTACTGATCAGGAAAGGCCAGAGAAAGTGAATTTTTTCAAGTTGTGCGTTTCTATATAATGGTGCCTTGTGCTCATAAATCTTCCCACTTCTTTTCACATTCATCATCTCACCCTCATCTTCTTTTTTCATTCAGCAACCCAGGTCGGTCGTTTTTTGATCAATTTTCTTCTATTTTGCCATTCTAGGAATTGCAGTCTTACATTCTTGCCTTCGTTACTGCATTGCACAATTACGTCTTCAACTTTAGGGGTTTATATCGTATAACCTTCCTACCGACGTCACCGCAATCTTGCAATCTTGCAATCTTGCGACCCTGTGGCCTCGCGACCGCCTCGCGCAAGACCAAGCTAAACAACGCAAAGCTTATTGTGCTTTCCCATTCTTCGGGTCTGGATACCAATTGGTAAGAACAACCTCTCTGCCGTCGATCCGTCGATTAATCTTCGTCTCTTTTTGTAAATATTCCTCTCTCCAAACTTCTTCCCTCTCTCTTCTTCTCCTTTTGATACCCCAGCATAGCATCAACTCATCCAGCACACACATCACCACAATCACTTCGTTTTTCCATCTTGCTCTCTAGCTACTCTATTTTACTCGGTCCCGCTCGCTTCATCACAATCGTCTTGGTAACAACAGCATTGGCATTACCAGCCAGAATCTTCAAGGTTGGTGTCGTTATTGATACTCCCGAGCGACCCCAATTATCCACCCCCCTTTTTTCCCCTGCCTATACAAAAACTGCGACGGGATGCTCCCCGGCTACCAAAATATTGCCGCGGAAATGCAGCGCGAGCAACACTCCGATCTAAACTGACATGCTCCTCTTGAATAATTCACCTATTGTGTAATCTTTATTGAGATGAAGATACAACGACCAATGATTCAAGGCTTAAATCATTACTATTACTTTCTTCTAACCCCCCTTTCCTCTCCCTCAATCAACCAATTTAATAAGCACACATTCTTGTCATAATAGCAATTATTTTCCACTTCGGGGCTAACTATCTTTCATATAGATTCTTCCTTTTTTACTGTTCCTGCCGTCAATCTCGATCAGCTTAATCTCCAAACAAGGTATGTCTTATATTATTTCGACCATCTTGAATATTCTTGAGAAACCCCATCAGTTGGCATCACCAAGACACTCCTGTCATAATCACATACCACATCCACACCTAACAGTCTTGATATTCTTATTTTTGCAATATAATAATCATGCAGAGTTCCCACTAATGATACTCATTTAATAGGACGAGTGTATCCGTTTATTTCGCATTCGACAAGATGACTCATGATAGCGGTGTTACCACTCGACCGGCTACGATGCCTCCACCTGAGGCAAGCAGCAGCAGCAGCCAGGTAGCTGCTCATCTTGCCAATACCCACGATGGTATCAACAGCAATGGTGGTCAGAACCACCCTATGGCGGATACTGGCATGAACGCCATGCTGAGCCAGTTTAGCGGACTCGGAATTAATGCTATTGCACCGATGCCTCCCATGATTCCCATGACTACAGCTGACGGTCGTCCCGTTGCGTTCCTTCCTAACTACCCTGTCCCGTCTCAGGGTATTATGCCTCCTGGAATGCCCCTTGGTTATGCGCCAGCCCAAGCCGACGCATACTCTGGAACGTACCTCTCCCACGGTGCTTATCAGCATCCTCTGTACACCTTTGCACCGTATGGTCAGGCTCGCGCCGGAGTTGCTCATGAGCGAACTGAGACCAGCAATCGCGAGCTCCCGGGTCTGGACATCCGTCGTTCTTCTTATTCGACGAACGAATCGACCCCAGCAACACCGTTTCTTGGAAGTATGTCTCGAGAGCACGGTCCTCGTGTAACCGTGTTTGATCGTTCGTCGTACACGACTCCCTCTCCTCAGCAGCTCGTTTCTTCTGAGGCTATGCAGGAGGCTAAGTCTGCTCTGCTTGATCGATCGCCTAAGATTCCTCGCGCCATTGAGGCTATCTACACTCCTGAGCAAAACATGAAGACCCTGGAGCAGAGTCTTGTCAATCCTCTCCCGGGGAACCGTAACGTTTACATCCGTGGCCTTCACCCCAACACGGATGATGCGCTCTTGCTCAAGTATGCTGAGCGCTTTGGAAGGGTTGAAACTTCCAAAGCCATCATCGATTCCAAGACGGGAGCATGCAAGGGGTAAGTTAACTGACCACTCAAAGCTATTATGAAAACATTCGACTAATATCTGGCCTAGTTTTGGCTTTGCAAAGTTCTATGATGTCCGCGATTCACAGAACTGCATCCGAGGGTTTTATCAGCGGGGCTACGAGGTTGGATTTGCTCGGGTAAATCCTCCCACCTCACGTCGACGTAGCCAAGACAAGCAAGCTAATAAACCCAAGGAATCTTTCAATTCCCGACTCCAGGCTGAGGGTGACCCTCAGTCGACTAACTTGTATCTTTCCAACCTCCCACGATCGTGGCGTGAGACTGTAGGTGGACCATTCACAGTAGTACTGATCACATCAGCTTACCAACGTAGGAACTTCTCGCCATGTTCGAAGGCTTGACCGTACTTTCCAGCAAGGTTTTAACTGAAGCGGGTACGGAGAACAGCCGCGGTGTTGGTTTTGCTCGGTATGTTCAGATACGAAAGGTGTATGATTATGTGTTTATACTAACATTTACTACTCTTAGATTTGAGAATCATGAGATTTGCGAACATGTTATCAAGCAATTCTCTGGCCTCATCCTTGGTGTAGAGCGCCTCCCGCTGCAGATTCGCTACGCCGACACAGCAGCCCAGAGAGAGCTCAAACGTGTAACGGCTAAGCGCCGTCAATGGCGCACCAATGAGTATAATGCGAGCGCTTATGGTACAACCCAAGTTGGAATGAACCCGGCTCATAGCTTTAACTATCGATATAACGCTGGTTCTCATCGGTACGTTTCTTGCGTTACGATTCTTTTCGCCGACTAACAATGTTACTTTAGTGCTTCCCACCAGGGTGACTCCCGTGCTTCGGGCGACTCAAGCAGCTTTGCACCCGGGTATGGGCGCATTGAGTCCATTATTCGCAGTCTGTAGACTCACTAATATTGGTCCTAGACACGATGACGGTGTCGAGATCCGCGTCGAGTCGCCCTTAATCGCACATGGCAGCAACCAATCGTCGCCCGTGAAACAGGAGAAGGAGTAATTCTGGTCATGCTTTCCATATCCGTACATGTTTCGGCGCATGCTCTTTACATTATACATGTACATCTTGACCACTCCCTGGCAAGTGGTTTGCCTTTGATGTCGTCGCCGATATTCTACCCATTATAACGGTATTACTGCCATTATCGACGACATATTGATGACATCATATCGACGATGGTATAGACGATAATATACCTAACCTCGACGGCGAATTATCGCCCATGAACATAATGCTGCCGGTGCGCACGGATTTGTTATGGTATTATTGAAACGATTGTCGGATTGTTGAGTTTTTTTTTCCTTTCTAGTTTCCTTTTTTACACTTCACCTTTCTTTACCGAGTTCTAGAGACGATGAGTCTGTATGCCACTACTTATCATCGTGCCTCTTACTCATGATGGACGATACGAGGAAACGTGTGTGCGCGGCAGGTTGGCCCCTCAGTTTTTCTCATTTTTACTTGAGCATTAATCATCTTTCGCCCGTCTTTTCATTTCATTTTTTCTTTACCCCGTACCAACAGATACATTGGGGTTTCAGATAGTTAGTCAGGCATTAATACGACATTTTCCCATCAATTTTCAAAAAATGAATCCTGAAATTGCCATGGAATTACTTCGCATCCATGTATAAACCTAGGTCGGTCAACAATGATATGTCATAAAAACTAGAATTTCTAGGGGTTCCCAATAGGATGCCATGCAAAGGGGGTATCAATTAATTTCATCCGTTATGTTAATATACGTATTTACGTCTTTTCACTAATTGACAGAGCATCCATACCTATTATTGGTCTATCTACCCGTGATTTTCTTCCTTCATCCTCGTTGCCGTCGCTGTTTTCATCGTCATCTTCATCATCTTCGTCTTCGTCCATAGATGATGTATCATGGTCGTCTTCAGATCCGGCCTGCTCGCCCCTTTCTGCCTGCTGCTCTCTGATAGCAGCCTCTAGATCTTTAAGAGCTTTCTTTGAAAACCCGGATGCTTCAACCGCAGCATCTAACCTTTGAGCTCCGTCCTTCCCTACTGTTTTCTTGGCATCTTTGAAAAATGGGCCGGGCTGGGTGCTGACAAAATGGAAGCGTCGCTCGAAGAATCGTTTGATGCAATTGACATCACGGTCAAAATACATTTCGGCATTTTGATGATCCATAGATACCATCTGAGGGAAGTCAATAATGATGGGCGTCACTGTGAGCTTCCCCTCTTTTTTCCCTTCTATCCCATCGGATTGTTTGGATTCGGTGGAAGGTTCTGGTTCCTCTCTCTCTTCCTTGATTAAGATATTGAATTCGTTGAAATCTCCATGGATTAAGCCATGTCGCGCTAGACGTAGGATCATGGCTATTAAATCGGCGTAAAGGGCTGCGGGGTCGGGGACCTCGGAGATTTGGCGTAGAGGGAAGGCGTCGACGAATTGCATAAGTACTGTATGACGGTTCTGACCCAAGGGTTCGGGTACGGGGAAGCCCTCGCTTTTTAGGGCCTTCATGAAAGCGAACTCCTTCTCGGCGGCGAGCCGGGATAGGTACATCCAACTACCACCCTGGCGTTTTCGCAAATAGTCGCGGTTGGCTTTAACGGTGCGGAATGATATTCGACCTAGTCGGTGGATCTTGAGAACACGCTGGGTTCCGGACTCGTCGGCTACAACTAGAATATCACTCTCCTTGCCGACACCGATACGATTCCCAACGCTGTACACTTCTCGCCGGCTTGCGTATGTATGGAGGGCTAGGTAGTCCATGCCACCGTACGTCAACCGGTAACCATCGTACTTAGCCTCCTTCAGTCGAGCGATCAACCCGACTTTGGCTAACGCTGAGATTGACTTGTGCACTCGGCTAGCACCGCCGCGAAGCTTGGCGATGGACTCGATAAGGGGTGTGGGGATTACTTCGTGGTTTTTGCTGCCTATTTCTGCCTGTTTGTATTTTGTTAACCCTAAGACGATTTGGGGGTCAATAAGGGGGAGGAATTGTTCGTACGGCTGTCAAGACTCGCCAGTCCTCTGCTGTGAGGTGGCGCATAGCCTTGGTGTCGAGCTTCATGGTTGCTGACGCTCAACCCTTGCAGGGTATTTATTTTGATATTTTGGTATTCCGATACTTCACGTTAATTGTCCCGGGCTTTTGAGAGAGAAAAAAGCAGATTACCACGTTCTATAAATGTTGATGTTAGCAAGTGGGATGATATTGTTAGTGTACAACCCCACCAAATTCTACCTAAAAATCTATGGGACTATCTAATTTACGATAAGATAAAAATCTGTGTACCTTGATGTACTCGGATTTCGGTCGTTTTAGAAAATGAAATCTATTGGCCTAAAATTTAAGACTTTTAGTGGCTTTGATTGGCTATAAAGTTAACTCCCGTTAATTTTTTGATTCGTCCGTTCAACAAAAATCGGAAGGCTCCGTCATCTTGTATCTGTGGAGCTGTGTGCACTGACCACTTCCAATCAATACTAAGCAATAGGCGGCAGAGCAGTCGCGTAATTGTATTCCGCCTTCCAGCCTTGGAGCTTCGACCTGACCTTGCAACGCAAGAGCTTTCAACATTCAGAAAGCTTATCCGTAACCACTAAATTCCGATCGCACACCTTCGCATCCACCATTCCTAAACTCTTTCAACCTACGCATTTTATTTTCTCTCTCTTTTCCCCGTATTCATCAAGAAGCCAGATCGCATTACTTTTTAAACAGTTCATTCATTAGCGAAATTCTGCGTTCCGGATCTTCGCCCCCCAAACTTATTTCGTATTTGTTATTTACAGCCAGGATTCGCCGCCTCGACGACGACCATGGCGCCGAGTAACAACCAGCCAACCTCGGCCGAGGAGGGGAAAGGCAAGGCGATCGATAGCCAAGCCGACGAGAACAAGAAAGCCAAAGATGGACAGCCTCAAGCCAATGGAAAGAAGGATGAGGACAAGATCGACTGTGTGTTTTGTTGCCCATATGTGATATGTTATCATCTCGTACTAACCTATATGTAGCTGCGGAAGAGTTGAGTGAAGAAGACCAACAGCTCAAGAGCGAGCTTGACATGCTCGTCGAGCGATTAACGGTATGTTTGTACTCATCCATATCATCCAAGCTTGTTCTTTTATCGGAAGTGCTGATATACTTTGTAGGAATCCGATGCCTCGCTCTATAAACCGGCTTTAGAGGCCATGAAGACTTCCATAAAGACTTCGACATCCTCAATGACGGCAGTACCGAAACCGTTAAAATTCCTAAGACCACATTACCCAACGATGACGAAACTATACGACGAATGGCCGGAGGGTGACGACAAAATGTCCTTGGCGGATGTTCTGTCGGTAATAGGTATGACCTTCTCAGATGAGGACCGCCAGGACACCCTCAAGTACCGTTTATTATCGCCGACGGAAGATATCGGTTCGTGGGGTCATGAATACGTGCGTCACCTAGCTTTGGAGATCGGCGAGGTCTACGCAAAGCGGATCACCGCCGAGGAACAGGTCAAGGATCTTGTCGACCTTGCCTTAATCCTCGTGCCACTGTTCCTAAAGAGCAACGCTGAGGCCGACGCTGTCGACCTTATGAGTGAGCTCGAAATTATTGAAGAACTTCCCAAATTTGTCGACGAGAACACTTACTCACGTGTCTGCCTATACCTCGTTAGCATGGTCAACCTTTTGACCTATCCAGAGAACGAGCAGTTTCTCCGAACCGCCTACAATATCTATATGGCCTACAAAGAACTCACACCAGCTATGAACATTGCTATCCGACTTAACGACCTGGATCTTATTAGCAATGTTTTCCACTCTACAACGGATCCGGCGCTTAAGAAGCAGATGGGTTTCTTGATGGGACGCCAGAAGAGCTGGGTCCACGTTACAAGAGATGAAGACACAAAGAAGGATTGCCAAGAGATAGAGGATGCTGTTAGTAACCTCAGACTATCGGAATACTTCAAAACCCTAGGCAAGGAGCTGAACATCCTCGAACCAAAATCCACAGAAGATATCTACAAAAGCCATCTAGAAAGCAGTCGGGTCGCTGGTATGACAAACCTAGACTCTGCGCGCCACAATCTCGCCGCAGCGTTCGTCAACGCGTTCGTCAATGCTGGCTTCGGCAATGATAAAATGATGCTTGTTGCAGAAGATAAGGAAAGCTGGGTTTGGAAGACGAAGGATGAGGGTATGGTGTCAACCGTCGCATCGCTTGGAACCCTCCTAATGTGGGATGTTGAGGCTGGATTGGACCAAATTGACAAGTACACATACAGTTCGGAGCCACTGATTATAGCAGGATCAATGCTTGCCATTGGCATCATGACGTCGGGCGTTCGATTGGATAGTGATCCTGCCTTGGCGCTGCTAGGTGACACGGACAAGTTGGAGCATAAAAACCCGCTTGTCCGTGTAACTGCCGCTATGGGTCTTGGTCTCTCCTTCGCTGGCTCTCATAAGGAAGAGGTACTAGAGGTCCTTCTACCCATTGTCACAAGCCCTGAGTCGGATATACAACTTGCCGCAATGGCCGCCCTATCATGCGGCATGACTTGTGTGGGATCCGCCAATGAAACAGCCGTTCAGGAGATATTGAGTGTTTTCATGGACGAGGATCGCGTGAGCCAATTCTCCGATAAATGGATTCGATTCATGGCTCTTGGTCTTGGTCTTCTCTTCTTTGGCCGTCAGGAAGAAGTTGATGTCATTTTGGAGACACTCAAGGCCGCAGCTCACCCCATGAGTCGACCAACAGCCATCCTCTGTGAGGTTTGTGCCTGGGCTGGCACGGGAGCCGTGCTGAAAATCCAAGAACTCCTTCATATCTGCAACGACCACATTGATGCGGACTCGGAAGACAAGAAGAGTGATGAACTATTGCAACAGTATGCAGTCCTCGGAATTGCGCTAGTAGCTATGGGTGAGGATGTCGGGCAAGAGATGGTCCTACGTCAATTTGGCCATCTCATGCACTACGGTGAACCCAACATCCGACGTGTAGTACCGCTTGCCATGGGTCTAATTAGCCCTAGCAACCCGCAAATGAAGGTCTACGATACACTGTCTCGGTATAGTCACGATAACGACAACGATGTCGCGATAAACGCAATATTCGCGATGGGTTTACTAGGTGCCGGTACGAACAACGCCAGATTGGCGCAGCTTCTTCGACAACTAGCCAGTTATTATCATCGCGACCAAGAATCACTCTTTATGGTTCGCATCGCGCAGGGTCTATTGCACATGGGCAAAGGCACCATGTCAATTAACCCTTTCCACACAGATCGCCAGATTCTCTCCAGAGTAGCAACTTCTGGTCTACTCTCGATTCTCGTCGCCATGATTGATGCGAAGCAATTTGTCACTTCTAGCTCCCACTACCTGCTCTACTACCTCATCACTGCTATGCATCCCCGTTTCCTTGTCACATTAGATGAGGACCTCAAGCCTTTGACGGTCAACGTTCGCGTTGGTCAAGCTGTCGATGTGGTCGGTCAAGCAGGTCGACCCAAGACAATTACCGGTTGGCAAACACAAAGCACCCCGGTGCTTCTTGCGTATGGTGAGCGAGCGGAGTTGGAAGATGAGGAGTACATAAGTCTAAGCAGTACATTAGAGGGTCTCGTGATCCTTCGTAAGGTAAGCTTTTGGCCCTATATTCGATTTAACTCTTATAAGTAGGTAATTTGAAGCTAATCTTGATGTAGAACCCCGATTGGGAGGATGGAAAATAGATACCTTGAGGACATTGAGAGTCGTCGAGGCTTCCCTCATTACGGAGGTTGAGCTGGACTGGTCGGAGCACGGTTTACAGTTAATAAAAAAACATGTACTATTAAACACAAACAAATGCACTGCTAAGCATCGGAAGTCTAGAGAGCGGACTCGCCTGGTTCTCATGCATTAGATGGTGGAAATTACTCGAGACAATTTGTCCGTGTTTTGACTTAGTATTGCTCCTAATGAACATGGATACACAGGTATCTTTCTTTCTACTGGTGAATTTGTGTAGTATCCATCTAGTTGTCCGTCTACTACTTTCTTGATGGCCTCGCGTTCTTCGCTTTTCGCTGCTCCTTAATCACCCTAGCCTTGCGAATATCATCCGCGCTCTTAATCTCCTTCCTACTGCCAGCACCGTCCTTGTATCGGCCAATCCGCTTCTCCTTAGCCTCGGCCACACGCTTCTTGCGTACATGATAATCATCACGGAACTTATCAGCTTCCTTAGGCGCCTTCTCCTGTTTATGTCTATATCTAACCCCGCCTTCTCCCGGACCCGCGTTATTACCACCACCGCGTTTTTCAAAGTCGCCAACACGTGGTAACCGACCCATGCGTTGGGCGCGTCGCCATTTATCGAAACGACCGCTTTGGAAACTAGCAGCGATTTTGACACCGCTTTCACCGCGTATCATACGTCCACCGCCTTGCGCGCGGGATCCGTCGTCGTCGTTATCTCGTGCGACGTATTTAGCGGCTTTCTTATCCCAACGCATACGCGCGCGTGTCGGGACGCCGAAGTTGTTAGCGCCTTCGTCGTTAGTTAAGTCCATGGCTACGTCGCGCGCTGCTTCGACGAAGTTGCCGCTACCGCCGGTGTTGGAGCCGGAGTGTACGCCGTATCCGCGTTCCTCGGCTGTGTTCACCGTGCGTGGGGTGTATGACATGAAGACTTCGTTATCTTGGTAAGAAGAAAGAGGGTCTGCAGTCTTGGATTTGTTGGAATGGGTGTGGTTCGTTATGGTTACTTCGAGATCCGAGTCGTCGTCTTCGTTTTCGACTTCGTCTTCTTGCTCGTCTACTTCCATTTCGTCCGAGTCGTCGAATACGGCTTCACCGTCTACTTCTTTAGTATCCTCGTTCATGTCTTCGACGTCTGAGTCCTCTTTAGCTGATTTTCTTGGTCCGAAACGCTCGCGTAGGGATTTCATGACTTCAGCGGCCTCGCTTCGGCCCGCCTTGGCTGATCTACCGATTTCGAAGATCGTCTCTTGTGGCTTGAAACCACTAATCTTTGCCAACATTTCGGCGCGGGCGTCCTCGGCATCGCCCAACTCATCACCGAAGATGGGATGTAATTGCGTCCAGCCCTTAGAAGAGACAATTTCTCTAGCTCTTCGAGCACTCTGACTAGAAGCTGAATTCCGTGTCTTTAAATACAGTTTCTCTGCTTTTCCAGCTACTCGACGGAGGGAGCTAATATCTTCACTCTCGCCGAGCACTTTATTAAGCCATTCGACGTTGGTTTCGACTTGACTCCGCACCGGCGCACCGACAGTAACATCCTCTGCGAAGTTTGCGGAATCTTTACCTTCCTTTCCAAGGACAAGCTTTTTGCCTAGAAATAACTGTAGATCGAGAAGGTATGGTGCGTCTGTTTCTCTCACAAGACTGTAACTCCATCCCCTTTGTCCAGCTCTTGCCGTACGACCGACTCGGTGGACGAATACTTTAGGTTGCGGTGGGAAATCGTAATTAATGACGTTGGCGAGAATGGGAATATCGATACCTCTAGCAGCCACGTCTGTGACTACTAGGATATTGGAACGCCCGCGTCTGAAATTTTCGACTTGCTCTTTTCTGGCTGTCTGGTCTAGAGATCCATAGACGTAAGAGACCGCGAATCCCGATTCGCGAAGTAGAGATTGTAGATACTCGACGTGGTGTTTGGTGGCTGTGAAGATAATTGTAGAATGTTCAGTAGGCTTCTCTTTTCTGTGAGTATCTGGACCCCGTTTTCTCTTTTTTGAAGGCTTTTCTGATTCCGGCTCGACGCCTTCAGGTAGTCCTGTGGGCATTTTGATAGTGTCATGTAGGATATGAAGAAGAACGCCTTCTTTCTCAGCTCCCTTTACACTGAAAAAGGCAGACTGAAGGTCTGGGGAGATTTTCGTTTCGGCATCTAATCGAACCAAACTTGGATCTTGTAGACCGGCACGAGCAAATTCGACTAATGAAGCTGGTAAAGTAGCCGAGAAAAGCAAAGTTTGCCTTGATGCGGGCAAAGCGTGTAGAATTTCGGTAAGTTGTGCAGCAAAACCCATTTCGAAAAGTCTGTCCGCCTCATCGAAAACGACGTATTGGATCGAAGATAGGTCTAGGGACATTTCGACCTTCAGATGTAAGAATCGACCGGGAGTAGCAATAACGATATCGGGGTTTGACGTCATGGAGCTGAATTGTTCCTCCAAGCTGTCACCACCAACAAGAAGTACGCACTTCAGATCCGTCCCACGACCAAACTCCTTCACAACCTTCAGAGTCTGTATAGCAAGTTCTCGAGACGGCGAAAGAATCAGCGCTCTTGATCCAACTGTGGCGCTATGGGCCCTTAAGCGCTCTATCATGGGTATAACGAATGCAGCGGTCTTTCCCGAACCTGTCCTCGCCATACCGACTACGTCTCTCCTCTGCATGACCAAAGGTATAGCTTTGCGCTGGATAGGGGTGGGGACCGAAAATCCCTTTCTCGTAATCGCTCGTAGTAGGTTCGCATTAAGCCCTAAAATTGTCCTCACATGTTAGAAAATTGGAGGTCTCAATATCGAAGTTCGTTTAATACTAACCCATAGCTTGAAAGCCGCCACCTTTCTTAACAGATTTCCCTTTCAAGTTTCCAGTTTTTCTGAATGAGGCTGCCTGTTTAAGAGCAATGAATGCCTCATCACCATCGTCGTCGTCGTCGTCCCCACCATCCAGAAAGTCGAAGTCAAGATCATTCTGCGCAGCGTTTTTGCCCTTTTTCGCATCTGGCGCTCCAATGTCGCCAGTGAACAGAGAGCCTAAGATGTCAACTTCGTTTTCAGACGGCGTCGGCGACACCGCGCGAGACGGCATTTTCCCGTTATTCGATATGCAAGCTTTAAATTCGCATAGAATGAATAGCAAAATCTTAATTGCTTGACCAAAATGCGGTTTACAGTAGTAATAGGTAACTATCGTGGGGCTTCAAGATCGAGAACTTTTTTAAAAAGTTCCCGGACCCTTGCAATCCTTATCGGCGCGCTACTGTGCGATAAGAGTTATAGACCCACTTAGTTTGTACGACGTTCCAGGCCTTGGAAGTACTTAGGTACACCCCCAATCTACTTCCTATCGCATCTCGTTATCTCGCCCCCCCGATCATCTTCCATTCCATACATCATACACTCTCTCCAGTCCTCGGTGACTTCAATTCCCCTTGTCACATTCTTATTCGTCATACTTGAGCTTTCAAGATGGCGTCTAAAGAAGAGAATGTTGTTGAGGATAAGGATGCGCTTGACGCGCTCGAGGCAGAATCTAAGGAGTTCGATAAGGCAAGCTGAAGTCCGATCCTCGGTTATGATCCGTATACTAACACAATTCGGCGTAGGATGCCGAGATCGATCGTATCTTGAAGGCTTTCCGATTAGATGCGTAAGTTTTACCGTTCCAATTCTCCTTTAAGAAGGCTCCAGTTCTGACTTCATCACAGGTATGCGGTTCTAGATCTAAACCCGGGTGTCCCCGAATCCGACATTAAGATAACGTACCGCAAGAAGTCGCTACTCATCCATCCTGATAAAACGAAGAACCCACAGGCTCCTGAGGCCTTCGACCGACTGAAGAAGGCGCAAACCGAATTGATGGACGAGAAACACCGAGAACGATTAGACGAGGCTATCGCAGATGCGCGCATGCTCTTGATTCGGGAGAACAAGTGGACGGTTGACAGCCCGGAGCTGAAAACAGAGAAATTTGCCAAAGAATGGCGCGACAAGACCCGCGAGGTTCTTATCGACAACGAAATGCGACGTAAACGCCAGGTGAAGGCCCAGATGCAGGAGGAAGGCCGCGAGCAACGTCGAGCCGACCAGGAGGTCGAGGAGCGCAAGCGCAAGAGACAGCACGAACAAGACTGGGAAAGCACCCGTGACCAGCGCATCGATAGCTGGCGTCAGTTCCAGAAGTCCAAGTCCGGCGACGACAAGAAGAAAAAGAAGAAGTTGAAGCCGATCGGTTAAGAGAGCGAGGGATTTGAATTACTTTTTATTATTATTTTTTATCGCTATTACAGGGCACAGTAACATAAGGGCGGCTGGAGGCGATGGAAATTTGCTTACACACAGGGAACCGCGTGGCTCGTCAAATTACCTATAATTCCAGAAGACGAATGATGAGTGATGGAACGACTACACTATGGGCTACGACGTGAGTTCAATTGATAGATCGAAAAATCTATGAGCCTAACTCCCTTAGTGACATTAATACCCGAGTTTGTCGTTACCAACGCGGTCGAGGTCCTCCATTCTGGCCTGTTATCCGTGTCCTTGTATATCAGCAAGGGCAAAATATCGAGGTGAGTCTGCATGTGCTCCTGTGCATTTCCACAGTTCGTGATGACTGCATGCAGCAGAGCTCCAACGTAGCAAGGCAGCAGGGAGAACCGCTCTTGCCGCCGAATTCGACAGCCACAATTCCATCCAGGAATCCCATCCTCATATCGTAGATATGTGTGCCTTCCTATCTTCATATCAATTAAGATCGTAGCTCTCTAGACCTCCCTTATTCTATTTACGGTTTGTGTTTCTGCTTGTATTGGATGAATCTGGAAAGATTCAAGTACGCCTCTTCAGCACGCACGCGCAATTCCGCAAACTTTCTCTTGTCAATCGTTTTCACCATAGCCTTCACTTTCGGTGCAACTTCTTCGAAATGCTGTAAGAAGTTATCCTTCCAAAAGATCTCCTTATCCCACTCCTTACTCTCATCGCCATAGATGTCGAATAGCTGGTTTAAAGCTTCCACGACATCAGCAGCAGGTGTCTCGGGCAATCCTTTCACGATCGTGATGAGGAAGACACCGATTTCTCGATTCAAGGCAATCGGTGCCGCAAGCGCATATTGTCCCAAAACTCCGATACATTTAACCCCCAGGTTCTGCAACGGATCTTCTTCCTCGGAGTTAAGGGTCTTCGATGCGTGGTAGAGTGATATGAATTTCTTATGCTCCTCTCCGCTTAGAGTTGTCCCTCTATGCAATGTTCTCGAAAGGGCCCACGCAAGACTGGTTACTATTCTCGCCAAATCAACGTCGGATGTGTCGCTCGATAATATCGGAGCTACTACCCGGCTCCAAATTGTCTGCGCTACCGGAGTCCAAGCTCGCAGTATCTCCGCACTCGACCCATCGCTAAAATCGATGCAACTCACGGACCAGGAAATATTGTTCAGGGATGTTAGACTGTGTGTGCGAATCATCTCTGAAATCTCGTCGTTTCCGGCAGACTGGAAGAGTTTCGTGATCTGCGGGATTGCCGTCTGCATAAGCTCCCTTAAGGTGGGGAGATCATCGACACCCTCGACCTCATCGCCGTGATCGTCACCAGTGACCATCTCTAGGTCCGCCTCTATTTCATCTTGATTCATCTCATCATCCTCTCCAGCTAAATCCTCATCGGAAAGCTGTTCGTCGTCATCCGCATCCATAGCATCATCTTTGTCGTGGTCTTTTCGCCCTCTTTCCCTTGAGCGGCTACCTTTTATCAAGGTCTCTTGAAGCATCGTACCAATAGATGCTAAGGTCTCCAGAGCTAATTGCAAAATCTCTGCCGAGTTTGTTGAGTTATCGCCGTTTGTCGCGTTTCCCTTAGGTTGGGTATTTTCGAGAGCTCGAGAAAGCGAGGGAACGAGAACTGCATCGCAGGCACCATCTTTTCCAGGGGTGTTGTCATTCCATTGCGCTACAGCAAAGACGTTATGCAATACAGCGCAAGCCAGGACCGACTTATAGTCATCGCCATTCTTGAACGTGATAAGTTGCTTGTAAACCTTAGTGGCATTATCGGCAAGAATAATTTCCGCAAAATGCTTGTTGTCCTCAGACAGTGTGATCATACACGACAAGGCACTACTTAAAGTTGGCGCAGTCGTGGAATTATCGGTTATGAGTGTGAAGAGAAATCGAACTATTTGCTCATTTCGCACCGCAGCTTCCAGGGCTTCATCCTGGGCCACAGCTACGGCTGATAGTATGACTGATAGTGATTCTGCAATACTCCAATTAAAACTCTGCTCAGCTTTTGTGGTTTTGCTGAAGGCAGGATTTCTAGACGTAATAGTATTCGTTACCTAAAAACACGATGAGTTATGGGCAATGGGTATGAAAACGTGAATATGAATTTGTGTTCACCTTCTCACAAGCATGCTGAATAGCAGTTAGGACGTCGATTCGGTATAAATGCACACAAAAATCAACCTCTTCCTCATCTGTGAGGACACGGAGAATTTCCCATCCAGCAGCCCGACTCTCCAAACTGGCATCAGTCAGAGTCTCGTCGAGAAGAATATGAACAACCTTTTCTCGTAGAAGTAATTTTCGGCATTTTGTGTCGTGTATTATGTTGGCGATAGCTGCTGCGGCAGAGGCTCGAGATTTTGGCTCAGAGCTTTGGAGGTCCTTAATGACGGGCAAGATGCTCTTTTCTCTTATCGCAGCTAACTCCGGGTCTGAGGGTGGCTTTGCTGGTTTGGCAATCGGATCGGTGCGCTTGCCGCCCTTGGCTCTGTTCCGGCGAGATTTGCCCATGGTGAAAAATTAACGATCGAATAAAATTTGAAGTAGCGCAATATCCTAGATTAGCAAATATTCAGATTCCAGCATATGAATTTCAATCTCAATATGCTGATAAATGAATGAGACGAATTCTCACTAATATGTGTTTGAAGATTCAAGATTCGTTCTTAGCCTTCCGATATAAAAATTTTGTAACGATTTGTGTACTGTAACTGTACCTAAAATAATAAGGCTTAATGTACCCCACCACTGTGCTCTAGAGGCTTTGGTGGGGTCGATCTACCCACCCTGTCGCATATTAAGACTCCGCTTGTAGGACCTAAGCATCTGGCCAAAATAGCTTCGAAATTTATGAACTTTTCTCTTAACAGCTTCAAAGTAAACAGTTAATAAGATTTTACTATATATTAAGCCAGAATAAATAAAGAATATCTTTAATTGGAGTGTCTATAATCTTAATTAATATTCGATACTTTCCTGAAAATTTTTAAGATTTTCAGCACTTTTTCACCATCCAATTACAACATAATCATTTGTTACCCAAGGAAAACTACCCTTATTTTAGCGTTGGTCTAAAGGTAGGTACTAGCTAATAGGTACTGGGTACCGTCATCGCGTGCTATGAAATGCGGCGCATCTGCTCCATTTGATTGATTCGGGGAAGCACCTACCCATGCAACATAACACGTTTTCTTGTACCTGCCTTACGAACAGTAACATATTACTTCCCTGTGACGACTTGCTTAATACATGTATATATAGGGAAGTGGTGACCCGAGCTCGAGCCGCGTATTAACATCTGGATCGTCGCTTCCAGAGCTTCATCGTCCACTCAGCCCCAAACTTCCGTAGTGGGACCTCGATTCAACTCGATCCGACCTTATTAAACTTACTACCTTTATACACCTAAATCAAATAGCTACGATTCCCTCCACGAAGCTTTTGTTTAATACCAATCTCAGTTTTGAGATGCAGCTTTCAAAGTCTCCATCCGTTCCGACCACCGCGCTGTGATACATCCTCGACCCTCTCTACCTTGCTCGTTTCTATCCACTTCGCCCACTGTTAAGGCCCGTGCTGGAGCTCTGATATTGGATGTCTACATGGGGGAAGATGCGAGGCTTTTTTCTAAGTGACGAGGAGCTGGGCAAGAAGAATGACGACCACAAGTCCTTTAAGAATGGCGCCGCCACCGGCTTGCGACAGCCAAATTGGCATCCTGCTCGAGTCCCTCCGCGACGATCGATTAAACGTATAGGTGTTGTGCTAGGTGTAGTTTTGCTTTTATATCTCTTCGTGAAGAATATACCGGTTCTCGGACCCAATACGCAGATGCGCCGACCTAGTTATTCGTATCCCGATCTCGCCGCGAACATTCCTAGACGCCCCTCGTTCGAGCGACCGCAACCCGCCCCGTCGAAACAACGTGGGAAGTCGTCGAAGATACCAGAACACTCCTTCAATGGACCCGTTAGGTTCCTAGACTTGGCTCCGTCGTTACATGGTATTAGCGGCACGCGGGGAAATATGATGGTCAATAGGAACGTCCTCTTTACAGCATCTAGTTTGAGGAGCGCGGCGACGCTATTACCGATCGCGTGCCAGATGGGAAGCGAATTGAAGAATTATGTGCATTTTGCCTTGATGAGTCGGAGCGATATCGACATACGGGAGTTGCGAAAAGTCAATGGCATTGACGAGTCCTGCCAAATTATATTCCACGGTACGCGGTCAAGACAAACAAGGCGACACAAGTGGGTGCTGACATTATTATAAGATGCGCGTCCCGACTATGCGCCAATATCAACAGATGATCGAATGGAAAATGCCGTGTTTCGTGCATTTCGTGCGTATTTATATATCCCTCGCGTGGTGGATCCAATCGCTTATGTCTATCAGATCATATTTACAACTATATGCACCCTCAAGCTATTTTAGTCGATGGCTCAAACGATGAAGAACCATTCTTCCTTCGAGCTGCACGGCAGCATTCGGAGGTGAAGAAGAACACGTTAATTGAACTACCATATAGGCCCGCGAAGAGGCTTGAGTGGCTAACAAAGCTAGACAGCCAGGCGCTGCACAGTAAGATAGTTCGTTTCTTAATTACGACCAATTTTACTAACCAAATGTTCAAGTGTGGAATAAAAATCACATTGATATCCTTATTCATGCAGTACCAGGAGCTTCGGGGAGCTTGATTAGACTCCTCAGATCTCTCAGTGCTGCAGACTACACTTCCAGCTCCATCCCCCATCTCACCATTGAGCTCCCTCGTGATATTGATCCTCCAACTAAATATTTCCTCGAAACATTTACGTGGCCGCCCGCCCACATCAGTAATCCAACTAATGCGCATCTTCTCTCCCTCCGGCATCGTATCCCTCATCAGAAAATGGGCGAAGAGGATAGCTCCGCCCGTTTTCTTGAGTCGTTTTGGCCAGCTCAGCCGGCGCACTCACACATATTAGTACTTTCCCCACAAGTAGAACTATCACCGGATTTCTTCCATTGTAAGCAGTGCCCTCTTCATAACTTGTCGGTCGTGTTTGTGAATTAACTTGTGCAGACCTTAAATATGCGCTTTTAGAATACAGATACTCCGCACTTTCCACATACCGACATTGGGATCGTCGGCTATTTGGTATCAGTCTTGAACAACCACTCCAATTGCTAGATGGGGAAGAGGCATTATCCCTACCATCGCTTCTCAGGAGCAGTGATCCCGACGACACGGATGGCGATGAAATTTCTACCTCATTCCTGTGGCAAGCACCCAGCAGCAACGCAGTCCTTTTTCTAGGCGAAAAGTGGATGGAGCTCCACGATTTCGTCTCCAGATCATTAGAGGCCAAGCAAGAATTAGAGCCCTCCCCGGCACTTCTCTCGGAAAAGGTCGTTAGTACGCAATATCCATCTTGGCTGGAACACGCCTTAAGATTAGCGAGAGCGCGTGGCTATTGGATGTTGTATCCGGGCAAGGATACCGCTGAGAACCTGGCGACGGTTCATAGCGAACTTAATCATATGCCTGAGGAATATGCGACTCGAGAAAATTCGAGGACAGTATTGGCGGACGATGCCAGCGAAGAGGAAATAGAAAACGTTAGGCAGAAGATACGGGCAGGCGTGGAGATACCTCTGGCCCCAGTGTCTCTTCTTGATAGCCTTCCCAACAATGGGAACCTCCGACCGTTTGGCGATCTACCGATAGTGTCATGGGATGGTCAACCGGTGGATTTCGAAGAGTTAACCGCCTTCTCTGAGAAGTATTCAGCGGAGTTCAAACAAAAGGTCGGTAGCTGTACGGAATCCGAGGATGACCAGAAGCAGAGGGAGAGCTTTTCGACACAAGATCTGTTCTGCTTGACGGATTGAAAGCTCGAATAACCCTAACTATAATAAGCTTCGATAAACCTTGGGGTCATTGCGGTCGTGAAACTGGGGGAAACCGGTCTTTAATGGTGGAGTTTGGCGCATCCGGGTCGGGATACGTCGTATATATATCATCAAATTTATTGAATGAGACCATGTACATATTATGACGTCCAAATCAGCTTCGTGAGCGCGACGTTGAAATCGAAAATATTGTGATCATTCATCGGCTTGCATTTTCTCTATTACCAGTAGAATCACGCATGTACCAACGATGGATAATGCTATAAGCGACATGACCTTCATATTCTGTCAATTGAGGATCTACATAAGAGGCGGACTGCGCGAAAGTACTTACCGATTGTGTTCTCCAGCCCGTCTGAACTATAGCCACTTTTCTACTATACTTATCCAAAGTTTCTACACTAAGGTTAGTTGCGCGTCTGTGTTTCACTGTCGAAGGGAGGAAGACGAACTTATATAGTTGCCGAATCCAAGCACTAAACAGGATAGAGATAGTAGCCAGAAGATAATGCCAAGAGGCTGGGCCATGCGCAATTCCAGATCAGAGGGCTGCGTCTTGAGATGAAAGGATAATACAATGGCTATAGCGACAACAGCCATGTAGACGGAGAGCCGGAGGTAGGAGAGGAAGGCTGGGAATCTGTTAGCTCATTTGTCTCATTTTCTTGCCCCTTTTTCTCTTCTTTTTTTTCTTCATTCTCTTTTCTTGTTTTCGTATTTGCAAGGAGTTGGAGGTTGTCTTTCGGGCTTGATGTGGCGGTATAATGCAATAAGAAAATGATAACTCACTTCGTTCGTTTGCGCAGTGATCGCGTGCGTCGGAACTTTCATTTTCAACGAGAAGCGGCCCGAGGACGGGCCATGACCAGAAAACGTTGGTGGAGGTGGCGATGGATGCCGAATCCCCTACCACTACTGGCTGTCTCAGTTCTGGAAATGGAAGAGTGCCGCAGCATGAATTTGATGATGCTGGATTGTCCTCCGGGTCAGTTTGAGCTGTTGGCATTTTTTATGTTATACTTGAGAACTATTCAATTCTTAACCACCAAAAATTGTATAACAATACAATTGATTACATAAGACAGCAATACTCTATCATATTTAAAGTTATGATAAACATGCAGTATCTTGCTTTTCTTTGCGTGTTCGCGTCGTACTAAAATGTCGTAATAGCTTAGAGGTTAAATCGGAGAGGTCGGGTTGGAATGTGGCACGAGCCAATAGGAGTGGAGAGACATAATCTCGGGATTGAAACTGCGAATTGAAACTTACCTAGGTACATATTCCCCCGCTTTATCTTACACTGACTTGAACTATCTCAACTATTATCCAATATACATGCACGTTCTATCACGTCTATCGCCGATCTTCTATCTCACTCGAATTGTTACCTACTTAGGTATGTAGTTCCTATCTATATGTACGGTATGTAAGGCTAGGCCGAGACGAGACAAATGGCGGCGACTCACGATGGTAAACTCCGGTGACGGCCAGAAAAAAGCGGAAGCGGGGCGTATCCCCAGTCGGTTACCGCAGGTTTCGACCGCCTGCAAAATTGGATCGTTACCTAAGGTACCTAGGTAAAGACTGGAGCTCTTGTCAGCCTGTTTTAAGAAATTCAAGGTGAATGATCTCCTAGTGTAATCGACTTTCTAATGGTCTATCGCCTCTCTTAGTCTAACTTAATAATGATATCTCTTTGACATCAACTAAATCCTCTATTCTTAGAGGTTTGATAATCTCAAAGTTTATGAGTCCTATGGCTTGAAGGCTTGAACTTTGCTCTTGCTGCTTATATATTCGCATTACCACCGAACCTGTTATCTTTTTCTATCAAGTGTGTAACCAGGGAATTTCATATTTTAAAGTTATATATAGGACCGCGACAATGTCTAGTTCGACACCAATTCCGCATAAGAAAAAGGGGCTGGATATTGCTTCATCCTTCAGATCCGCCTCACCTATAGCGCAAGAGATATTAGCGAGGGACATCGCCGAATGCTCCGAAGATGAAGCAGCCGAGGATGTGTTCGATGACGACGATGAGTCTGGTTCCGGGTCTGGATCCGAAAGTGGGCCAGTGTTGTACCAACGACCTACTGGTGTGGCTTTTGGTTACAGGCGGCCAAGCTTAGTAACCGATCAAGTGAACGGTCCCATTCTCACGAAGGTTGAGAAGAAACAGTCCCGCGATGCTGAACGCAGCTTGTTAAGGGATAATCACATACTTCCGCCGAAGCACGCTCCAGAAAAGAAACCTAGGGTTTTGACGAGACTCTACAAGGCCTTGTTTAGTACCAAGGTACCTAGAGCGCCAGAGGATGAGGAAGTTCCAAGGATCACGGTTCAGCCATCGGAGACCTCGCCTCTACTCCCCGGTAGCACTGAATCACCAGACTCGCCTCATGAACACTTGAATGAACAATGGGACGCCGCCGTAGCCTCGGGAATAATAGAGACTACGTGGCAGAGAGAAACGAAGACAATTACGATCTACTCCCGGTCTCTTATCTTAACATTCTTATTGCAATATAGTATTAATATTGCTAGTATATTCGCCGTCGGACGGATAGGAAAGGTAGAACTAGGCGCCGTTAGCTGTAAGTTAGAGAAGCTACCTCGCCGGTTCTGGTTCTTTACTAATTGAACATAGTGGCTACCATGACAGCAAATATCTTGTGCTACGCTCCGATGCAAGGCCTAGCCACAAGTCTGGACACACTCTGCGCACAAGCCTATGGCTCGGGACACAAGCATCTAGTTGGCTTGCAACTCCAACGAATGACGTATTTCTTGTGGACGCTTGTCATACCAGTCGCTGTACTGTTTTTCTTTGCCAAGGATATACTGCTTCACATTGTCCCCGATCCGTTGTCCGCCGAATTTGCGGGTCTTTACCTAAAAGTTATCATCGCAGGTATACCAGGTTTCGCTGCATTTGAGGCAGGCAAGCGATTCGTCCAGTCGCAGGGCCTATTCATTGCGACGACTTACGTCTTGTTAATTGCCGCCCCTTTGAACATATTTATCAATTGGTTTCTGGTTTGGCATGTAGGATGGGGCTTCATCGGTGCCCCCATTTCCGTCGCTATAACGCAAACATTGATGCCTATACTATTGCTCTCGTATGTGCTATTTGTGGACGGATCACAATGCTGGGGAGGTTTCACACCGCGTGCTCTTACAAACTGGGGTCCTATGATTCGATTGGCGTTACCGGGAATGGTGATGGTTATGGCCGAGTGGCTTGCTTTTGAAATCCTCACATTGGTTACGAGTCAGTTCGGAACGTCGTACCTGGCGGCTCAGAGCATTCTCGTTACATTGACGTCAACGACTTTTATGATTCCCTTCCCCGTGTCTATTGCTGCGTCTACACGGGTTGCCAATTTAATAGGGGCGAGATTAATAAATGCTGCCAAGACGTCAGCCAAAGTTGTAAGTGAAGCGCTATTTACTAACTTCCGAAGTAACAGCTAACAATATTCTAGGCGTTCTGGGCAGGATGTATTATTGGATTGTTTAACCTGGTTTTATTGTCTAGTCTCCGCTACCAACTCCCTCTCCTCTTCACACAAGACGAAGAGGTGATCGCGATTGTGGCGAAAGTTATGCCGCTTGTTGCGGTCATGCAGGTTTTCGACGCGATGGCTGCAGTGGCCCATGGATTGCTTCGTGGCATCGGAAAGCAGTCTTTTGGAGGTTACGCAAACTTGTCGATCTACTATCTAATTGCGTTGCCGATCTCATTCGCAACTGCATTCGCACTGGATTGGAAACTTACCGGTCTATGGTTAGGAACTACTATTGGGCTCGCCTTGTAAGTTAGGCCCGAATCTTCTAGAAACCCCTCACGGGCAATCGCACGGGAATGTTGCTAACGGTTATGAACGGTAGGGTCGGCGCGGTGGAATATTGGTACACATACATCTCGGACTGGGAACAGTCAGCTCGGGACGCGGAAAACCGGAATGCAGCTGGTTAACGAATATTATGGGATTGTTATGAGAGTTGGTCAGACGATGATAATGTTTGTATTCGGTTTTGAACAACAGTGTAAGCTGTCATACTGCGCGATTTCTTCATGGTGTATACACTACGGGTATATGCTGAGTCGAACATATGTCTCCGATCTCACACCGAATCATTTATTGGGGGTGACATGAGCGACGACTTATCAGCCGGCCACCTATGCAATATTCAAGTAATACGGTGATACAAAGAAGGATACCTAGGTATTGGTGACATTGACGACATTGGTGATAGGCGATACTTCTTGGCTGGTTCCCTGGCTTGTAGGGATAATAGCATGCACAGTATCCGAACAAATCTGTATCTTCCAACCTTATATAAATTAAAATGGTAGATTGATTGGATTTCAACATGGATCTTGCACCTATAAGTGAGGCTAATCCGCTATCGATAGGAAATGAATGGTCGGTCGTGAATTGATTTAATTAAATATAAATCGCCAGATGGTCCGTGCGTCACTAGTACTACGACCCCTAAATTCCTTCCCCCCCTGCCCCCACTGAACAGGAGGGACAGAAAAGAAAGGGACAGGGTCCAGAATTACTCGGGTATCGTTATCGAAACTTTGAATTGGAACCTTAGTTGGAACCTTAGCGGCCCGCCGATTTTATCAGGCTGATTTATCAATCCGTCCCGCCTTATTTGCCCCTCTCCCTTTTCTAGTAGAACAAATACAAACATTAAGATTCGATACTTATATCCATTACACAAGGACAGCGTAGTCAGTCATTCAGCCTAGCCAATTAGTCTAGTCACAATGTCTACTACCACAACGGTAACACAAACCATCCCGACGGCGGAAACTCTCCTTCGCCTGTTTCCCGACATCGACACCAGTTCCGCCGAACTCGAAGGTCACGATGCCGAGCAAATTCGTCTTATGGACGAGGTCTGTATCGTTCTAGATAACGATGACAACCCAATTGGAACCGCGAGCAAAAAGCTCTGTACGTAGAGATTCGAGCGCGACGAATAGAGTCATGTCTGACTTTGATAGGCCATCTGATGACCAACATCGACAAGGGGTTACTACACCGAGCTTTTTCCTGCTTCCTATTTGACGACCAAAACCGATTGCTTCTTCAGCAGCGCGCCACTGAGAAGATTACCTTCCCCGATATGTGGACAAACACATGCTGCTCGCACCCCTTGGGTATCCCGACCGAGACCGGTTCCAACTTGCCCGACTCGATCGCAGGTGTCAAGAACGCGGCGCAGCGAAAACTTGACCACGAACTAGGCATTAAGAAGGAACAAGTTCCAATTGAAGACTTCCACTTCTTAACGCGAATTCATTACAAGGCGCCTAGCGATGGTAAATGGGGCGAGCATGAGAGTAAGCGCAAACCTCATAAAATCAGGCGATGTGGCGAAAGTGCTGATTATTGCGAACAGTTGACTATATTCTATTCATCAAAGCGAATGTCGACCTAAATGTCAATCCTAACGAAGTACGCGACACGAAATACGTTACCGCTGACGAGCTCAAAGCTCTCTTTAAAGACCCGACACTAAAATTCACACCGTGGTTTAAGCTCATTTGCGAATCGATGCTCTTTGAATGGTGGGAGAATCTAGACTCTGGCCTTGAGAAGTACAGCAACGAACAAGGGATTAGACGTATGTAAATTTGGGACTAAATATATTAGAGGAGGGGAAAGGTATCTTTTCTTTCTTATTATTTGAAGAGAAAATGCAAAAAGAGGGGATAAAAACAGTATACCTACCACTTATACCATTGGCGGCTTGCACTGCATATTTCGAGAGACATACATATTCCTTACGCCTTCACAAGGTAGACGATCATCACAGCGCTAGTTTGCTTCGTTTCAACAATGCAAGCTCACGAATTACTACATCCAATCATTGCCAACCAATACGTACTTAGCCTGCCTATCCATATACCCGGACCACAAGCAATCCGACCGGTCCGGATCTGAACAGATAAGAATTAAAATGCGTGTGTAACTGGGCGATGATTCAGAAACAGAAACACAGACATATCCGATTGAAATGGTTTGTGGTTGTTAGATTCCAGCCCAAGCTTGCGGTTACTTCTTCCGGGGAATAAACTACTAAGGACCGCAACCCCACGCCCGGTCCGGGGCAACCCTGCAATGAAACAGTAATGCCTGACCGAGAAGGGTTTACGGGGCTTATGGTGGCCGGGTCGAAGGATTGGGCTGGCAGGTTGGTTGGTTGGCTGACTGTCCACCCGCCCGCCTCAAGCGCAACATCCAGTGGTAAGTGAAGGGAAAGGGATGATCAAATAATGTAAGTTGTGTAATGTATGTGTGAGTACATAGATAGCAGATCCGGGTCTCCGAACTGGAACTGGGAACTGCTAATCCTTAGGCAGACCGATGTCGTTAAAGCGAAATTGTCAGGTGACAGTGTAAGTAAGCTGCAGCCAGTGCTCCTAGGGAATGGGAAAAAGCAAGCTTCTAGTGGAGAGATTGCGTATGTGATAAGGTAGGATCGGTAGGCACTACAGCTAGCATTGCACCCGTTTAGAACGAGGTATTATTAACAGCCAGAAGTTAGAAATTGACGAAAAGACGAGAGCGATACGGGGGGCATATTCAATCCAATAACCAAGCTCATCCCCCACCTTTGGACAACAAGGACTGACCAAGACTGACCAGGACTTACACCACACTTACATAGTACACCACTTATACCGAACACAAACACGAGCACAGACTTAGAGCTACACACATCATACCTACGCCCAACCCACACACCTGTACGGGACCTTCACCACATACCAATAGGCTACCCTCCAACCCCTCCTCCGCACACCACCTCTTGTGCACGAGACTGGCACACAATGTATGCAGTCAAACCTGGCAACTCGAAATTCCAAGTTGTTGGGTCTTGGGTCGGACGCACTGTGACTGCGACGACTGCGAAACCAAGAAGCAGAATATAGTAAAAATATAGTGCCCAGACGGCCGTTGCCGTTATCCGCTTCGTACCGAGCCAACCAATGAACCAATCAACACCACCGATATGAGACCTTCGTCCCTCTTGTCTCTCTATTGCTACGTAGTACGTAGTAGTCCACGAGGGGCATGGATAGGGATAGACGGCTTTAGACAGGATCGATAGTATGGTATAGTGTCATACATATCGATCCCTACTAGATGGTTGGCTGCTTCTGCCGTGCCGTGCCTCTCTGAGGCTCCCTCAGCTTACCATCTACTATTCAGGCTCTCTGCATTTCATCCCACGCAACGCTCCCTTGGCTCTTCGCCTCACCCGAATAATTCTACACTGTGCTTTGTACACCAGGGCTTGCCATTTTTTAAGGGTCCCCCCCAGACCTCTCAGAACGCTAAACCTTTCTTCCTTTCGCTTCTTCTTCACTCAACCTAAGAAAAGATACTTGGTTGCAACAAGTCACTTTCGAGGTTAAGCAGACAAGACACAACACCAGCTATACACACATCCATTCTTACACTTACTATAACAAACTATCCCTTCTTACGGGATTAGTATCGTTAGTTAAGTTACTTACGCAAATACAACAGCATCTATTTTCTTGCTACCAACTGCACATTATCGCTTCAACCACAACACAATTTCATCAACTGCCAGACTCTGGGGTTCTTCATCTTCTTTCCCCCGTGACGTCGCTTGTTGTCTGAATCCCATTCAACACACCTCACTTTCTAAGAACGTCACCCTCGTCAACCAACATTGATGTCTGTTGACCTTCGCACGAGTCTCAATTGCCTAGCTCATCCCGCGAGATTTATGCCTATCTCCAGAACTCAATTATCTAGAGTCCACACTGGAGATAGTATACAAGATATATCAAATAGTAATAATTATTAAAGTGAGTGGTCCTACCCACTCAGTACTAAGAACTGATCTACCTCTCATCTACTTGTTATTTCCCTATCCAACTATGAGAAACGTCATGACTAACATGGCTTGCTTTGTTCGTAGCGACAAAAAGGTCTGAGTAGAAAGCCACCCAACATGGAGCACGTAAGCAACAGTGTTTCCCTTGTTGAGCTGAAGAAGCGTTCTCTCATTCCCCGACAATGGGAGGGCCAAGTCCGTGCTATAGGGATATCGGAGTACAAAGAAGCAGCGCTGTCTCTAGCGCAGGCCTTTGCTACTGATGAACTGGCACAGTACCTCCTCGATTCGGACGACATGGTCGGTTGCGACGACGAAACTAAGTGGAGACTCCACGTCGATATCTTCAATTACATCGTCGCCGCCCACTGCTACAGGGGCATCGTGACCACCATCGGGCCGGATTACGAGGGCGTGGCGCTCTGGTGAGTTTGCCTGCCTGCCTACCATCACCAATACCCGCCCACCCACATCAAGAGGAGCCGCCCGGGAAAAAGAGATAAACTAGGGCGCCGGGCTACGTATATTTACGGACGAGATGTATACGAACATACGGGATACTACGTGGCCCTCACCTCGGGTTTTGCTATTTTCCCGGGGCTTAACTTGGTTAACACATAGACATACAGAACCAACCTATATGAACCGCTCCCTGAAATATTACAAAGCTGTCTACTAACATTTGATTTCTTTTTTCCCGAGATATAGGATGCCGCCGGGTCAAGAAATGGATGACTGGTTGACCACCATCCGCAGTGGTATGTGGAGACTCTACTATCAACTGTCCGCCGAGGGCCGCAGGCGCTACTACCAGGAGCTTATGCCGGTGCTCCACAACACGAAGCAAGAGATCATGGGCGATAGGGATAACGACTGCTACTACCTGGTCTACCTGGGCACCAAGCCAGCCGGCCAGCGTAGGGGCTACGCGAGGAAGCTCATTGATCAAATGGCTGCTAAGGTACGTAGCTACATATGTATCCTCACGTGAGCGACATGTGGGATAGGGGGGAGTGAATGATATCAGGGGACCTAACCAATCCCTTTTCATGATACAACCTCACCCACCTCTAGCTCCACAGTCCCTCATAACCTAACTACGCATTTACATATACTGAATCTACCTAGGCCGATGCCGAGGGCCGAGCCATGTACCTCGAGTCGAGCTCGCTGAAGAACAACTCGTACTACAAGAAGTTCGGGTTCGAGATCAAGAAGGACGTCTACCTCGGCGCCGACAGCAAGTCCCCCGTCCGCTTGACCTGCATGGTCCGTGAGCCCCAGAAGCTGCCCAAGTCGATCCCCATCAAGCTCCACGGCGGTGCTTCTGCCGGGTTCAAGAAGATGTAAGGATCGACTTTGATTGATTGATTGACTGATGAGATGCTTTTGTGGATGTGTGCTGCTGACTGTCGTTTTTTTTTTTTTTTTTTGCTGGTGTTGATGTTGATGTCATTTGATTTTGCTGCGATGTTATTGCTGATGATGAAGATGAAGAAAGCGAGGAAGATGAGCTGGTGAGCGATGACAAGATTGCTTTTTGCGATTTGAAATTGCTCGATATGGTTGAAAAGCCAGAATGGCTCGTCTTTCTGCTTTCCTTACCTTTGCTCTCATTTTGGTTGAATTTTGGTTGTTGCTTGCTTATCGCTCTACTGCTATCACTTCAACAGGATACTTACGGGCTAGCTAGCTCTGGTTATACTTCTTCACGCTCGTTTCTCCTCTTTACATCATTACTTGGTTAGGACATCCCTCTTTTTAACACCGCGGGGCCTATATGACTTGTGATGATGCTTTACTGCAGCCGCATGTCTCTTAGGACTCGTCTGGTTGTATCTTGGTTTGAGACGTTACGAATCACTCCTCGAAGAAGTTAGGGGCGTTCGTTATGAATTACGGGTGCTCATTTTAGGTATCATTAGTCAATCATTCCGTATCTAGGTAGATAGCCCCGATTCAGGCCATTCATTTTACTCGTATGTCCCATTCTTGAGTGTGAAATCCTCGTAGTTCCCATCCTGTGCCTGATATTTATCATCCCATCAACGCCAAGACGTGACAAGTAACAACGGCTCCGTGCTAGCGAGTAGCAAGCGTGTATTTTTACTTCGTATAGCGAAACGTATATGCCCCTAGAAACCTTCTAGAATGGCGAATGTCTCGTCGTCGAGAGTAGTATAGATCTTGCCGTTACCGAGCAGCTCCTCAGCGGCGGCCATAACGTCCTGAACAGTCATGCCGGTATCTTTGGCTATGACGTGCAGATTTGTACCCTCGTTGCTCTTAGATTGGTTGAGGTAGTTGTACATCTTCTTCGCACGCGCCGAAGCACCTCGCAGGAACGCGGCATCGTTATTCTCCACGAACATGCTGTCATCCTCAGCCGCGTTTCCGTCTCCGCCACCGCCACCGCCACCAGTCGCTACCCCGCCTCGCGTGAAGAATAGGTGGACGTAAGTTGCTTCTAGCAAGTGGTAATTGACCTCATTGAAATCGGTGACGGGCTTAATGACGTGGGCGCCCACATGTCGTTTATTCCCAAAACTCTTCAAACGGCCCCAGACGCGAACGTACTGCTCCTCGCGAAACGCCGCGCTTTTGGAATCGCCATCCTGTTCCTGCTTATCCGGGTCTAACCACTGCTTAACCTCGACAATGCCTGTGCCGTCGTCTAGTCGGTACGTGATATTGGTCGTCTGCGGGCTGATCTGTCGCACCATACCCACGAAGGTGACTTGCGCCACGTCCGCGCCGTCGATTCGGAAGGTGCCGTCGCTGCCGAAGGCTTGCTCTGCGTCGATGATTTGCTTTACGGTTACGGGACGGAGGGATTCTTCGCTTACGGGTTTGGCGGATTGACTACCGCTTTGCGAACCACCCATGAACCCGCCGCCGTCGCCGCCGCCGGTCGCGCCGTAGGTTGTTCGTGAGTAGCCGCCGTAGGCTGCGTAGTTCTCATGTTAGCACGCGATGCACGGCGTTACATGGGGATAGGAGTATTAAGGGGTCATACAAGCCATTATATCATTGATTATTCTCGTGGTAGAAGAGAAAGGAAGTGTTTGTAGTGGTTATGGTTTAGGGGTCCGGATGGGATGAGACGCGTCAAGAATTTGGGTTACGCGACTAAAGTTAGGACTTTTTAATTGATTCTTAAAATGGAAGCACTAAATCGCGGGGTAATAACCGCTGAAGGACACCCGCTGTGGCTGGTGTGCTAGGGCGCGTGGCAGCTGCCCAGGTATCTGAGACCACTGGAACTTTAACATTGGCTCTCACTTAAGGTTTCGTAGTAGGCCCACTATAGGTACATAGAGATGCATCGGTCACATCAATAATATGTGATCCAATATGTGACTTCGTAAAATCAGACCGACTAATTTTCTAACACGGCAATGATCAATCAAAGCGAGGTTATCACAATACTAATTGCATTGCATCTTGTGAAGTGGAGTACTCGGTTTTGATGCCGGGTCAAGAGTTCCGGGTCGTTGGCACAATTCCCACATGAGCCTCGGCAAGAGGAATTTCGTAGCTTCTGGAAGGAACGGCACCAACACCCCTGAACTTAGGTACCTAAACAGCTAAGCTCCGCTGTACTGCGACCCGAGCTATTACTGCTACGTAACCTACAGCACCCACGTAGCGCGCATGCATGGGGTAACTTTAAAGTGTATTCGGCAAGTAGATTTCGACCATTCTCACTGACATCAACACCTTCTTTCCCATTCATCCTCCATACATCGTCCACGTATCTCGACTTAATATCTATCTATTCTACGAACCGACATACCCTTTACCATTCAATCTGTTTCTTTCTTCAACGTAACACCAATACGACCCTCAGCCTCTAGACCTTTTAAGCGCATCCATCCCCCGACCAATCGCGCGCAAACCCAAAGGGGAAACATATCAACATGGCGCAATCGGCGGTGATGCCTGTGATTCCCCTTGGGAACAAAAACGTCCTCTTTCCTGGCGCCGTCATAAGGATACCAGTTCCCGCCAGTCGTTCCGATATACCTGCACTACTTTCCAACGTCTATACCCGCGCTTCTAGAGCTTCGCGACGAGTCGACCAAATCCCTGTCGTATGCGTACCCTTAAACTCGCCGCTATTAAGCCGTCGCGGCCAACTACTCTTAGACGAAAACTCCGGCCAATACACCGAGTCTCTGAATGTAAATAAGAATAACATTAGGAAGGATCAGTTGTTTGCATACGGAGTTTCGGGGAAGATCAATGCGATCCAGGGTCAGAACGGAGCTGAGTTCAACTTGCTTGTACAAGGAGTCACGCGAGTTTCTCTTGAGAAGGTTACCCAAGAACGTCCTTTCTTCGAAGCACGGGTGATCCCGAATAATGATCAGGCCAGCCCTGCAGAACTTCAGAGGCCTTCCTTTCAAGAGTTATTCGGTACCTTAAAGCGACTATCAAGGGAATTAGTGGCCTACCTTCGTGTATCAGCGTTCCTTCTATCAAGTGGTACTGGAGGATTAAATCCTCTTCTATCGCGAAGACTTGAACAGTTCATTGTCAAGAAGACCCCCAATGAGGGAGGTTCGCTGGCCGACTTTATGATGAACATACTCGACGCTTCTTACGAGGAGAAGCTGCAGGTCCTTGCTGCTGTCGATGTTGCGGAGCGTATGCAAAAAGTTATTGAGATTTTGGAGCGCCAAGTGGATGATCTGAAGGGTAATATTAAGGTTACTACCGTCACCAGCACATCGGTGCCCGTCCAAATCGATCCCGAGGATACGACTAGAGTACCCAGCAACAAACGAAGTATAAAAGCACCGCCAGGTGTCAAGGTTCCTCCGCCTGGTCTTGGCCTTGGTGGTGGATCACCGTTTAACATGTTTGGCGGACCAGGTGACCAACATGATGCGGATGACTTGCAAGATCTCGAGAAGAAGATTGAGGATGCTAAGCTCCCGCCGGAAGCTGCTAAGGTCGCCGAACGAGAATTCAAACGATTGAAACAGATGATGCCTGCGCAAGCCGAGTATCAGGTTGTCAGGACGTACCTCGAAACGTTGGCCGAGGTACCGTGGTCTACTGTCACAGATGATCCGATTAGTGTCGGCACCTTGGAAAGTGCGAGGAAGCAGCTGGATAACGACCACTACGGAATCGAGAAGGTAAAAAAGCGTCTACTGTCTTACCTCACTATTGTTAGGTTGATGCAATCAGCGAATGACGCAGTGAACCAGCAAATCAAGCAAGCTGAGCAGGAGACCGCCGACCTGGAGTCTAGTAAAGAGAACTCGAAAGAAGATGCTGCCATTGACCCCGAATTGGAGGAGAAAATAAAGGCTAGTGGTCTTAAAGTACAGATGTTGAGGAATAAGCGACGAGCCGAGAAAGCCCCCATTTTACTCTTAGTCGGACCGCCTGGTGTTGGCAAGACTAGCATAGCTAGGTCCATCGCCACTGCGCTCGGTCGCAAATTCCACCGTATTTCACTTGGAGGTGTTAGAGACGAAGCAGAAATACGAGGTCATCGGCGTACCTATGTGGCCGCGATGCCTGGCTTAATTGTGCAGGGTCTGAGGAAAGTGGGTGTAGCGAACCCCGTCTTCTTGCTGGATGAGATAGACAAGCTGGGCATGTCCAACCACAACGGCGACCCGTCTGCTGCTATGCTCGAGGTACTCGACCCCGAGCAGAATCACGCATTCCACGATCACTACATCAACACCCCAATCGATCTAAGTAGAGTTCTCTTTATTGCCACTGCCAACAGTCTCGATACGATCCCAGGTCCATTGCTAGATCGTATGGAAACCTTAGAGTTCTCCGGTTATACCACTCTTGAGAAGCGACACATCGCAATGCGACATCTTGTGCCCAAGCAAATCAGGGTGAACGGGCTCTCGGAAGATCAAGTCCGTTTCAGCGAAGAGGTGATCTCAAAGATCATTGAGTCATACACTCGCGAATCAGGAGTACGTAATCTCGAGCGTGAAATCGGCTCCGTCTGCCGTGCGAAGGCTGTCGAGTTTGTGGAGGCCAACGACCGTGGTCAGCCGGAGACATATCGAGCAGATGTTACAGTGGAGGACCTCGAGTCTATTCTAGGTATTGAGAAGTTTGAAGACGAGATAGCCGAGAAAACCACCCAGCCGGGTATTGTGACTGGTCTAGTTGCTTACAGTTCTGGGGGAAACGGCGGCATCCTTTTCATTGAGGTTCTTGATATGCCTGGTGATGGCAGTGTCGAACTTACAGGAAACCTTGGTGACGTCCTTAAAGAAAGTGTCAAGGTTGCAAGGAGTTGGGTCCGCAATCACGCCTACGAGTTGGGATTGACCCAGGATCCTACGGAAAACATCATGATGAAGCGCAGTCTACACGTTCATTGCCCTTCCGGGTCTATCCCCAAGGATGGTCCATCAAGTGGAATGGCCCAGGCCATTGCTCTCATCTCACTTCTTTCCGGACGGCCAGTCCCTCCTACAATGGCTATGACAGTAAGTCAAGCGAAGATTATGCCATCTATTGCGAGGATACTAACGCCTAGGATAGGGAGAATTCCAGCTTTCTGGTCACGTTAAGAGAGTTGGCGGAATCAAGGAGAAGCTAATTGGTGCTTACCGAGCTGGTGTGAAGACGGTCCTCTTGCCAGCGCAGAACGAGAAAGACGCAAGAGAGGTCCCTTCAGAAGTAAGGGATGGATTGAACATCATCTTCGTCAGGTATGGATTTACTATGCTCGCTTCCGCTTAAACCATATCCCCTGTGTCTTTCGTCTAGCTAACTAGGGTATTTCTGTAGTCACATCTGGGAAGCCATCCGTCATATCTGGCCCGAAGTCCAATGGCCACAGGAGAGCAATTTCCCACCGATTCAGTCTCGCTTGTAGTCATATTTTCTTCCTTGATCTTTTTGTTTGTCTAGCATTGCATGTCATGATACGGCGTTAGGTGCCATCGTTTTAGTGGATAATCATGCCATCCGTTTTAGGAGAGGCAACGAAATAGTACAGGTATAGGTGCATCATCTGCGAAGTTGCAAAGTTCCACGGCGTTAGCGCGATCCCCTTTCATTAAGTGCAGATTGTTCCTTTGCGTGGGTTTTCGTCTTATTTATCGCTTTGCCACGATCGTGCCGGATGGGAGTTAGTTGTTTTAATGCTATACCGTGAGAGGTAACTGGAGTTACAGGACGTTTTACTGTCGTCCTCCGCCGCATCGGACCACCAGGGCCACCAGATCGCTGTACAACCCTCACACGACATAACCCCTTCGCCAGAAGAAGCGAGCAGACGCCTGCCACAAACATTCTCGACGTTCTATTTACCAAAGTTGGGGAACACGAGATTATATGTCCGCGTGAGACAAGATGTTTCGTGGTGTCCTTAGCCTTTTCCCAGAAAATTGCCATTGTCAACACCCGTCGTTAGATTTCTGCTTCCATGTCCCTGGTATCATCACAGTGCAGGGTTTATCGCGCATACCACGGAGATGGGATGCCGGATACCTGCATTACGTCCGCCCAAAGGGAAGGGGTTCGTTCCATCATCGGAAGATAAACGCGGAGACGGATAAGCGTTCAGACGGACAGCGAACTCGGTAAGACTTGCATGTCTTAATATCGCCACCATTCATGTGGCACTCAAACATAGGATGAACCCCTACGAGGCCTTCGGCTCGAGTCTTACATATCGGCTATCTCATCAGCCTAAACGCCTGGTTCGACTGGGGCTTAGGCCTTTGTACCAGGTACGAACAACTACTAAAATATACATGTCTACGAGCCAAGCCCCCCTGGGGCCTCCGTCTTGCGCCTGCATCTGCATCCTCACACCCGACACTATGGCTAGGTGTGCATGATTTCGTCATTAAGACAGGGATCACGCGGCAACGCGCTCGCAGTTCACGAGCTGGAATTGTCATGTCATGTCAAGTCTTGACCCGAGACAACTCGCCTAAATCTTTTTTCCTAGCCGGCAAATCGCAGGATATAGGAAGAGGAGAAGAAAATTTCCGATAACCCAAGCAGGCGAGCTCCCGCCCGCAATCCCCCGCTTACTCAAACCCGCATCGCTGGTGCCCGTCTATTTTACTGCTGTAGGGTCCGACATGTTCCTCCCAACGGCCGTAAGTGGCTTGAAGATCACCTATGAAAGAGGGAGATTATTAGGGACTAGAAGTAGGAATCTCCGACATTGGTCAACCACAAACGATTCGCGGTTACCGACAACTTGGGAGCCCGCGCGACTGGGTGAACATGTCGCTTAACCGATTTCGTAATACGCGGGGACGATAAAAACCCAATGAGGGAGGAGAGAGCTTAGGAGTTCGCCGAGGCACACCGAGCGAGAGGACGGCAGGTTCCTTGGAGTAGGAATATACCCAAGGATAATTCAAGGAACTAACTCCTGGATCCCACAACCGCGGATGTAGACGCGGATGCAGATGCAGGTGCAAACACACAGCACTCGTTAGTTTAGGCAAGTAAGAATGCAATGTCCTGTGGGCGACATCGAACGCATGCGCGCGATCTGTCTAGTACGTGTTCAGTTGTGTATCCGTGTATTTTTTGTGCATCTGTGTACGCGTGTCGCAGAGTTCTGTGCTTCTGCACTTCGTTTCAGTTGGGGTCACGATGGTTTACGGGGAGACCGTTGTTAAGGTACAAGGCAGGACACACATACTTTCAACATATTCTGAGTCCATATGGAACATAGTCCGTTTAGGTAGCAGTAGTATGTATTGCTCATACCAACATGGCAATCTCCTCTCTTACAATACACTCTTACACACTAGGACGGCTCTGTTACGTTGTATTCTGTATACCGTGACCCAGCGAATTGGAAGAAGAATTACGGATAGGATATACACTGGGGGGATATTTTGCCAATAACGGCGCTGGTAATTACGATTATGGCTTTTCGTTCGTTTCGTCTATCTGTCTGTCTTGTGCGTTTAATTCTCCTATGCCCGTTTCCATATCCTTCCTTTGCATCACCTCCTTCCCCTTTTTTGCTTTTTTTTCCCATCGTATCAGGCATAATCGCGAGTGAGACAGACAGGAAGGAGTAAAGCAAAAAAAAAGCCCTCGTTGACTCCGATCGTCAGGTTCTTTTCCTATCCCGCATATCCGGACTTACCTAGATAGGAACTAGAGCTGCCTTTGCGCGGGTACTTGCAGATTACCGGTGATTTTTCTCCGTACTGTATTTTCTAAATTCCTTTAGGAGGGGGAAGGGGAGGCCTCGCATACCTACTGATCTGGGATCGGAATTGGGGTGTCGTGATCTGAGCTATCTTGCGTAAGTATGCCTAATGTAAATCAGATCGCTGGATTAATGGCTGTGCCGTTCTCCCGGGTTTACCGGTGCCTTGGAAACTGGTTGGTGTGTGAATATACATACACGCCGGCCGTAACCTCGCAACCGCACCTTAGGTACAGGGACTTCGAGGGTGTTAATGAGATTTGGTACCGATCTATCGGGTACTACTGACGTTATTTACATCCATCCCATATGAGCTAGGCGCCATTATTGGCTCACAGTTTGTTGAAGCTATGATGGTGGAGGAATATCAAGACCGCCTATTACCGTACATCCTGCACGCAATGGCTATTATATTATATTGACACGTCGAATGAGATTGGCATGGTGGTGATTTACGATTGTATGCTCCTTAAACGTATGTGAATTGTGATTGAATCACTAACGTACTTACCAAAGTAAGTACGAGGCATAGCCCGTGTGGTTTAGGTACGGAACTCGAAGAGTATTTGTTTCTGTGAGCTACGGCAAGTTGTTATAGATCTTAAATTTATTTTGAATTGTGTACAGAGACAAGTAGTCTATGATATATTTATTAGCCTTCTGAACCAGTTAGTCCAAGAAAGGTACCTGGGTATGCAGTGTAACATATAGTACTTCTTCTAGTGAAGTTCTCATTGTGATGGATAGCGAGCCTAGAGACATTCTTCTATACGATTATTCGTAACAAGAGATGTCTCGTGACGACGGAAACAATTCCTCGTAACATATTTATAATAGACTTTATTGGTCCAGGCTAGTGAAGATACTATACATCTTCTCCCAAAGCATCCCCGCCTACTAGCGGTATTAGACCTATCTACCAAGCTTCAGTATAGAGCTATACTAGCTTGACGAGCATACATCGGCGACTGTTAAGAAGTATCATCTACGCCTAATATTTCCAAATCCCGAGAAAAAGGGTCGAAGACTAGCTCTCCCATGTCTCAAAAGAACTGGCGCGTCCTAATCATATTCTCCGGGTTTTCCCCGTTATAAGCGAAATACATCACGAAGCTAGCTTCACGACGGCGAGAGGCTTCGCCAACATTGATACCGGAGCTAGCCTCGGCCCATCGAACCCGGCAGTGAGGTACGGGTTGTAAATCATGAGTGGGACTTCGCAGGCTAAGCAAAGCAAACAAGCAAAGATTACCTAACATGTCTTAACGCTTGCGGGACCTGCAAGATTAGTACGTAGATTAGGGTAGAGAGCAAATATTCATATGATACCGACGGACAGGAAAGCACGTAGGAATAGAGTAGATTCTCCACCGGTCTAATCTTTAGAGCGCAGTAGAGTCGGCGAATAGGTTGGGTCCATCCCAACTGTCGGCTTCTTGGACCGTCGTCGCGATAGTGTAATTTGGTGATTCAAGGTAGTCCAAACTGCCGGGTTCGATGAGAAGGGGACTAGTAGGTAGATAGGTCGTTTCAGAAAAGCCCACAACGGACTCACTCGCTAAGCCTGGCTACGTATGCGGACGAAACTGCTTCGGGGCGTAGCTAAGACCTCTAGCGGCATCGAAGTTGGTAGTTAGACAAGTAAACTAGTTGCTTTTTTGGTGAGCAGCCCGTCTTGATCTATCTGAACCGGATTGTAGACCCGAAATAAATATCCCGCCGCCCGTGGCCCTAAGTGGGAGATCCCAAGGTGCCGGATCCGTCACCTCCTGCATTGCGCTTGCGGCTCGCTGAGATTAGTTTATTCGAGCGCTTGTAGAGTCTGTGCCAACTCTACTTCTCACCGGTGGTGGCTGGCGGGTAGGCGATACTTTGCTTTTGCAGCTGCCTGGGCACCTACAATACACACCAGTATGCATAGTATGCAGGTGTTGTTCATACCTTGTTTCCCCGAGTCCAGTCCAACGTAGTTCCGCCTGCAATGTGGTGATGCCAATTGGCCCGGGCTTCCTAGCTGGGACAAGAAAATGACTCCGTCTGCAGTAGCGCCATCTGCAGTGGACTAAATACGCTCTATGCAGCTCGGTGCGGCTTGCACTAGCTGCTGTACAACATGCGCAGTTCTACCTAGAAAGTAGGTGGGTTTTGCTTTTTTATGATGACATGCCTCGAATTCATCGTATCATGGATCCGCCAGTTGCGTCAGTGGTTCTGTAGCTCTTACTGTTGAAACCGTCAATCTATACCACTAAGGAAAAAGAGAAGCAAAAGGATGAACCCGATGTACAATTTTTTCATGGCTCAAGAGTAGCTGAATACCAGGGAGGTCGGTTTCGGACCTCCACCATGTTGGAGATTCCTCAGGCTACACCAAAATTGGGAAGAACAAATCACCTTCCTGGCGCGAGCTCGGACGAAATTAATCGATTGACCTTGCTTCGACCGTCCGGATAGGCTCGGCGTCCAGAATCAGTCCCCATCAGCCGAAGCTGCCCTCTGCATGGAAGGAAGAAGACTGTTCCACTTTACGGAGCACAAAGCAGTTCGGTTCGAAATGGTGGCTTGCTGCAAGATTCTGCTGCCGCCGCTGCTGCTACTGCTGATGCAGCAATTAAAAAAGAACCTAACCCCGCGAGACTGTATCGGTGAGAGAAAGAATGGGAGGTGAGACAAAGATTGAAGAATACCCTGGGACAAAACGTGGTTCGGCGCTGCTCCTTTAATCTGTTTCAGGGTTCGATGTCCTGCTGGGTTTGGTGGACGCCG